CTTGTTGCCTTCGGGGCCAACGACTACGGCCGTGCTTGGCACAGACGAGGGCAGGGCACACGCGCCAGACGAAGTTGTAGCCGCAGTTGATGATGTCGCCTCAGTGGTTGAAGTCTCGTGGCTCTCAGTAGTGGAGGTTGTAGCGGCCTCGGATGACTCAGTAGTAGACTCGGCAGTTGTCGAGGTTGACTCAGCAGCAGTCGTTGAGGTCGTCTCAATGCTGGTGGACGAAGTCGTCTCCGCTGATGAAACATCCTTGGCATTGCTAGCCTTGATGGCAGCCAGGACACCAGAGTCAATCCAGTCAGTGTTGGAGACAGCAACCGAAGGGTTGACATTCTTGAAGAAGGTGGAGATGTCATAAGGCGCAAGCTCGTCAACCTTGGTGACCCAAGAGATGTACTTCTCCCGATCGGTAACATGGTTGGGGTAGCTACCGTCACCGGTAGTTCCAAACTCAATGTACTTGTTGGCAGCTGACTGCGTCTTGGAGTCAACGTAGACACCAGTAGCAGCCAAGAAACCAGCCAGGCTGGTGTCTCGGTAAACAACGACCGAACCGTCTCCATTACCCGCAGCCATGTAGACCTTGGTGTTGGTAAGTCCGCTCTTCTGGATGACGCTGGACGTATCAAAGACAATGGTGGAGTTGTACATGGTCGAGCCGACCAAGCCACCCTTGTTGTACACCAGAAGACCATTGCTCTTGGTGGCCGTGATGGTGGATCCATAGATGTAGAGAGACGGGGTGTTGTAGATGACCTTGTCCTGGGCCTCAATGTAAGAGTTGGCCACGATGGCGGATGACGTGCTACCCGTGATAGCGGCAATGCCAGCAGCGACGAACTGACAGCCGTAGAAAGCGTTCTTGGAGCCGCGGAGAAAGACTGCTCCTCCGGTACCTGCAGCCTGCGAGTTGGAGAACTTGATATTCTTCCAAGTCGTACCGGCGTTGTTGGCTACCGAAAAGGACAAGGCCGGGTTGGCACCGCCGCCATTCTCAATGACAACGCTGTTGGCAGTGTAATCACGCTTCTTGGAAACCTCTCCAATAACAGTGACAGTAGGCGTAGCAGCAATCACCACGTTCTCGGTGTAGGTGCCAGCAAGGACGGTGACAGTGGGGTAGCCGCTCGCTTGGGCAGTCTTGATGGCCTCATTGATGGCAGTAAAGTCTCCGCTTCCGTCGGCGGCGACTGTGAGCACTAGATGGGAGTCAGTCGATGTTGGGGCAACACTCTCTGAAGTGGTTTGGCCAGAAGATGTAGGGAAGGTGGATGTGGTAGAGAGGAAGTCCGTTGACGATGACGTCTCCGACTGAGTTGACTCTGTGCTGGATGATGTCTCCGACTGTGTCGAACTAGTCTCAGAGGATGATTCCGTGGCGCTGGTCTCGCTGGATGACTCCTGGGTGGTGGTGGTCCAGACTGAAGAGGATTGATCCGTAGTAGAGCCAGTTGAAAGGGTTTCCGGCTGAGACGAGGTTGTGGAACCAGTTTCAGTGGTCAGTGCCGTGCTACTCTTCTCAGAGGCTGATCCTGAAGTCGTAGATGTGTCGCCACCAGTTGTTTGAGTCGAGGTTTGAGCGGTCGTAGTCCAGCTTGAAGCAGTATCAACACTAGACTCTGTCGAGGCTGAGATAGAAGAAGTCACAGCTTCAGCCGAGGTAGTTGAGGATGGCAATTCGAAGGAGGATGACTGGCTGCTCGTTGGCTCCGTTGAAGTGGTGTCGCCAAGAGTAGATGATGTATCAGAAGATTGGGTGCTTTGCGTAGTGGACTGGTCGACATCCGACGAAGATTGAGTCGTGGTGGATGCGACTGTCAATTGCGTCTGTTGAGTATCCGACGAGACAGTTGAGGTAGCCGTAGTGAATGACGAATCAGAGGATGAGGGCCTGTTCGCTGGCCTACATGCCCTATTGAGGGCAGTGGAGGACGATGTAACAGTATCGACCTCTCGCTTCTCGACCCGATCGGACGGGTCATCTCGTAGCCAATGGGGTGCATCGGCCTCTCGAGGGAACAGATTGGTATCAACAAAGGGGAGGGTGTCAGGGGCAAGATGATTATCCAAAGGAGTGTCAAGAACGAATGTAGGGGAAGTGAAACGAGCGGAATGGCTGGACGAAGAGTGAACGAAATCAGGAACAACTGAACCTTCTTTTGCAAGGCCGCTCCCGCAGAGCAGCGGGAGCAGTAGCCAAGACAGTCTGGCCATGGTTTGCCGAGGGTCAGTAACCTGACGTTGTTCGTGTTGATTCGATCCAACACGAAGAAAAAAGAGAAGTCAAAAAGCAACAGCGACGTAGACAACGAAACGACCCACGGGTTAATGGGGGGAGATAATGATCATCTATTATCCTGAAAGCTTACGAATCTGCCCATGCATCACGCCTACCCCCAAAGTTCAGCTCTCCACCTGAACTGTCGCCTCTGACGTTCGAGATCTCGGTTCTCCCGGTGATAGTACTGTAAGGCTTCTTTCCCTATTGTACGAAAAAAGGGAAGCGACGACAGCTAAGAAGGAAACTATCGATTTCACCAACCCCGCCTGAAAGTTCTCGCACAGGGGACGGGCGAATGAGACATGGACCGAACCGAGTCAACAACGGACGTGAGAGCCGAAAGTGCCAAGTCTCGGCCGTAAAAACTGCTAGTCTCGGGAAAATCTGGCCAGGCGTTAACGGCGCGGCGTTGGATTCCAGATTGGGTGTAGGCTTGATTGACTAGAAGCTGAACGCCCTCACCAGAATGGTTCTATCCTTTGGGCTGGGACCAATTGGATCCCGCAGATGACGACGACTTTGAGATAGCGGTTGCAAACCTAACGGCCGCGGCGTCATGATAAGGCTCCTGAGTTCGGATACACTACCGTGACAGAGGGCCGGGACACGGTCCAGCCCCTGGAGGCCGCAGACTTTTCGCTCCAGGCTCTGTTTTTTTAAGACGCGTGACGATATTCGGTCAAAGCGAGATCTAGAACTATGCAGCAGAGCACACTGAACAGCCTGATGGTATCAGCTGGCAGCTGTCGAGGAAAAGACTCTGCCGACGCTCGACAGGGGCTTCACGCCGGCGACATCGGCAGACAAAATGGCGACTACCCATGGCGTTTTAGACTTTATCGTGACACTTTGACTGACACGTGGCCGTGGTTGTGGCGTCTCAATAGTTCGATACCGGATTGGCTCGGGATGTTCCGTTTGATTGAGTCCAGATGTTGTAACTAAAAGAGGTAAGTCATCCGTATGAGCCCCTGGATTTAACTCGTTCTCCAATTGGTGGGACTCAATTCTTCCGCCAGTCATGAGAAGCCTTAACCGCGAAGTGGGAGAACGACTGGTCTGTGTGAATCGGCATGGAGAAATTTCGGCAGCGTGAACATGTTGTTAATCCACCCAAGGCGTACGACGATGCCCATTTGAAAGATTTTCAGGGACCATCAGGTCTGGGAATCAGCGCGCGGCTCCAGCATTGCCAAGAGTCTGGAACAGATTGATCATCCATTACCGAACAGCTGGGCTGGTCAAGCTTTTCATATGCATGCATGGACCACATTTGATCGTCAGCAAGAATGGCAATCCTTTCGGGCCTTGCTTGCTTATCAGCTGGTAGATACCCTGACCATTGCACATGTTGTGGTGCCCCTGTTGTCCAAGCTGGTTACAGAGTCGGCTGGATGGAAATATGAAAAGTAAGATGCCGACTATTACTTATTACCATCTACAACGGATTCTCCATTTCCATGAGTTCTGTTTGTGGGTTATTGTTTTTTATCTCTCCTATCTCCGTTAATGATACTCTATCAATTTCTGGTCGGCCCCTTCCTCTCGTCGTTTCTCAAGCCCAATCCATTTTGTGAGGCTCGTTCGGTGTAAGTCCAATGATAAATATGCATTTTAAGGGCAATGTCAAATCATTCAACAGCAGAGAATCAGTTATACCCTCTTAGAGCTGGTAATAGTAGATGGCTAGATTGTAGAAACGCTGCTAGGTGAATGTTATGCAATCTCGCAAAGGATGTGGCCCGAAAACTGTCTGCCTTTGTTGGTCCAGACTAAAGGGGAACGGAAACGAAGTAAAATCTTCAAGGCAAAAAAAAAACATACTTCACTAAAGCGAAAAAGCGTTCTATTAGCGGATTCGCCATCTCACGCGAAGATGGGTGGGCAAACATGGCCAAGCCTTGCGCCATTGGGTAGGCTCCTCTGGATATGAGTCGAGGTCATGAAGAGAGAATAGGTTGGAGGCAAGGTATATCCGGGCTTGGTCTAAAGGCCGTGGCGTCATCCAAAATTTCGCCAAGGCGAGGGCCGAATGCTGGCCAGACTTGGAAGGTGATGATGTATGTGTTTCACGGTGATACGTGTGATGATGGTTCAGAGCAACATGTTGACATTGATGATACTGTACAAGTTATGTCATTAGAGACCCAACAACATTAGTGAAGAATAATTTCTATCTACTCATTGACGAAGCGTACTTTATTCTCTGACTTAGCTCTATTTAAATATGCGTCGAACCTGGATTACCACGGAAGCTGAAGGCCCATTGTTAGGGATTGTTCGGTGTAGGGTAGACGGAAGCCCTTCTGCGGGAACCGCGGATCAGCCAACGCCAAAGATGGATATAAACTGGAAGATATACATGGCGGCTTCTGAGGCTAGAGCCGCCATTTACGAAAGTCCCTTCATGATATTTTCCTTGGTTGCGTGAAGACCTCAAGCTGGGTCATGACGATTGTCATCCGGTCACGTGCTACCATGCCCTTGAAGTGCTCACGTGATTTGGCGTCAGAAACGCTCCTGGCTCCACCTTTTCGTCGTCGAGCTTGACACGACGCATGTCTACGGCACACCACACCTCAATGCCATTGTCAGATTCGAATTGTCAGTCTTTATGTTCACGCTGACTAGAATCCTTCCGAGAAGCTTCAATAGTCCGCGTCGAAATTGGAGTTCCAAAAGAACCGTCGCCACACCGCGTCGCGCTATCAAGATGAGTGCCTTCGAGGATGACGAATTCGGCTCAGGCGACGACCTCTTTGACGGGGTCACCGTGGAAGAGCTTGTACAAAAGCCAGCTGTGAAGCATGAAAGAGACTACTCAATAGGGGTAGAAGCTCTTAATCCCATGAAAAAGGCGCGACACACATTCGAAAACGCCGAGGACCAGTCGAGGCTTCGTCTTGCTGAAAAGATCTTGGCCGATAACTTTGGACACAAGTCTTTCAGACACGAACAAAAGGCAGCCATCAATCGAATCTTGGCCGGCAAGAATGCTCTTGTCGTCTTTCCAACAGGTGCCGGCAAGTCCCTGTGCTACCAGGTGAGCATTGCTATGCCTCTTCTGAGTCTCTCCCGATCTACCCTTACTTACTCCTCTTCAGATACCTGCAATTGCATTCCCCGAGCTCGATCGCCAAACGAACGAGAGACATCTCAATGACTCGGGCATCAGCATCGTTGTTTCACCCCTCATCGCCTTGATGAAAGACCAAGTCGACGCGCTCAAAAAGAAGGGCATTGCGGCAGAGTGTATCGACTCTACCAAGACTCGAGAGGAACTACAAGAGATCAACGCTTCCCTTCGCGAGGGAAAGCTTCGCCTGTTGTATTGCGCTCCAGAGCGGCTGAACAACGAAGGATTTGTCGAGATGATGAAGCGTGTCAAGGGTGGCGTCCGTCTCATTGGTGTTGATGAAGCCCATTGTATCTCAGAGGTGTGTTTGCCTACCCCAGCAATGTCGATCATGATGGCTAACAGATCACCAGTGGGGACATTCTTTCCGTCCAGACTATTTGAAAGGTTGGAGTCTCGCCTACCCGTTGGCCACCTGGGAACTGACACCGTCCAGTTGCTCGATTCGTCAAGGAGATCCATGCCGAGCGGGTCATTTGTCTAACTGCGACAGCCACGCCTCCTGTTGTTGATGATATCTGCGAGGCATTCGACATTTCCAAGGAGGGAGTATACATGACGTCCATGTACCGTCCAAAGTAAGTATCGCGACCAAGAGATTTTGAGATTCAGCAACTGACCCTTCAGTCTCATTCTGGAGGCCAAGGCCATGGCAACGAAGCAGGACAAATACGAGCCTCTTTTCGAGTTCTTGAGAACCCACTCAGGTTCTACTCTCATCTATGTCACCGTTCAGAGGGTTGTACAACACTACCCCGTGCCTTTTCGTTTACTGACACCATCCAGCAAGCAGAATCGTTGGCTCATGAACTTACCAAGAGCGGGTTCCCCTCTCACTTCTTCCATGCTGGCATGAAAGTGGACGAAAAGAAGAAGATTCAGGACGAGTTTATGGCTTCGAAAATCCAAATTGTGAGTTCGAGTATCCTCTTGACATCGTTCCTATATATCTAACATTTACGTAGGTAGTTGCAACGATTGCTTTTGGCATGGGAATCGACAAGTCAGGTAGGTTCACTTCCGTAACTCTTGAGAATCAGACTAATGGCTGAAGACATTCGCAACATTGTCCACTGGGATATCCCAAATACCGTCGAAGAGTACTGTCAGCAGGTTGGCCGAGCTGGCCGTGATGGAGAACAGAGCCATTGCGTGCTCTATCTTTGCCCCGAAGACTTTTACATCAAAGAGACATTTGCGCGAGGAGACTTGCCTTCCCGAAACTCCTTGCACAACCTTCTCACGGATATCTTTGATACCGAGGTTGTTACCAAGCCTATAGGCGACATGTTCAAAGCCAGCCATTACCATCAAGGGGCAGAATTCGACATTCGTCAGAGTCCGCTGAGCGTCATTTACGCCACTCTGGAACTGAGATTCAATCTCATCCGGGCAGTTACACCGGAGTACAGCTCGTACAAGTTTGAGGCGACACCCAGTTACTTTCCCCGTCTGAAGAACGACAAGTCTCCCGAAGCCAAGGCCATACTCGAAAACGCACGAAAGGCGAAGAAATATCACACCATTGACCCGTCTGAAGCGGCTTCACTCACAGGAACATCTCGCATGCAAATCGTCAAAATTCTCAACGATCTCAACGACTCTGGCGTCATCATACTCACTGTGGGCGGAGTGGAACAAAAGTACAAGATCCTGAAGGAGCTCCCAAGCATTGATGCCGAGATCGATGCTCTCACAGACGAGGTGTACGCAAGTCTGCAGCTGCGTGAAAAGCAAGCGCTGGAAAGAATCCAGCAGGTGATCAAATTCATCACTGGGCGAAAGTGCTTTGGTCTTTCGATTGCTGAGCATTTCGGGATGAGTCTCCCTGAGGGCAAGAAGAAGTGCGGACACTGCACATTCTGTCTCAGCGGCAAGGCTATTGAACTGCCCCCATCACCGCCCAAGACTTTGAACCGAACAGCAATTCGAGAAGTGCTTAATGCGACCGACGTCCGAGATGATGCGCGGTTCCTCGCGAGAGTTGCTTTTGGCATCAAGAGCCCACGGGTGACCAAACTGAAGTTGGACAGGAACCATGTGTTTTCGTCGATGGCGGATTCTAATTTCGAGGTACGTTGAGAAGCTACGATTGCTGTGATATTTACTAAGTGTGCGACGCAGATGATACTGAAAGAGTTCGAAAAGGCGTGTGATGAGTGATGTGAGACTGCTGCCTATCTGTTGTTTGCTGCACATGGCGCACAATAGCACCAGATAGTGTCGACGACTATCGTTTTTTTAGGGATTGTCCAGAGGGTTACCAAATGCGGCGAATGCGAGCGCTATGTACTGTTTGCTGTTCTAGCTGATGTGATATCCAGAATGTCATATTGGGAAATAGAGTGAGACGGCACAGTTGACCGGGGGGTGTCATGTCACGGAGAATTAATGGCTTTAACTAGCGGCTTATGGCTTTTTGTCTCTTTAAAAATTTGGGGTTGAACTAGGTATCAAAAAAAATGGTTTGCATGACAAACGAACGAACGAACGACAAGGATTGCCGTTGAAGCCGAAGCCGAGGTGGCGGAAACGAGATTGAAGTGAATCAGGCAAAATCATGCCAATGAATGACGACGCATTGACAAAAAGCTTACCGCCTGCTGACTACGACGGACACGGACAAGGGCAAAGTCGGATTTCTCGGGGCCGTTTCCTGTCAGATCTGCCTGGCGTGGTTCTGGATGGGGGCTAATCGTGAGGAATTGCCCCAGTTGAGAAGCTATTTCCAAGGTTCGAGGTGAGCTTTCGGGAACGAGAAGCCGTGTCGTGCTCGTAATTCGGTTGCTGGGTGCATATCCCGATGTCTCGGGTTGATGCCCGACAAGGAAGTGATGCATCACAAGGGTCAGTGTCAATAGTTCTCAGGCACTTCAACATTATTAGACGTGTCGACTTTTTCAGCTTGAAAAAAAAAAAAAAAAGGAGTTTAAACACTGCCTGCTCGTCACAAGCTGGCTGGCAGACGATGAATGCGCTGTTAAAAGTCGTGCCACCTGGACATGCGTGAATGTGGCCACCTGCGACAAGGCTTTTCCGGGGGCGACGGCAGATCCATAGCGCCTTTGGGCCGTGACAGGCTGTTTTTGCAGCGAGTGTGGCTTGCGCAAGGAGATGGAGGCGACAGGACGTTTGTACACAGTGCTGAAGACGGAGTTGGCCTCGGATCCCAAGAACTTGGAAGAGAGAGTCCTAGAATTGTGTGTCTGTTTTGGGCGTAAAATGTCTTGACGTCAACTCCGTTTGACCTTTTAAACGGTTGTAGGATCGAATGGACGATGGATGCTGACATTCCTTCCATGGTCAAAGATGGCAAAGAGCGCGTGCTTTTTTGTCTGACCTGGTCCCGTCATTGCGTGGGTCATGCAAAAGAACAGGAGACGGCAAGCCACAGGAGACGGTACAGGGAGACGAGATGCACTTTTCCGGGGTACGTCGTTTTTCTTCTGGTCGCAACAAAAAGCCACAAGAAGACAGAGCGAGAGCGAGCTCAGCCATCAAGTGGAGTGGTGATGAATAAATCTGACTGTGTTATGCTGTGCAAGCAAGGCAACCGAAGGACCCGAGAATTGTCTCGCTTCTTCTTCTCCCTTCTATTTTGAACTGGCATTGCCAGCTGGCGTGGGGTAGACACTGGAAGTCAACTGTATTTGTACGGAGTCAAGGTGGAGTGTAGCCCTGACCGCCGATCACATCTACCTCAAACGTCGCGGGCCTCGCAGGGAAAACGGTCACTGACGTAAACACGTCACAGCGGGACAAAGACAGGGGTGCACAGTTTGCTTGGCCCTGAATTACTGGGCCATTAACAGGGGGCCCCGCCTGTAGCATGATGGGCCATGGGATAAAAAAACAAGTGGATGCTTGCAGCGGTAGTTGCGCGATACGAGGCTTTGTCACACAACCAAGGACCCAACAGCAGACCTACCCTTGCTAAAAATAGTCATTTTGTTCTATTTTTCTTGAATCTTTTCACAGTGTGTTTTGCTGACTTGGAAGGAATCTACATCATCTTTGTAACTTCGTGCTCAGCCTGACTCCGACGTCAGTATCGGTTGACCCGGGCCAACCAGATTTTGTACAAGCACCTTTTGGTGGGGATGTACGTTACGCGGCAGGGTAGATCATTGACAATAAGGATCAGGATCCCCAGTGTTTTTTTCTTTCCTTCTCAGACAGACTCTTCTTCTCGATTGAACAGAAAAATTCTTGTTTTTTTTTCTTTGTCTGTGTAGACTTGTTTGTTACGTACTACCGTGTCCTCTCGTTTCATCAAGGGGGATCAAGAAGAATTCCCATCTTTCCATCATCGTCGTTCGCTTTTTTTTACTCTGCTTTCCCACTTCCCGAAGCTCCCGGTAAACCCGTCATCGCATGCTCTCAAGCTAAGCTACTTTTGACGGACTGACGGGGTCAAACCAACGTCCATCATGGTCTATAACGAGCACGGCCAGCAAAATTATGATGCCCCGCGGGAGATGCAGGATCTCCCAGCGGGACAGGCTGTGAGTTTTGGAACAGAGTAATAAATTTTATGAGGCCATTCACATTGACTTTGCTCTTTAGTACCATTTTGGTGGTCCGCCGCCCGAAGAACCCGGCGATCCCACCCGCCAGCCCCTACAGCCCCTACAGCCCTTACACGACTCATACTCGCCCGTATACGACCAGTTTACACCTCCCGGTACCCATCATGGCGTGAACCCAGCTTCAACAACCGACTTTGGCAACCTTACACCACCACCGGGTATCAACAATCCTGTACCTGGGGAAAACGATTCTTCTCGAGATCTCCTCCATGATCCATACGGCCACGGCGGCTTTGGCGGATACGGCCATGACCCCAATCACCTGGGGTCTCCGGACTTGGAATATGACGTCGAGGCTTCGAGGTTGGCAGAGTCGAGACTCTCGGTCATTCGAAGAGCTGCCACCATGCAATCTTTTGACCAGAACGAAACCCTCTCGGTGCCAGGCTTTGTACAAGGACGTCCAGACTCGGCGTACCACGATCCAGAGGAGAGTTGGATGGAGCGACAGCAACAACAACCCCTCACCCGCGGCCTCACCCGATCGCGAACCCGCAAGGTCAAGCTCGTCCAAGGTTCAGTCCTGAGCATCGACTACCCCGTCCCTAGCGCAATCAAGAACGCCATCGAACCGCGATACAGAGATGCTCCCGGGAGCGTACAGGAGGAATTCACAAAGATGCGCTACACGGCCGCCACGTGCGATCCCAACGATTTCACTCTGCGCAACGGCTTCAACCTCCGCCCGCGCATGTACAACCGCCACACGGAGCTACTCATCGCCATCACGTATTACAACGAGGACAAGGTTCTCCTCGCGCGCACGCTCCACGGAACCATGCAAAACATCCGAGACATTGTGAACCTCAAGCGCTCCAAGTTCTGGAACAAGGGAGGTCCCGCGTGGCAAAAGATTGTCGTCTGTCTCGTCTTTGACGGTATCGATAAGGTCGATAAAAACGTCTTTGACGTGCTGGCGACAGTCGGCATCTACCAAGACGGCGTCATCAAAAAGGACGTCAACGGAAAGGAAACGGTTGCTCACATCTTTGAGTACACGAGTCAAATCTCTGTCACGCCAGATCAACAGCTCGTCCGACCTTCGCACGACAAGCCGCATCGTAACCTCCCGCCCGTGCAGTTCATCTTTTGTCTCAAGCAGAAGAATAGCAAAAAGATTAATTCGCATCGATGGTTGTTCAACGCATTCGGTCGTATTCTGAACCCAGAAGTCGCTATCCTCATCGACGCTGGAACGAAGCCCGGTCCGAGAGCTTTATTGTCTCTGTGGGAAGCCTTTTACAACGATCGCGACCTTGGCGGCGCTTGTGGAGAGATTCACGCCATGTTGGGCAAGCGAGGCATCAACCTTCTAAACCCCCTCGTCGCGGTTCAGAATTTCGAGTACAAGATTTCCAACGTGCTCGATAAACCCCTAGAAAGCGCCTTTGGCTACGTGAGTGTTCTTCCAGGTGCCTTTTCCGCCTATAGGTTCCGCGCCATCATGGGTCGACCGCTGGAACAGTATTTCCACGGAGACCATACGCTTTCTAAGCAGCTGGGCAAGAAGGGAATCGACGGCATGAACATTTTCAAGAAAAACATGTTCCTTGCCGAGGACAGAATTCTCTGCTTCGAATTGGTCGCCAAGGCGAGTCAGAAGTGGCATCTCAACTACGTCAAGGCGTCCAAGGGCGAGACAGACGTGCCAGAGGGCGCAGCAGAATTCATCAGTCAACGACGAAGATGGCTGAATGGATCTTTTGCTGCGTCTCTTTATTCTCTGATGCATTTTGGTCGACTGTATCGATCTGGTCATAGTATCATCCGACTCTTTTTCCTGCACATTCAACTCTTTTACAACTTCTTCAACGTCTTGTTCAGTTGGTTTTCGCTAGCTGCGTATTATCTGACGACAACCATTATCATGAAGCTGGTTGGTACGCCTCAGGTTCTTTCAGGATACCACGGATGGCCATTCGGCGATACAGCAACGCCCATCGTCAACGTCTTGATCAAGTACATCTACGTCGCCTTCCTGGTTCTGCAATTCGTCCTCGCCCTTGGAAACAGACCCAAGGGATCCAAGTACAGCTACATCGCATCTTTCATGGTTTTCGGTCTCATCCAGCTGTATCTTCTCGTGCTTACTGGTTATCTCGTCTACCGAGCCTTCACCACCACACCGATCGAGGAGCAGATTTCTTTCGCATCCGGACAAGCCTTCTGGGATAGTTTCTTTGGCGGCGGTTCTGGTATTGCCGGTCTGATCGTCATCGCGCTCGTTACCATCTACGGTCTCAACTACATCGCGTCCTTCCTCTATCTCGACCCATGGCACATGTTCCACTCGTTCCCCCAGTACATGATTCTCATGTCGACCTACATCAACATCCTAATGGTGTACGCCTTCAACAACTGGCACGATGTCTCGTGGGGAACAAAGGGATCTGATACAGCTGAAGCTCTTCCTTCTGCCAAGGTCATCAAGAATGAAAAGGAGGCCGTCGTTGAAGAAATCGAGCAGGAACAAGAAGACATCGACAGCAAATTCGAAAAGACCGTCTGGCGAGCCCTGGCTCCCATGAGCGAAATGAACCAGGAAGAACCCGAAAAGAAGGACGTGGAAGATTCATACAAGTCCTTCCGAACTGGCTTGGTCATTCTCTGGTTGCTTTGCAACATTGTCCTAATCGTCTTTGTCACGACGGACGATTTCATCACCCTCGGCGTCTCTGTAAGCACCCCCGATTTCTTCCTCTCAAACAGCACTAACAATCTCGCAGAAAGCTGCCGACGTGCGAACACCCATGTACTTCCGATTCCTCCTTTACGCAACAGCTGTGCTGTCCATCATCCGATTCGCCGGTTTCCTCTGGTACATTAGCCGAACCAGCATCATGTGCTGCATCGCGAGAAGATAGAGCTGTCTGCGCTACTAGTCAACGTGTCTATGAACTGTTTTTTTCTTCTTCCTTATGAGGTAAAATTAGGGCAACTACATTGCACTCAGGAAATCCTTTTAATTGTTTGATCTTTCTTCTGTTGGATGCATTGGTCCTCCTCGCCGGGCTAATTGGCGTTGTTGTTATTGTGAAGCCACTCTGATCATCATGGCAGGAGCCGAAGGAGGAAGAAGGCAGGTCTTCCCTAGGAAAGATGGCATTGTATTTGGCGTTGGATAATAGGTAGATTGTTGACCTGCTTGTTTAATTCTATTCGGTAATATGGTCTAGAATCATTTTCTGCATCTTGAACTTTTTTTGCGTTTTTATAGTTGGCAAGTGACATGAAGAGACAGCAGTATCAATCACACCTGATCACCACATTTCTCATCTCGACGGGCACAGTTGTAACGTATTGATGGAACCAAACACAATGTCGCATATGCCACTATCACGACGTAGGTCTACAGCGGCCTTGAGCTGTGTCGGGATATTCGCATACGGATGGGGACGGCAAGGGGGCAGCCGCGCAAAAGTTAAAAGTTAATATTTTTCGTATATCTAAGGCTGATTGAGATGTATCGGGATGAGCCTCACATCGTTGATGCCACCACGTATTGCTTCGGCCAATGTTATCACGAACAGTTGGAGCCAGCAGCCCAACTTCACTTTGATCGAACAGCAGATGTACCCTACACGCCACATCCGTTCTGAAAGAATCAAAAGCACTTCCCCCTTTCTCATTTAGTTTGATTCACATCATCTTAACATGCAAGGACTAATCTGTACCAGCAAGCTCTGAGCAGACGCAAGTAAGGCACAAGGGTCGTCTCTGAACGAACGACTCTTGACACCACTGTCTCAAGCACAAATCCAACACCTATCAAACATGACCTCCACTTCCTGCCCCCTGAAATCCCAGCCCTGTGAATCTACCCCAGATCCGCATTAGGAAATTAATCGGGCCAAGATCTAAAAGTAGGCGGACATTTGTAATCGCGCTAATTTGGACTGGATTCCAAGGGCGAGATTGTCGCTTACAAATGACCCCGCTGCGGCGCGGTTTAAACACTCATGGGTTATATCATGGCTTCATCAGCCCATCTATATATGGGTGTGCTGTCTCAGAGAATAGCTGCAAGTTTGAGATTCAAGCGAACATGACCAAGATCTTCCTGTAACCTTGATAATCTTTGTCCCCCCTGAGTTTAATCAAACTAACTCCTGGACAGGACTGGTGCCACTGGCTACATCGGTGGTGATGGCCTCCACACGTTAGTGAAGGCGCATCCCGAGTACGAAATTACCGCGCTTGTTCGAAGCAAGGAAAAGGGTGACCTGGTCACTAGCCAGTATCCCTCGGTTAAGTTAGTCTACGGCGATCTAGACGACTTTGACCTTCTTGCCGAGCAAGTCTCCAAAGCGGATATTACCTGCCACTGGGCTAGTTGCGAGCATGAGGCCGCCGCCAAGGCTATAGCTGAGGGAATTTCACGCAAGGTCAAGGATAATGCAGGATTTGTCATTCACCTGTCTGGAGCCGACATTATCTGCTACCCTGACCTGAACGATGAGACTTATGGTATCAAGAGGGACCAGGTGTTTGACGACTGGGATGGCATTGGCGAGGTCACCTCGCCTCCTGAGAGTGCTCCTCACAAAGAAGTCGACTTGGCTATTCTTGGTATTGGCAGCAAGACCGCGATCGTCTGCCCCCCTACCATCTACGGACCAGGTCGTGGCCCTGGTAACCAGAGAAGCATCCAGGTTCCTGAGCTAGCGCTGTATAGCTTGAAGAGGGGTGTTGGTATCACTGTGCAAGGAGGAGAGAATATTTGGAATTCGGTTCATGTGCACGACTTATCCAAGTTGTGGCTGAAGCTTGTTGAGGCCGCTGCGCAGGGTGGAGGCAAGGCTGACTGGGGGTCAAAAGGATACTACTTTGTCGAGAACGGAGACTTTACCTGGAAAGCCATTACGGAAAAGATTTCTCAAGAGGCAAAGAAGCAAGGTCTTTGGGAGCATGAGAAGGTGGAGAGTTTGAGCGTTGAGGATGCGGACAAGGTGTGGTCCTATGCTTCTTTCTTTTGGGGAACCAACTCTCGCAGTCGAGCTATTAGAGCTCGCAAGATATTGGATTGGGAGCCTGTGGAGAAGGATATCTTTGCAGATGTAGTTGCGGTTGTCAAGGCAGAAGCTGCTGCTTTGAAGCTGGCTGAGTAGACGCGCTCTACGGTAGATTGAAGGGGACATCAATACACCTATCTACCAGTAATTCTTTTTCTGAAATGCCGCAAGCACCAGTTGGATAATTACCTCTATATGTTTCCGGGAAACTTTAACCCCAGACGGCTGTTTAATCAAGTCGGCAACTGGAAACAGTTCACAAGGCTACCTAGGAAGTTTGGGATAATCATTGACTCGGCTCAGTTGTCGCATCTGACTCGGCTCTTGCATCCGTGACTCGGCCCAACCGCGTGACTGAGTAAAAAGGATCCGCGCCGCGTCAGTTCCAGAATCGGCCTTTGATCCCGGGAATATTTTGAAGGTTTCTGGAAGCTAGAGAAGTCCATTTGGCCAATCATTCCGACATATCGGCATCAACCACCGACCTTTACTCAGGTCGCTATCTGGATGACAATAGCTCGGTATGTCGGAAGGGGCAAGTCACCGCGTAAAGGATGTGTATATGATAACGAGGACGAGTATTTTAATCGACATATCTTCTAAACTCTAACCCTTGACTATTGAGTTTAACTATCATCGCAATTGAATCATTACTCATTTTTGACAAACCTGTTTAAACATCAACATGCGAACTCTTCGATACATCTCCATCGTCGGCTGCCATGCCGAAGGTGAAGTCGGCGACGTCATTGTTGGTGGCGTGCGAGATGTTCCCGGCAAGACAATGTATGAGAAGCTCGTTCATTGTCGAGATAAGGAGGATTCGCTGCGACAGCTCATTCTCAACGAGCCACGAGGCCGATCATCCATGAACACAAACTTGCTTCTCCCTCCGACAGACCCAAGAGCGGATGCAGGCCTCTTGATCATGGAAAGTACCGAGTACGCTCATATGAGCGGATCCAATGCCATGTGCACAGCTACTGTCCTTTTGGAAACAGGCATGGTTACGATGAAGGAGCCCGTCACAGAATTGGCTCTTGATACAGCTGCAGGCTTGGTCACCGTCAAGGCACAATGTGACGCTGGCAAGTGCAAGTCTGTCAGCGTCGAGAATGTCCCATCTTTCGTCGACACACTCGACCTGCAAGTTGATGTGCCGGGACTGGGTGTTATTTCAGTTGACATCGCTTGGGGTGGCATGTGGTACGCCTTCGTCAAGGCTTCCGATCTTGGTCTCAAGGTTGAGAGTGACAACGGAGCTAAGCTGGTCGAGCTTGGAGAACGAGTCAAGGACTACGTCAAGGCCAAGCACACCCCGATACATCCCGAAAACGATGGCATTCGTGGAGTCACTGTTATCTCCATCACAGAGAATCTCAAGGAAGAGGAAGGCTGCAAAACTGCCATGAACACAGTCGTCGTCTCTCCAGGTCGTTTGGATAGGAGTCCTTGTGGAACAGGCACATGTGCCAGGATGGCAGTCCTGCATGCACGAGGTCTCTTGAAGGTTGGAGAGGTATTCAAGCATAGGAGTATCATTGGTACCGAGTTTATCAGCCACATTCGAGGCACTACTCAAGTCGGTAACCGCCAGGCTGTGTTGCCAACTATTCAAGGAAGAGCGTGGATTTCAAGCTACAAACAGATCGTGCTGGATCCTACTGACCCATTCCCAGAGGGTTTCAGGGTTGGCGATCAGTGGCATGTATCTGGTGGTGTATCTTAGAAGACCCTGGATAGACTGGAATCACATAGCGAGATCTATAGCTTCGACCTCAATGCCTGCTTCTCCTCGGCCAACTTTCTCTTGCGTCTCCATCCTTCCAGTTTGGGAGCCACCATGCCAGCCCAGATCTCTAACCACTTTGGATCGAAAGGAGGTAGTGTTCGACCATTGGTACCTTGCGCTGGTTCCCCAGCAATGTCCCTCAAAAACTCGAGATACTTGTCGTAATCAGGGGCAATAGAGTAGTAATCTTTGCCTCCCTTCTTCTCGGCGACTCGCTTCCGCTCCCACTCGAGCTGCTCAGGAACTGAAGGCAGCGGCTTGGCCCTTCCAGAAAGTGTTCTTGCGACGGCCACGGCCTGCCATTCGTATGCTCTGAATGTGAAGCCGCCCCCGAGCTAAAGGTGTGGTCAGCTTATGAAACAGGTCACGAGATAAGGGACATACCATTCCAACAAACGTTAGGGTTGGGTCTTCAATGTTCCATGTGTGTTGGTAGACGCCAGGAAGTCGCCGGTAGGCATTCTTGACCCGGGATTGGACTTCAGGTAGGAACGGAAAGCTAAAGGTATATCCCGTTCCGTAGATGATGTGATCTACCTTGTCCAGCTGCGTGCCGTCGGTGAAGTGAACCTTGCCAGTCTCGGGATCAAGGCGACTGATAGCTGGCTTGATGGCTATCTTGGGATGTGTAAATGGTTCCCAGCCAAATGCCGGGATGGGATCACCACGTATTGATGCGTATACAGGCCCTTCAGTGAAGTCGAGGATTTCGTGGATGATCTCGTGTGAAGACACCGAGGCACCGACTACAATGACACGCTATGGGGGTTAGTTCGCTATTCCGCTTGTCTTCGGAATCGCACTCACCTTTCCTGTATACTTGGGCCCTTCCCTGAAATGCTTACTGTGCTGAACAACCCCAGGGAACCTTTTGTCAAACTCGATGAGTCCGGTAACCTCTGGAAACCAGGGAACATTGTAATGACCGGATGCAACGACGAGGGCGTCAAAGGTCTCGCGCCACCAGTAATTTCTGCCATTGACGACTTTGCGGAGAGTCAACACCCACTCACCATTCTCCTTGACAGCACGCTCAACTGTCGTATCCAGCTCAAGCAGCTTCTCATGGCCACCTCGAGAAAAGATGCCCTCTATCCACTCACGGATAGTCGTGTGGTGACGGAAAGGAGCGTTGGGTCCATACTCATCCAGACTGCGCTGAGAGAGCTTGTCTGGGAATGGCTCTTGAGTGAAGCTCATGATGGCGGGCGTGATGTTGCTGTGAAGGTTCTCATGAATGGCTGTGTCTGAGAAGCGGTACTGGTGACTGTTGACAGCCTCGGAGACAGTTGTAACAGCTGGGAGATTCTCTGGAATTGGCACAGCGGTGTCAGCATCCCCAGCAAGCACCTTCTTCAAGGACGGAATCCCGGCTGGCAGATGAGGTGTGTGAATCCTAGATAAGCGTGAGCTCCCAATTGCGACTGTAGAGTAACTGAAGCTCACCATGTTCCCCCAACACCAGCTCGGCGGTCAAAGACACGAATCGTGTCAAACGCTCCCTCCTTGACCAAGGCATCAGTAGCAATAGCCCCAGCGGGACCGGCGCCAATGACGGCGACACGACGAATCTGACTAGGCATATCTACAGCCTTGACGACGCAATTGCCAGTCCCCAAAGTAATCAAGCGTAATAGAAAAGACAAGATTCCGTGAGACATGTTGAGGGACAAATGTCGTCTTAAGAAATGGCGGGCTCGGTTCAATTGGTTCCGAAACCGGGCTAACTTGATTACGCCAGATGTCTCACGATGGCGTTTATGCATGTTGAAGCACGTAACACCAGAAAGATATGTACGTGATTCTGATGACTCCAATGAATGGGTAGGATAAGATATGAGGCCCACCATAGTTTGATAGTAGGTGAGAACGCGCGGGGGAGGTGCTGGGGTGAGAGATATTGTTCCGACTTTTGAGCTCAAGAGTGGTAAAGATTGTCCGCGATTTCTGACAAATGCGGCTTGGCATAAATATCCATCGCCAATTATACATTGAGCAGCTTGATAAGACCTTGTGCACATTGAATCCACGTTGAGTGCTGCGACATCGCTTCTCATGTCAACCAAGTCAACCGCGTTGTGAGCCAACTCAGAACTGTCGCTGGTACTCTGACATAAGAGGGCAATCGAGGGCCCGACAAGGCTAATGAGAGAGTTTTACAACTATCTGCTTATTTGTAACCTATTGGGAGCATCGTGCAGCTGAAGAAATGCCTTACTCCCAGAGATAAGCTAGCTCACATGAGTCGGCGAGGGCTCAGCTTCAGGGTCACAGTCGTGAACATGGTTTTCTTTCAGTGCATACTTACACTGGCTAAGTAGCAATAAAATTCCTTGAAGTTAATCGTCATTTCTCTGCATCGACTTATGCAACACCTCGACCGATGCCGCTGGCTCCCTTCTATAGTCATCGGGCTCCTCTTTCACCAATCTTCATTTGCCAACAATTAGAAAAAACGCTTCTAGTTGGGTCAAACTCACTGCGCCGAGGATAAAGAGATAAGGATTAATGCATCCACGACTGCAAGACTAAGTGCCGATTCCGCTGGTCTTTGCTGGCCGAAGTTGGAGAGCAGAGGCGCGTCTACATGAAGTAATGGTGGGTGAAGTTCTACAATTGAAGTTCGATGCCAGTGATTGCAGTCAGCTACAGACCGCCTGAAACACCTGAGACCTATATGAAATACCCAGGTAGTCTTGAAATGCGAATTCCCACCCTTTGTTGGCAAGCATAGATGCTCGAAGAATGAAGACAGGCTCATCTGACTTGAACCGGGAGCATCAACAAACAGCTCGACAACCACGCTAATGATTCTATTTTTCAAGGCAAAACAATACTTGCTCAATCTAACACGGCCTAAGAGTTGTATAATGCCCATAGCATTGGTCGATAATAGCCCTGAGCTCATGGCCATCTGCTAACTAAGCGCTCTTGAATACGAGGTCGAAAGCCTCAGAAGCCTCACAATACCACTAGCAGTTAGCCAAGGCATGCCGTGATAACCGACACCCCCTTCGTATCCCAATTGAGGGACCAGAGTAGTCACCACCGGAGTGATGATGGTTGCCGGTATCGAGACACTTGGCTTGCGCAGCAGCTGGCTCCTCGGGCATGGCCCAATCCGATATGAGACGAGCTTTGATAAGAACCAGGGAGATGTGGACAGTTGTCAATCCCAAAGGCTGCTATTTTTGGGCAATTATACTCTACTGCCACAGGCAAACAAATACCCTATAGAGCCCTAGAAACGATGGGAACTCCCATGGTGCAGTGGAAAAGATGAGCGGCCGTTCATCACGGATCTACTCATGTAAGACCATATCAAGGTTAAGGCTGATTGGCCAAAGCTCCAGTTACGATGAGCACCGTACCCTCTGATTGACTTTTCACAAATCTCGATTTAGTCTTTGCGTGATCTCATTTTTACACTCTTGGCTTTTGGCGTGAGGAGATTCTGGTCCGAGTTTCCGAAGATGGAGCAGTGCCAATGCCGATCTGCTCATCATCGAAGCGGGCCCAGCCGGCCTTATTGCCGTTAGCCGATGGGGGTCTACTCCGCATTGAGTCACAGACATGGAGTTGGAGGTGTGTTTCGAGGGTTCACTTGGCTTGCATTGGGGTGCTTGCTTGGCACAGTCAAGGTGTCACTCAGGGGTTAGACAGCTCGGTCATAATCTGTATCAATTTCTTCTAGAACAGTCGCAATACTAAGCAGGGATCATTATGAACTCGGTGTTCTCAAAACAATGCTATGAAAATTCGCTTTTTCCTCCAATCACCACCCCTTACACAGCGATGGCCTGCTGCTGCTTCTGATTCCGGCAGCAGTCGACAGCCGAGCAGAACTGGACATCCTGCTCCACATTTGGGTTCGCAGCTGTCTGGGGGATGGACTGCCGAGCGGGCCAGATCTCCTGGTCCGCCGAGATCTCCTTCTTGTGGTGCTCCTGCAGGGCCTCACGGACCTTTTGCTGGAAGAACAGGGGTCCCTGCTCCATCTCGGGGTGCATCTCGCCGTTGACAAAGACGCCGGCGTTGACGTTGCGCTGGGCGTTGGCGCAGAGGTACTTGTCCTCGGACATGATGCGCTTGTACATGTCGCTGATGACGGTAAAGTCCTCGTCGCTGGAGTTCTTGTTGCGGAACACCTCGTACCTCATGATGGACTTGCTGGGGCTCTTGGGCACAAAGCGCTGGATCATGAAGAAGTGAGGACTGGAAATGGTTAGCTTGGTTCGAGTGTAGATGTAGTGATGAGACTTACGAGACGTTGGTGGAAGCGTTGGGGAAGTAGTATGTGGCAGCGACTCGGAATCCCCTCTTGATCTGGTCTTCTGTAGGGCTACCAAAGTGCTGGATGTACGCCTTCTTGGTCTCAACATAGTACGAGTTGAGATCAGCGATGGAGGGGATGTCAGGGTGGGCAACCTTGCAGTGATAGCACTCGTTATAGTTATCGGCAAGGATCTTCCAGTTGTAGTCGCCCTCCATCTCCCAGGTGTGGTCAAAGGCATAGTCCTCAAAGTTGTAGAAGGAGAAGCGCTCATGAGCATCGATGTTGTCAAAGTCGTCGCTCCAGGCGATCTCAGGCTTCTCCTTGCCATCCATGTTGATCCAGATGAAGCCTCGGACATCAACGTGGACGTGGATGGGGAGAAGACCGTTCTTGGACTTGTCAAAGCCCTCGAGGTCTTGGTAGCCAGGGGCCTTGGCGAGCTTGCCATTGAGGCCGTAGGACCAGCCGTGGTACTTGCAAGCAAAGAAGCTGGCGTTGCCCTGGTCACCCTTCTCAGGGGGAAGGACAGGGAAGGCACGGTGACGGCAGATGTTGTGGAAGGCGTTGATGTTGCCGTCACGGTCCTTGCAAATGATGAACTCGAAGTTGGCCACCTCGTACTTTAGCCAGTCTCCGTTGTTGGGGAGTCTAGCCTTGTGGGTGGTGAGGAGCCACTTTCTGGAGAAGATGGCCCGCTTTTCAAGCTCGTACATCTCCTGGGAGGTGTACCATGAGGCTGGCAGGGCTCGGACGGCGTTCTTGGTGTCAGGGGCAGGGGCAGAGGCGCCTCCACGGCCAAAGTAGCTTTTCAAGAATGATTGAGCCATTGTGATGTGTGTGTGAGGGAAAGATGGAAAGAGCAAGAAGATTGGGAGTGAGAGGAGTGATTAGTGTCCAAGATAAGACAGGGGATTAAAGTTGGTCTTATAGATAAGAGTTGGTGGTGGAGGAAGCTGTGCTTATGAAGCTGGTGTTGAAGATGTTGATAAAACCACTTTGAGTTTGGAGCTGGTTGTCTTCTAAATAGTCGTCGGCCTCTCCCTTCCCGGACACCCAAGAATAGACCGTGGCATGCAATATCCCCCCATCTCTTGCCACCTGATACCCATTGGCATTGCCATGACAGATCGAGTTGCTGATTGGAATCAGGTGGCCCTCGACCGCGGTGAGTTGGGCCGATCACCTGACCGGGCCGTCTATCTCTGGGCGCCGGACTAGCATATCTCACCCCCTACAAACAAGGCCAAATCCGCCCTTGATACACCCTCCTCCATGGGCATGGACCCAATCTCTCATCGATGACGGTCTCTTGGGCCGTTGATCTGACCCCGGCCGCCACTGCCAGCCGCACGCACACGGGGAAGAAAGACAGATTGTCCCCCACGTCTAGATCACATCAAAGGATTGACCCCGGACCTGCAGAACTGTCTATACCAGGAACAGGCATCTCGATGCTTGCTCTGCAGTATCGATCACGATTTTGGGAGACGCCGGCAGTTGCTGGAAGTCAAGGTGAGTGAAATTCGGCTGGAACTGCTCTTCTCAGGATTTTCGTGTGAATACCGTCGGCAGGGCGTGCACAAATCGCGTCCACCTGATCGGTAATAAGCACGCTGTGAGGGCTGTACAACGGAGAACCGACAGCCGGCCGCTGTGACCGCCCTTTGTTGGGGTCATACGGGGACACGATTTCGTAACAGCTTTCAAAATGCTGTGCATCGCGGCCTCAGATCGAGGGAGACGCGCGGCGAGGCCGAGGGAGACGGCATCATCGGAGAGCATTTGCTTATCGCCGTGAGGATGATTTTTGCCGGGATTTGCAATATCTCGACTAACACGGGAGTGACGGCGAGCGGATTCTTGAAGGTTCATCTGTAAGTGTCTGGTTGCGAGCGGAGACTTTGAGTCCAGCGCTCACCAGCCCACAACTACAATGGACAGCAGGCGACGCAGACGCTGGTCTTTCATTCATGTCCGGTCAGAGAGCGTGAGAAGCCAAATTTCTGGTCATTTCTCCAGCAGACAGCCCTCGTCGAGGGTTTCTGCCCGTTGTGAGTGAGACAAGCAAAATGGATTATGAGTGTCTCACTTGTGAGACCCAAATGAGTAGCATTCCTGCTGTAAAACAGGAGCTACCATGCATCAAGAATGCAAGCTTTCTGAATCTCTCTATCCGTCATTCTCCGGTGTAGTACTCGTTACGCTGGTGCTTCTCGACTTGGTGTTTTCTCCTCAAAGATGACAGCCAGCATGTTGTGAAACTCCAAAACACAAACACGAAAATCTCAATGAGCGTATGTGTATTGTGACCAGAATTAGAATTAGAACTCAGAATTCAGTACCTACCAACCGTGACACTGCATTTGAAGAGATAAAGCTGTCAGTTCGAAAAACCGTTGTTCAGCACCCAAGTGCAGCCCCTGACGATCGGGCTCCTGATCAAGATTCAGCGCATCGGCAGTTGAAATTTCTCCGACCTACTAGAAGAATAGACATCCCGCTAGAATGCCAGAGAGAATATTTCTAGAAGAACAGTAGATTCCCTTGTGTGAGAGGGAGGGGTGTTGCGATAATCTCAAGCTCCCTGGCCTTGATCTCGCCTACCCTACAACTGTGAAGACCAAGATAGGAAGAAATTGCAAAGTCCAACCTGCAAGACTGAGTAACCAAAGACTGCTGACTGCATCTGCAAATTATTAGACTGGCAATGCAATTGATGGGTTCGAGACGGGGTCTTTCGGTTTCATTGAGCTTTGTTCTTCATCAATATCAAGCGCCATCAACTAAACACCAACATCCAACCATCACCAATCAGCCACTGCTCTCATCGACATCCAACCCGGCCTCAAATTCAAGCCACAGCCTACATCCAGGGTCCTCCCACCAATCTACAGCCAGTAAGACAACAGCGTCTAACTCATCCTCACGAAACAGACCGGGGACAATGAAACCCGTAACGGTCCGGAGGTTTCACAACCGAAAGCCTTCTCGAAGGTATCCGGTCTCAAACAAAACGCGTGGGGGGTTGTGAGATGCTCGGTAGACCTTCCGACGACCGAAAGCCGGAGCCGGAGGGAAGGGGGTCAAATGATGGAACGAATGAAACGCCACTAGCGTCCTGTGGCTTCAATTGGGACCACGTGTGGTGCCTGGGCCCTCTGCCAGATGTGACGAGTGCCGTCGCTTCGAGGCCTGCAAACTTCGAGACCGTCGTGGACTGCGCGCGAGAGGTCATGGCAAAGTCCACGTCGAGTGATATGCATGGGTAAAGAGACCGGATTGTCCGGATAACAAAGTGCGGTCGACTCTCGGCTGCAGGAGCTAATCTATCTGGCATGGTTATGGATACAGGTAGACATGGATATGGACCCCAGCAGGCGGCAGTTGAGGCGAACCAGGCTACCGGAGGCGTGGGGCCTGCGACAAGACAAGACAAGACAAGACAACTGTAGATGGGTGTCTCATCAATGCTTAGCTGGCAGATCAGATCAACTGACACAACTCGAGGCACACCCTTGCGCGTCTGATGCCAATTGAGGTTTGACAATTGCAAATCTCGCGTCAAGCTAGTCCGGAAACGGAGCGGCTATGCGTTATCTTGAGGTGTGCGGGGAAGCGAGAGAGAGAAAGATGAGGCTATCAAGACAAAAAGAAAGAAAAAGCTTGGACTCCATCCTTCGATAAGTTTTTGCAAACACCGGAACCGTGCAAGCCCGATCTTCAAGTGCGGGGTATTGGCTTGTCGCTTGTGTTTGCGGGGGGGGGCGAAGACGCGGCGTCTGAGATAGGGCTTTACCTGATATAGTAGTAGGCATGCACACCGTACATGATGGCTGTCGCCCGTGTTGGAGGCCAGCTGACCATGGCTGCGAACGGGGAGGCGAGGGGAAAGCTTGACGGAAATCTTAATCTCGAAGGGAGATGATTGTTGATGAGGGAGGTGAGGACTGTGGAAGGGGAGGTGAAGGGTAGAAGGGCGGACATGGTGTCTTTGTTGTTCATTGAGGCCAGCGAGTTTTAGTTGACTGTGCACAACTCTCCAACACTTGACAAGACTCATTCCCTGTTGTGGCCCTTATCTCAAGGTTGCCAAAAGTGATGCTATTCCCAAGGTGATCACGTGATCGGACTTTTGATACGTGATCGGATTCCGGCCACATCGACCGGAATTCCAGACACTCTACGGATAATGAGATCTGAGGGAGGAGAACCGGACTCCGGTACCCACCGACACCGGACCTGCTCTATCAAGAGGGGTGATAAAAGGCCCAATGGACGAGACCAATGGACAAGGTCAATAACTCATCAACTCGGCCAACAAGACTGCGCCAGACTATAATAATCTCTGTCTGTCAATTGGCAAATCAAACACTTCACTCATCTCTACCCCACCCTCTTCTGGAGAGCCAGCCAATAGCATCACTTGAACTCCTGCACAGGTAATCACTCTCGCAATGGCCTCCAACCCTTCTTCCTATCTCATCGTGGGAGCTGGCGTCTTTGGCGTCTCCACCGCCTTCCACCTCATCAAGAAGTACCCGGACGCCTCGGTCACCATCGTGGACCGGGACCCCTACGACGGTGACAACCGCGTGGCGGCGTCATGGGACTGGAACAAGGTGGTCCGCGCAGACTATGATGATCTCGTCTACTGCCGCCTCGCCATCGAGGCCCAGGACGTCTTCAAGTCGGACCCGCTGTGGCAGCCCTACTTTCACGAGACGGGCGTCTTCTGGGTCTGCCGCAGTGACTACGCTCAAGATGTTATCAACAACTACAAGAAGCTAGGCCGCAAGGCTGATATTACTGCTGTCTCTATTGAGGAGGCCAAGAAGCTGTATGGCGGCATGTTTGACCAGGCGGATTATACTGGCGCCAAGGAGGTGCTCATCAACAAGACCAGCGGCTGGGCCGCGGCCGGTGACTCTCTGCGGGCTATTACTCGTGAGGCCATGAAGCTTGGCGTCAAGTACGTTGTGGCTGATGTCGCAACCCTGCAAATCGATGGCAGCGGGCGATGCACCGGCATCAAGACTGCCAAGGGCGATGTCGTTTCGGGCTCGAATGTCATCCTCTGCACAGGGGCTTACACATCCAAGCTGCTCGAGTATAGCGCCGCGAGCAGTGGCCTCGAGGAGCTCCGTGCTGGCCCGCGGATCGTGGCCGGTGGCATCACGACAGGGATGGCCACTCTGGATGAGCGGTCATACGAGACAATTTACTCCAAGATGCCTGTCGGATTCCAGGGATACACTGCCGCAGAAGGTGATTTACCCCGTTGCCACATGTTTCACAGCAGCTAACAGTCATATACAGGACCCTTTATTGGCAGCCTTCCTCCCACAAAGGACAGGGAGCTCAAGTGGTGGGGACGCACCATCTTCAAGAACACTCGCCAGGTCCTGCCTGGACGGTACATCTCTGCACCACCAGATGAGAAGGATTATGCGCAGTGGAAGGTGTCTACCAAGCTCAAGGAGGACATTGACTACTCCAACCAAGTATTCTACGGAAACAAGGGAGCCCACTGGACCATGGAGAAGCACCGTATCTGCTGGTAAGTTTCTTCTTCTTCTCCAACAGCGAGATAGCTCCGACTGACGTCCGACAACCAGGGACGCCTTCACAACCAGTGGAGACTTTATCATCTCCCCACACTCTGCGGCCAAGGGCCTCTACGTAGCAACTTGCGGCTCGTTTCACGGGTACAAGTTCTTTCCGGTGCTGGGCAAGTACATCGTGCAGATGCTCGAGGGCGAGCTGTCTCCTGAGCTTGCGGAGAAGTGGGCCTGGGACAGGGAGCGGCCCGACCCAGCTCTGAACCCTGAGTGGCCGAGGGCAGAGATGAAGGATCTGGCCGATCCCGCAGCGAGGTTGTAGATTGTGATAGAAGATGTAGAAGAAGAAACGAAAGAATGCATGCATGGTTGCTTCGTGTGAGGGGAAATGCGTCCTCCTGCGGAGAAGGGGGTATGCTCGGGAGTTGGCCGGTGTCGGAGCAGGGCTTGCGTGGCAGGGGATAACAGCATAATCATGAGTATCCGTATAATGAATAACATCAAGTTGCGTTTTCGAGTCAGACAAGAAACAAACTGGACTGTGCGGTGAAGTGACTGGGTGCTAATCTCTCTGTCTTATCTCGTGCTATTGATATCGTCTCCTTTTGATCCCCACTCTTGCCTCTCTCCCCCCACTTGTTATCTTTTGTTTATCTCCGGTGCTTGTCTCCCTTTTGACACTTGTCGCTGAAGTACCTATTCAGGATAGTGAGGCGAAGCCTTCTATAATGCCTACGAGTCATCGGTATCACAGCATGGATGTACAATGTACCGCTGTATCCGGATATTTTGCAGGTGTGTGTGTGTGACCTTGTAGAGCATGACTCTATAGTGGATGATCTGTAGATGCCCAACGTGTAGCTCAACAGTCTAACAAGATAGAAACAGCATAGTCTCTTGACCTCACCTGAAGTCGTCTATATCTCCAACTCTATTCCCTATCCACCCACTACCTACACCATCACGACAACCACCGGATCTTCACGGAGTCGCCATCAGGTGGTCCACACTCCTTAGTCCCCTGTTAGCGCACCCCCGGTATCCGTAGTGAGCACGCCTAACCCCGCGTTATCAGGCATGGCCAATGGCTGATGCGGGGTTTGCAACGGCACGGATTGGCCCTGAAGTGCCCTTCCACTGCCACTGACTGCTTTGCCTTTTAGTGGAGGGTGCCCCCCCAAGTATTTAGTGGAAGCGGGCCCCTTCTTGCGCACACCGTAGGTCCCGCTACAGCTGCTTCTGATCGATCACCCCCTGTTGGACCACCCAGCAATTAAATGACGCCTCCAGACGAAAACACCACCACGAGCGTTACCAGTTCTCGCGGGAGACGGCGATCACATCATGCCTGCCTCACTTGCAGGTACGTTTCCCTCCTAGTTTTCCCTATAAACCTGCTAACTCGGTCAGGCGCAAAAAGACACGCTGTCCTGGCGAAAAGCCGGCATGCTCAAGTTGTGTCCGTCTTAAACAGTCATGCTCTTATCCGCCGGCGATAAGACCCTCCCAGAGCGGCCCTTCGGTACGTTTTACCGTCTCCCTGACGCTTATTACATCTTGACGAATTACAGGAGGAGAGGCTGGCTCACTTGGAAGAGAAACTGGATTTCCTGCTGAGTGGAAGCTTGTACACAAGCCCCAGCGTCTTTGGTGTCATCTTTGCTGACTTTTCATGCTAGGCCTACCCACGCCGCTCGTCAACAGCAGCAGCAACAACAACAACAACAACAAGATACCGCCTTTGAAGAGAACACGGATACTTCTGAAAAGTCGTATTCAGGGCATCCTCTTGGTCGTGAACCGAGCTATCCGACCAGCCACCCCTCAGTCAAGTCGTCGGACTGCGAAAGTTCGACGCTGAGACCGAGCCCAGCCGACATCGCCTGTGGCATCGCCCTCTACTTTGAGTTTTGCCATCGGCAGCCCATCTGGTGCTTTGAGCGTGACGAGGTCAATGACTTTGCCTCTCTGCATGATGAGTTGGCTTGCAGTATCCTCGCTTTGACGTTGCGCTTCTCGGAGAATCGTGATCAGTCGCAGCTATATGGCAACAATGCCAAGAGTTTGATCATGCTCCGGATCGCAAACGGAACAGTGGATCTTGCTACTCTCGAGAGCTTGTGTCTACTATCCTATTCTTCTTTTATGGGTATGTCATTCTTGACATGTTTCTGGAACCTGGCTAACTTGTTTAGATGGAAACGTTCATCTCGGCCAGTTCCATCTCGGCCTGGCCTTCCAGCTCTGCCGCTCTGCCATGCTCGATCTTGAAAGCGTATATGGCATAGATGATCCGCAGGCAGATCGCAAGAAGAGACTTTTCTGGAGTCTTCAGATGCTGGAGCAGTCATATGGCCGACAAGAAGGTCTGTTGAGTGTTCCAACCGAGATTTGGCGGCCATCCTATTCTTCATATCGCGGGCACCACTCCGGCGCAGACCCAAGAGCACCAAGATTACCGAGAGACGATCTTGGATGCTCATTACCAAACGAACCTGGAATTTGGAACACAAGTGTCCATCTGGGTTGGGTCTGGAGTCAAGTCAGGAAATACGTCTCTGACTGTGCTCACAACAACCTCAAAGAACCCTGGCGTCACGATTCCATGTACGCCAAAGTCCTAGCCGACTTTATGGAGACGGAAAATAGGATCCCCATGTGTCATCGGTACGACACGGTCAAGTTTTATGAGCGCAAGGTTGAGGATCTCAAGATGCACCGCGACTATTGGGCGCCGTGGTTGAAGGAGCAGTTCACGTACCACGTGATTCCTACTGTTCTCAACCATCCGTTTCTCTACATTGTTGGTGCTCAGCACAACCCCAATCTTGCTATTCCGAATACCTTTTGGAGGAGGTCGTCAGAGCTGGCATTGCTACACTCAACTTGGATCGTTCGCATGATCGATATGGTTGTGGATAAGCAAGTACCGTTGGCGGATCCCTTCTTTGGACATGTCGCGGCTATCGCAGCAACAGTGCATTTGTACTATTGCTGCGCTGCTGCTACAAGACTCAAGCACAAGTCAAACACGGACTTTGCAAAGTGCAGGAGGTTTCTCAAGGGCTTCATCCCAACCTCAGCTGCCTGCAGAGCCTTGGTATGTCTTGTACAAAAATAGAGAGAATGACGCTAACAACTACTCATAGGATCGCAATCTGGACAAGATGACACGGATCGCTGCCGGCTCTGACACCATGGACGTCGAAGATTGGATGCCATCCAAGATCTACCTCAGCGTACCTTTGATGTGGAAGATTCTGCAATTCAACACCGTCGCCGACTCCCACGAAATTCCACACGCCGGTCTCCTAGATTCCTCTCTCGTACCAGTCATGGCCAACGAAGACACGAGCGAAAACATGACTCTCGAGATCATCGTTGCCACTTCACCAGAGATCAGCATCAACACAGCAGATGGCGGACAAGAAGCACCCACCATGTCGTACAAACCCACCGTTTCGTCATCATCACAACCTGACTCTGCGCGGGACACTGTCAGCGACGAAGTCCCTGTGGATGACAGCCTCACGCTGTGCACAACACCATGGCTGTATGCAGACTCATCACAGTTTGTCAACATAGGGGACATGGGCTATGACGACTCGCAGCCTGCCATCAGCGAGAACAGAGGTTCTGCGTGGTGGGAAGGTGAAAATTTTAGTAATATCATGTTTAATCACTTTTAGAATGCGTAGCAGGCTTCCGGTTTCAGGGGTTTACAAAAGTTGTACACATAGAATGGGAGTTAATAGAGAGAGCCATTTGGGAGCTGGGCATGCCTACCTACACGGACAGCTCACGACACACAGAAACACGTCCAAATCTACTTCCGTGCATGCCTCCCGCGTCTCCAAAGTGTGGATCATGCGGAGTCTAATGGCGCTGCAAGCATTCCACGCTCTCTCACGACCCTCCCGATATGGGGCGTCCGGGGTGCCGAGACCGGGGGGGGAGGCGAACAGTCTGGGGTTCTCGGTTGGATGTGGGGAAAAAGAAGTCTCCTCCGCGGGGAAACCGAAGCGGAGATGACGAACTTCTGCGCTAGTCATGCACGATTTGTTCAACCCTGGTCTTTGGCTTGGGACCAGGAACAGCGGCTTGGTGAGCCATTTTAGTCAGAAGGGCCAGAAGTCTTCTAGTACGACTGGATACGTCGACTGAAGGGAGAATCTGGGGTGTTGAGTCTGGGGTAATTAGACGGGGGTTTGTTTAGCTCCGGGGTAGTGCAGCGTGATCAGGTCAGGGTCCAGAATGGCCTCGTCTTGAGTCAAGTTTCAGGGGCCCTTGGAGGGGTTTAAGTTGCCTATTCCAATCATGGAATTGTTATTACCCATCGTAATGACTGTGTCTGTGCTTCTAGTCCCGGTAAGTGGTACATTCGCCTCGTGTTGGGTTGGTGATGTTGCTATCCCATCATCCTATGGAGCTGGAAAACCTTGATGACATTTGCTGACCAGTTGGGACGTAGGAAATGATATGTCAACGCCATGGCTGTGTTCAGTAGCTGGACTATTGTTCGAGCCCGTATTTGTCAGATCCGGTTCAATGTTACCGAAGCTTCCACTAGCAGCGCTATTCGTCAGCATTGTTAATGAACTTCCTGTTGGAGACCACATAGTATGATGCATTCATTTTCTGCACATCATACTCCGTGGGGGTCGTCTTTCCAGAAATCAGCATTCTCGTGGGGTTCTTTTCGCCCCTCATGATTGAAGACTGCACTCATCTGGTTGGCGGTGATTACTGGGATCCACGGTTGCCTGAGGCCGGATCTCCTGGAGTACAGCCATGGCCATTGCCACTGCGACCAGCCTCCATGCGCACCACTCAGTGTCTTTTTCTCTCGAAACCCTACGAGTACCGTTCAAGTTGCTAAGAGGAAACAACCGCTAATTTCCGTGACCTTCAGATTCAGGAACCCTCTCGAAATCCGGGATGATGATGCAGCAGAATCTCTAACCTGTAGGAGATGATACCGTGCCGATCACCCTGCTCTTCGTCGCCTCCGTTGCAAACCTTCAATAGTTCACCCCATACCTAAATCTCAGCTCAATAAGGCACCTCAAGCCTAGAAATACTTCTAACTGCCTATCACGCTCCTCATCGGACTTGCATGTTGGCTGTTGCCGTTTTCTTGGGACATGTGCAAAGGCACTCTTGTTCCATGGAGCAATATCAAAGCCCATAAAAGCCTATTTAGCGAAACCAGAGGTGCAATAGCGGCCAAACCGTTGTCTAAATGGGCGTTATGAACAATTTTTGTATCAATTCACAACTCCATGCTGTCAACGCCCTCAAGATCACGATCATCATCTACGCCCCGGCAACACGAACCAACCGAGCGACCAGCCCTCTCCGTTGTCTCTTACCGAAAAAATATCTCTTTTCGCATCCTGAAGAAAATGTTGAAAACTGTGTTTTACTCATATTCTTTTCCTCTAATCCCACATTACCGATTCTGCCTCACCTTGACCTCCAGTTCCTGGGGACGCATTGGAAGATTGCGGCCTGTCTATCTTATGCCTTTATTGACTAAGTGGCTCTCGTTGGCTTCATATGCTCTCATCACGCCTCAATTGACAAAGTTCGTCAGAAGACGTTCTCATCTGCCGTACGTTCGGGCCTACCATGCCTGGCATTGCGGAAACGGTGTTTCTTTCGGGAATTCACATCATTGGTTGGAAAGAACGCTTAAGAACGCGTTCAGTCGGGCCAGTAAGCTCCGTTTATATTGGAAAGACAACCGAAAAAGTCAATTGCGCTTTGATCCAAACAATGTTGTATCACTACCAGTGCATAGTGTTGTCACAGGCTGGACTCGATCCCATCAATGGTCCGTATACTACCACCCAAGCGGTGAGACGAAACAGTAGTGATGCTCTCAAAACATCACTTGACCACCAACTCGGCGCGTCAGACAAGGCCGATTATCGCTTCCGACAACGGTGAAGGCCTTACCCCCCCGCCGAGTTGGAGAACTTGATCGAGCAGCTGACTTTAGCGAGGAACGAAACAGATGGGCTCGGACCTTCACGCCGTCCCCAGCCACTCCGATCTGGAATGACACTTATCATAGTGGCCGTTGGAAGGAGCTGTCTTTCTGCCTGCATGCATTAGACACTGGAGATATCACGCGTCCTATCATCTCGGCACGGGGTCTTGACTACCGGTACTTGATGCCCGACGATCAAAGAATCGACATCTGAACCACCCCTCCCTCTGCTTCGTTATCTCCCCCGCATACAGTAGACTAGCCACCCGAGGAGAGATAGGGTGTTGTCCGTCGAGACACACCCTCCCGGACGGCTTCTTATGCCGATCACGTGATCGCTCCCGCAACCGGAGGCGTAGGGGTATAGTTATCGGAACCATGACAAGGATGGAAGAGACGATCTTATTTTAGTTCAAGTGCGGAGTTGTTGAAGGAAAAGCTATTTGGATATAATTCAACCTTCATCCTTTTGCCAATAGCGTTCTTTGTGTGGCTCATCTCACAAATCCCCTTTCACATACACACACAAGACCATGGCTCCCTCACCACGCGTTGTCATTATTGGAGCCGGCATCGTCGGCGTCAATGTCGCCGACGAGCTGGTCTCCCGCGGCTGGTCAGACGTTACCGTCGTCGACCAGGGTCCCCTGGACATGCCCGGCGGATCTACCTCTCATGCCCCTGGTCTTGTCTTTCAGACCACCACATCCAAGACAATGACGGCTTTCGCCAAGTACACTGTCGAGAAGCTCTTGTCTCTTGATTGCTTTAGACAAGTTGGTGGCTTGGAAATTGCCACCACCCCTGAGCGTTTGGAGGAGCTCAAGCGAAAGAAGGGGTATGCCTCTTCATTTGGTGTCGAGGCCCATCTCATCAGCCCTGAGCGATGTCTAGAGGTGTACCCTCTTTTGAACAAAGATCTTGTCCTCGGTGGCCTGCACATTCCTACCGATGGCCTGGCACTAGCTGCCCGCGCTGTTCAAGAACTTATCAGCCGCACCCGCAAGGCCGGAGTGCGTTATCTTGGCTCAACAACCGTCACCAGCATCGACCACGCCGACGGTCACGTTTCAGGCGTCGTGACACCTGATGGCACAATTCCCGCCGACATTGTCATATCATGCGCTGGTTTCTGGGGTGTTGAGGTGGGAGCAATGGTCGGCGTGCCAATCCCTCTAACACCCATGGGCCATCAGTACGTCAAGACGACTCCCGTACCTGGTCAGGCGGCCAGGGTTCCAGAGACCAACGGTGTGAGACTTCCCATCCTGCGACATCAGGACGAGGATCTTTACTACCGCGAGCACGGTGACCACTACGGTATCGGCTACTACGGTCACCGACCGATGCCTGTTGTGGCCGCCTCATTGGGCGAGACACCCAAGCACGTCACCGAGCACAACATGCCTTCTCGCCTCGACTTTACTCCCAAGGACTTTGAGCCCGCCTGGAAGCTCACTCAGGAGATTCTCCCCACTTTGCGAGATACCGAGATCGCGAGTGGGTTCAACGGCATCATGTCTTTCACCCCCGACAACGGCCCGTTAGTTGGCCAGGCCCCTGGCTTCGATAACTTCTATGTTGCTGAGGCTGTGTGGGTGACGCATTCCGCTGGCGTGGCTCGAGCCCTGGCTCAGGTTTTGACAACGGGCAAGTCCGAGCTTGACCTCACTGATTGTGAGCTCTCTCGATTCGAGCAGGTTCAACTCTCCCCTGGTTATGTGGTTGAGACATGTTCGCAGAACTTTGTCGAGGTTTACGACATTATCCACCCTATGCAGCCCAAAGAGTCACCTCGAAACCTGCGCGTCAGCCCCTTCCATTCCCGTCAACAAGATCTTGGCGCCTATTTCCTCGAGGGCGGTGGCTGGGAGCGTCCTCACTGGTTCGAGTCCAACCAGAAGCTCATCAAGGATCTTCCTGAGGAGTGGAAGCCCGTTGAGCGTGATGCTTGGTCATCTCAATTCTACTCGCCTATTTCTGCGGCGGAGGCTTGGAAGACACGAACTTCATTGGCCATGTATGACATGACCCCCATTCGCAGACTCGAAGTGTCTGGTCCTGGTGCTGCAGAACTTCTTCAGCGTCTATCTACTGCGAATGTTGCTGGAAAGCCAGGTACTGTCACGTTTACTCTCCTTCTCGACGACCATGGAGGTATTCGCAGCGACGTCTTTGTGTCCAGGCTTGCTGAGGACTTGTTCCATGTCGGCGTCAACGGCCCCATCGACTTGGTCTACTTTACACGAGAAGCTCGTGCTCAGACCAAGAAGTCTCCTTACCGATTTGTCGAGGTTCGTGACATCACTGGAGGTCTCGCCAGTGTCGGTTTCTGGGGCCCTCGTGCCCAAGATGCGATCAAGTTGATCACCAAGGACGACTTTAGTGAGAGGGCTCTTCCCTATCTCCATACCAAGAAGGCAGTCATTGCGGGTATCCCCGTGATCGCCACGAGGTTCTCGTACATTGGTGAGCAGGGCTGGGAGATTTACACAACTGCCGACAACGGCTTGAGACTCTGGGATGCTCTCTGGCAGGCTGGTCATCCTTATGGAGTCATCGCTGCTGGTCGAAGCGCTTTCAACGCCCTGCGAATTGAGAAGGGTTTCCGGTCTTTCGGTATTGACTTGACAACCGAGTATGACCCTTACGAGGCTGGACTCGAGTTTGCCATTCATCCCGGTAAGGAGGGTTACGTTGGGCAGGCTGCACTCAAGGGCAAGTCCAGTGAGAAGGCTGCCAAGCGACTCCGTGGTCTCATCATCAACGACGGACGGTCAGTGGTTCTCGGAAAGGAGCCAGTGTTTGCCAAGGGTCGAGCAGTTGGTTACATCACCAGCTCAGCATTCGGATACAGCATCGGCAAGCCCATCGCATACGTCTACCTCCCCAAAGACGTCATCGACGGAGACACAGTCGAGATTGAGTACTTTGGCCGCCGCATCAAGGCGACGGTCGCGGATCCGGCTCTGTACAAGCCAGAGTCGAGTCCCTACGGCCAGACTAGCACGGCCAGCTTCTCGGCTCGTCTATGATTATGAATTAATGTGTTGGAAGAAAACATGGTTACGGTCGGATTTGCAAAGGAAGCATGTTGGGATGTGTTTGTTTGTTGCATGTCAAGACAGTTTTGCGTGTAGAGCGAGTCTGCTTGACCTTTTATTGCATGAATTAATATGAGAATAACAACGTTCATTCAACTCAACGCAAGGCAAGTTGCCGTAAGGGGTATCCAAGATGATCTTGTCGCCAGTTCCCAAAAACAAACCTAGGTACATGTCGTCGCTCCTCCTCTGCATTTTTATTAAAATACATGAACACCAGCTTCTTCCTTTTAGTTTCAAAGGACTCTTGTTCTGGAACCGACTCCCGTAGCCCACAGTGACATACAGGTCGCGCATCTGCAAAACTTGGCGTTTCTAACAGGCAGTCAACGTAATCCATACAACTGTAATACGCCTCGGTTGCAGCTTCCAAGTCGCGAACCTGAGCTTTGCCGCCGAGGGTACCAGCCATTACCATGTCAAAGACTTCTTTCTTTGTCAAACGAGGTTCTGCACTCTCCCTGACCACACGACGAGCGTTGGCGCAAACCTTGATGCACCACCGAAGCTGCCCAGAATCAACAGCGGCCTCGAATATGGCTCCTCCGGGTTCATATAGCGCGCAAAGAGGGAGAATATCTCTGCTCAGGGCAGCTATGGTGATGTCTTTGAGCACATCAAGCTCGCCCACAGTCCAGGGTTTGTTCGGAGGGAATGGCGTGCCCTTGCCGTCACGGCGCGGGATATTGGTTGGAGGCTTCCACTCTTCTTTTCCCCATGCTTTGTCGAGGAACTCCAGCGTTTCCGCTTTGTATGCTTCTGTATTCGTGCGGCGCTTGGACGTCTCAGTTGAGGCCGACTTGGGACTAGGGATACTTGAGGTATCGCCCATTTTTGGTGGAGATTTTGGGACGGCGGATATCGATTTTGTTTCTTTTCGATGGGTTTGTTTATAGTATATAGCATCGATGTCCTTGGGAGAGAAACATCAGATCACACTACTTATATATTCTTTTCCGCTGTTAGAAAGTTTGTTGAGAGCTGCGACACAACTCTTGCAAAGTTTATTCAAACAGATGAAGCTTTTTGTATACCAATTGACATGCATGGTCGAGTTCTGCCTAGGCCGTTATCGACCTGTTTTGCCTTTCATCAACCATATAGCCACCGTTAAGCCTCACTTCTCCTTCTCATACTCATTCAGAAATCTCAATAACAACCTTGCCTCTCGCTCGGCCAGATTCCACCTTGTCCCAAGCTTCGGCAAACTCACCAAACTTGACAACACTGTCAATGTTTGGCTTCAGCTTTCCAGCCTCCAGAAAACCAGTAATGCTATCGAGGTCCTTGCCGAGTGGAGTAATAACAAACCACAGACTTTGGACGTTCTTCTTCACGTCGGTCGGGCGGCTGTCCTCTGGCACGCTGCACACACTGACGATAGTTCCGCCTTCTCGGACCGCGTACCAGGATTGGGCGAGCGATTGGCCTCCGATGCAGTCAAAGATAAAGTCAATCTGGCGAGACTTGGAATCCTCGGCAACCCATTCGCCGATGCTCTGCTTCTTGTAGTTGACAGTCTCTGTAGCACCAAGTGCTCGAACAAATTCACCGTTCTTTGGTCCAACCACAGCAACCAGACGGCTGACGCCAGCAGCGCTCGCAAGCTGGACCGCCCAACTGCCGACTCCTCCAGCTGCAGCAGTGATGAGAAGGCTGATCTTGGAGTTCTTCTCCTTTGCAGCCGTGTCGCCGTTTAACGCCGAGGCATCCAGCGGGCCCTTGGTGAAGAGGGATTGGTATGCCGTCAAGGCGCTGATCGGGGTCGCCGCAGTTTCAGCCCAGCTAAGGTTCTTGGGCCTGATGGCAAGCTCTCGCACGCGCGCCAGAGTGTACTCAGCCGCAGCGCCCGGGCGGTTGGCTTCGATGCGAGCATAGACCTCATCGCCACTCTTGAAGCCACTGCTCTCCGGGGCCGAGACAACTGTGCCGGCAAGATCCTGGCCTGGGATGGGGATCTTGTCATCACCGATGAAGTCGGGTGCCCAAAGAGCCCAGTCGAGTTCGCCTTTGCATGGAGCGGTGGCATGCACCTTGACGAGAACATCCTCAGGATGGGTAGGCACAGGAACGGGGATGTCGGAGAGGATGAGGTTATGGGAGTTCTTGTCAGGCTGGAGAACTGCCTTCATCGTGGTGGGGATGTTGAGAGAGGCCATGGTTCGCGTGATAGGTTGACAGCGATTTATGGCAAAGTTAGAATTGAAAATATGGTTCGAATGAAGCCGAGTGCGAGTAAAGGTAGATGTGAAAGCTTTGCGTGAAATGGTCACAAGAGAGATGACTCTTGACATTCTTTGACAGCTGCTGGTGCCTGCTTCTTTAAACTCTGCTTCCATCGAGCCTATTTGTACTTACTTCTCTAATCCGAAACTCTCCCGAGATATTCCATTGCTGACAGCCACCCTCGGCAGATTTGTCTTGTGAATACAACCTCCTTGAAGCAACGTGCCATGTACAAACAGTACTAAGAGCACTGTTTTCCCAATACGGTAATCTGCCAACCAAAGGTCAAGGCTTGGCACATCGGGCTCTGCCAATTACCGTCCCACCTCTTTGCATCATCGCAAAGTCATCAATGCCCGGTTGACCCGGAGCTGAAAATTGGACTTTCCTCATGACCGAAGAATGACTCACGGCATTGTAATCAATAAATCATGTAAATTGAGAGTTGCGGCTGTTGTGATACCTCCAACCGCCCTTCTGAAAGCTCGGATTTGCCAATGTCACTCGGCTCAATCACCCTTATGCATAGATTTTCCACTGTCAAATGAAAACCTGCATAACCATCTTAGCTGCTGGCCACTGTGAAACAGACCCGGGCGTTCATAGTGCTTATGATTGACGCGTGGAAACGTGGAGACCTCAACACATTCACCCTGCAGATACCCGATACCCGAACGACCCGCCTACTCAACAAGCTAATAGCAGAAAGCCGAGAGGATTGAGTTGTGTATAAAAGCAGCTGCTTTCGCCGTTACGCTCTCATTCTTTAATACAAACAGCACTCTTCAAACAAACAACATCATGGAATTCCCTAACGTCGACTTGAACCTCCGGTGGCAGGATCAGAATGTGGTCAAGAAGGATGGCCAGTGGACTGTTGATGGGTGAGTGCATTCACGGTGACATCTTTTTCTATTACTATCATGCATCTTTTCAGTTTGGAGGCCGTTGAGACTGAAACTTACTTCGTGCAGACGGCCGACCGTTGGTGTTGCCGTGTCCCATGTCCACCACCCACCCAACATCCCCGGCCAAACCTGGCTCGGACTCACCGTGACGACTCCTGTAAATGCGGGTGAGTGTTTCTTTCTTCAGTATTACCAAGTTAAGACTGACTTATCTTCAGCCACGCCTCCTCACACTCACGCCGGTGCAGCTGTCGTGGCAACCGTCATCCGAGGTCATGTCCTCAACCAGATGGTCCACGCTCACGTAGATCCGGCAACTGGTGAGACTCGCTCGCATGATAGCGGCGCAAAGATATATGGCCCTGGAGAGAGCTGGTATGAGGCACCGGGATGTCACCACGTCCGTTCCGAGACCGTTGGCGATGAGGAGTGCGTGTTCATCGCGAACTTGATTGTCAGCACGGATACTTTCAAGGGGCTGGATGTCAAGTCTCGGGCCCCAGAGGATGACTTGGCAAAGATTCTGCGTGTTGTTATCATTGACAAGGAGGTTGAAGAGCAGCAGGCGGCTGCTGGACAACAGTGAGGGTTAGAAGCGCCAGGTTATACAAGATGAGAAAATAAACTGCAAATTCCGATTGCGTGAATACGAATTTATGTTCCTCATGTGTCATCCTACGGAATAGCAACAGGGCCATTGAAGATGCGAACGCCGTCATATACGTCTTCTATTAAGTCAAGTGGTTCCAGGAGCAAGCAAATGTTTGAGAGCAACTCACATTCAGGCAGGGGCTTCTCACGGCAGAATGCTATAAACATCGGCAAATCGTACAAGATTAAGATTTATGCCATATTTAAACACTGGATACAAAATTCTCCTCAAAAACAGCTGTGGAGACTCGTTGAGTGATTTGGCGAGGTTGAGGCTAGTTGGCCGGGCCAACATGCGTCGTCAGCTTGAGTAACCCTTCTTCACTTCGGTCACACAATAGAGCCGAATTTCCCATAGTCATTAAACCGGCTTGTTCCATAGGTAATTTCCTCATCTCCATCAAGGCGCTCACCATCTTCAGAGGTAGGCTAACCGGGCAATCGATTAGACCCCGGGCTCCGGCGGGTGGGGACCGGGTATCCGATGGATACCCGAATGCCTGGGATCCCGCACTCAACCCTTTCAAAGTTAGACCGGACAACGAACACATCCACAGCCAGGAGATCAAAGAAGATGAGTTAAACTTAATATAGACTACCTAGATGCTGAAATATGCTATGGGTTTGATTGGCCAAGCAAATGCTTGATGGCCGAAGTGAACATGTCTACAACTATGCTATTATTACAACTTAGAACATGGCGTGAAGCACACGTTTCCAGGCGGGCGCCGCAGCCATCTCACGACGGTAAGCGTTGATGCTGTCCCAATCATGCTCACGAAGACCCGTGTCGAGGTCAATCTCGCTGAGCTTCAACCAACCCTGCCTCTTCCAGATGTATCCACCGACATAAAAGAGAATGACAACAGGGAAGGCCAGGTAGGACTCGAAGAAAGACTCAGCATCACCAACGGATCCGTCAAGGTTGGTGATAGCAGTGTAGAACTGGGCAATCAGAACGATGATGTTGAGGCCCAGGCCAATGTAGGAGCCCCAAACACCAAAGATAGCCTTGAAGGGAATCTCGTCAAGAGAGTGGCCGTGATACTTCCAGGCATGTCGGAATCGAATGTGGCAGAGACAGATGGAGCCCCAGGTGAACAACGCAGCGAGACCGGAAAGAGCCTGAAGCCAGGTGAAGACGGTGCCTCCGTTTCCGTCGACACTGAGATAACCCAAGAAGCCCATCAAGATGATCAAGGCGACGGAAGGGAGAGGACGACCCGACTTGTCGATGTATGCGAAGAACTTGGGAGCGAAACCTTGCTGGGCAAGAGCGACAAGAGTTCGGCTACCACCGTACACACATGAAACACCGATGGATAGGACGGAAACCAAGATGATGACGTTCATGAACGAGTCGTAACCCTTGAGACCGGCGTTGGCGACGGCGATAACAAAGGGAGAGGCACTGGGGTCATCGCTGCCAGCGTTCAACAGTCGCTTGTCGGTTGAGTCGACAAGAAGACCAACCAGGAGAAGACCGACGACGTAGAAGAGGGTGATTCGCCAGAAGACCTGCTTAATGGCGCCAGGGAGGGCCTTGGCGGGGTTCTTGGCTTCAGCGGCAGCAAGACCAACGAGTTCGGTACCGCTGAAGGAGAAGGCAGCAGTGACAAAGACACCTATCTCATGTTAGATACTTTACTTTGTAAGCATTGGCTGGCTGTGTGATACATACCACAGAATCCTCGGAAGCCGTGCTGGAAGGCACCTGGGTCATACCAGAGTCGGGCGCCCCAGTATTCGTGATACAGACCGTCAGAAGGTCCACCACCACAGACAAGGACAATAGCAACAATCATGAAAATGAGAGTTGCCGAAAGCTTGAGAAGCGAAGCCCAGAACTCTTCTTCGGCGTATCCAAGAGTACCAAAGACGTTGATGAGGATGATGACGACGAGGAAGACCTTGACATGCTGTTAGTCCAGGTCGAGTTTCACTTGAACATGGTTACTCACACTAATCCAGATGGCGACGTTGCTGCTGGGAGCCCAGTACTGAATGACAGTACCGCAGACTGTCAACTCCAGAGGCAAGACGAAGGCCCATTGCATGACATAGTTCCAACCCATGGCAAAACCCCAGGAAGGATCAACGAATCGGTTGGCGTACCTGAACATGTGTTAGCGCATTACTCTAAATGTTTGTTATGGTCGACTCACGTGTAGAAACCACCAGACACGGGATACATGACAGCAAGCTCACCAAGGGCATAGACGACGTTGAACATCATGACACCCATGATAAGGAAACCGATAAGGACAGAGCCGGGACCACCTGTTTGCAAGGCAGCTCCACTACCGACGAAGAAACCAGCACCAATACTAGGTTCAGTTAGCACCCAAAGTCAAAGGCCAGTTCAATGATTCGGAGGGGACACTTACCTGCCACCAATGGCAATCATGTTGAGATGGCGAGGCTTCATCCGTCGCTCAAGTTCTACCGATCCCTTGCCATGATCCTCGTGAGCGGTAAAGGACTCGAGGGTGAGTCCATTGCGAGTGGCCCATGACTTTTCATTTTCGGTGGTGACTTCACTGGAACCTGGCTTCTCATCCAATCTTGGTGAACCCTGAGCCTCAAGGGCTTCATTCTTGGGACTGATGTCTGCCATTGTGAATTCAATGCTCAGGAAAAGATTGACTGAGTCGAAACAAATTACTATGGACGATCACCAGCGGGAGAAGCCAGATATAACGTCCCTCGTAGGTGGCAAAGACATGGTCAATGAGATAGCACGTCTATTCGGGCCTAAGTCAATAAGGAAGGTCCCAACTACCAGAGCAAAAAGGTACGTAATATGCGTATTACAGTTAATCGTTGGTCTGATCTGGGGGAAGCTGGCGTACACGGATAAAGCGGCAAGACTATGCCGGAAGAGAAGGGCACTACGCCACATGACCAGGGTATGCTCTAACCTGTTAGGTCGCGAGGCTATCAGCTCGCCCCGTTGATCGCGTGTGTCTGTGCTGTTTCAGCGTTCCTGGGAGAAGACAGTTGGAAGACCGAGGGAAGAGTGCTTACGTGGTACGGGTTGTTTTTTTTAAGCTGTGGCATGGCTTCAGCGGAATTAATGGCAATTGGCGAAGCTATCAAGCATGTCGGGAATTTGGAAGAAAGAACAGCTCTAGAACAAGATGGGGGGGCCAGTTTCTAGGGCGATTTATCCCGGACTTGACCAAGTTCGGGAATGACGGGGTTGCAGCAATGCAACCGACATGGTTCTACCAAGGGATACACTTTAGTCCGGGGTAAAAAGACCCCCTTTTCCCTTGCAAATTGACCAGGTTCTAGGTATCTCTGCGGTATCTCGATCGACGCGAGATGGCGTATCAGTCGGCCACCCCGTGTGTCACACCTGGGTCAGCGAACGGAGCCGATCTAACCGGCCGCGTCTTATCACTAGTGCAAACCCCGCGCATAACATACGACGCGGAGATGGGTAGAGGGACGCTAATTGGGTTGCCTGGTGCAGTCTTATCAGAGGTTAATTTGCCGAGGCAGAACACGGGCGTGTCATTTCTTCAAAAGGTCCCGTCATGTTTTACTTTGACTTGCCCAAGGAGGAATGTGAAAGGATTCGTGATGTTGGTCTCGAGACGAAGCAGTATCGAATGAAGGCCTCGTTTATTTATGGAGTCGGGCCCGGAGATATGGAACAAACATCCGCTGTTGTATCCGTGACAGACTTGGCCCCTTTTGAACGACGCGAAGATGTGCAAGATTCGATCCGCGGCAAGCCCGGCGAGAGGGTGGTGACGGGTAACAAGATGGTCACGATTTACCTTTTAGAGGATATAAAACATACAACATATACAATGTTGTAGTTGCGCTTTGTAACAATGACTAGCATTGGCTCTTTCAATGAAGTTGTCTAGTTGAGGCTCAATAGATCTGATCGAAGGCTTGGCAGGGCCTGGGCGCTTGGCGTTGCGACTTGACGGCTTGGCGTGAACCAGGAAGCACCATGTCGCGCTGCAAGCTTGATCGGGGCTTGATCAGAAATGGTATGAAGACCGCTGCATATTGCAGACATATAGATGCCGTGTTGTCGGAAAATATGGCTTCTCGAAGTTATTCTGTTCTACTGCATCGCTTGGCCGAGTAACAGAATTGATGGTTGGGGGTAGTGAGATGGTGACGTAATCCTCTGCTACCCTGCACCCAAGCATTATTTTTCTCGGGATGATTGATTTCGTTTCCAAGAGACAGAAAAGTCCTGTCATTGACTACTTTAGAAACCCATAATGGCCGGGGATTTGATTGTTCGAAATTGAAAACAAAACTGTCAACAGACAACGTGTACGATTCTGTTGTGTGCGTTTCATTCTCACAATATGAATCCCCGAGAGTTGCGACACAAGAGCCCGTTTGCTTTCGCGCCACGTGCGTGTTCCATGAATGTGGAGTGGCTTGTGGAGTGGCTGGTGGAGTCGAGGGGCGATGAAAGATAAGAAACACTTGCATGGCCCACTAAAATCCCACTTTACCTAAAGTCACTCTTATCTGTCACGTTATTTTCTGCTCTCTTATCAGCTTTAAGCCACTGGAAGTGATAACGGTCACCAAGCCACACAACAGAGACCGGCGTGGCCGTGTCGGCGGGTCCTCAACCGAAGCCACTTTCAGCCACGGTCGAAAATCGCTTGAGGGCTCACTATCATTTTATGATAGGGTACTAGCTGAAACACTCGCTACTTTCGTGCTGCTGCGATAGTGTCTTATCAAGCATGATATGTGGGGAAAACTAGACACTTGCGTAATTCAACTGGCTTGTCACGGTCAAAGACGAAATGGAAGCATTCATGCAAGGAGATCAAACGGCCAAAATTTCGGTTAAACAAAGAGAAAACTAGCATGGATGCTATGGCGATAGAAAAACATAATAAACCACTCACTCATGGAGAGGTGATGAGAGAAGGAAAAAGCGGGGATAATATCGAGACTGGCATTTGCTCTTCGATTGCTTGGCTATCTGACACTCAGAACATAACACTATCCTAGGAACACTTCCACCACGATCACTGATACTTTATCGACCATTGAGCCCAAGACTGTGTCCATTGATGTTAGAATATGGAGAGATGAACGAAGGGCTAGCGGCATTTTCATACCTCATAGATGGCGTATTGCTATTAGGCCCACAGATGCGTGAACTTAGCAGCAGGGGCACCAGCCAAAATTGTTGCAGCAGCGGTACTTGCACTCCTTTGCGTTGGCAATCTCAACCTTGGCCTCGCCCTTCTTGATCAAGTCGGTGACATCGGAAAGGCTCATGTCATTGGCTTCGGGGGCGGGAGCAGCGATGGCTAGGGAGGCCATGGCGAAGAGGGTGAGAGCGGAAAATTTCATGGTGAAAGTGAGAGAGATGTTGAGTAGAGGTGTTGATTTGCTTGTGAGATGGTGGGGATGAGAATGTTGTTGAATTGTCTGTTTGAATTCATCTGGCAGAGCTGTACTCTTTATACTTAGACATTCGGCTCATCGGTCCTCGAGGGATCCGGACCTTCGCGCGTCAATATTCGTCCTTCCTTTCACAGACTATCTTTACCTGCCTATTTGAGGTCTTTGTAAGACTTGAATGTTGATATTCTGTGGGGAAATGTCTGGGCATACGTTTGGATGTAAGCATCGCCACACTCCCAAGAAAGGTATGTCTCAGCGCCTGTGTCCTCATTCGTTGTTACCTCTCTGCACAGCGTTGAAAACGAGGCTTGGTGAAACTTCACAGGTGGATTAAAGATGATGACGATGAGGAAAACTGGGCCTCCTGGCCTAGATGAGAAGGTGATAATTGAAGTTCAATACGAGGCTCGGAAGAGGAGCAAGTGTGTTGGAAGTAAAGTTTAGAATTTCTTCATTGCATTGTGTACCTTCCTATGAAGGAAAGTGAATAGCTTCCAAGACGCATATAAGCTTATTTCGATCTTTCCGCTTAGAGAGTTGTGGAGAAGCGACCAGACCGAGCCACGCACTCTCTTGTACTGACGTAGGAGGTATGCTGATTACAATTGACTCATACTTGTGACAAAAGAAAGGCCAAAGGCCTTGGGATATTGCCATGTGGGGAGCAATGTGCTCAGTTCTCTTGCCTTTGTCTCTATCTTGCAACTGTCTCCTGAAATAGAAAAGTGGAGGGAGCGGCTTGAGCTCAGTCACGATGACAGAATAATCATCATTATAGATAAGGACTTGGCAAGCACCTCCCCGGAGTAGAGTTACTGAGCGCCCTGCCCCCTGTCAAGGCCTGGACCCGCAAGAATGCCAACATCTCGCTTGAAGCGCTGCAGCCATTCGTCATTATCAGCCGCTGTTTGGTTCCATGCATCGTCACTGGCATCATGTTAGTGGGGGAAGAGTTGCATTGGTTGGGCTTATGTACCTCTCAAATAAGATCCACCGAGCTTGATGCTGAATCTCGGCGTCTGATGGTACGTGTTGATTTGGGTTGTTGGGCGACATGGTAGCCATAACGAAGCGAGTCAGCTCCTGCGCTAGACGACGGTAGCAGTTGGAGTCGTTCATGAAGAAAGTCTTTCTCATCATGTCTTCAAAGGCCCCCGGGCTCCTTCTTGACCGAACTCTAGAGTCGAGCCCCTCTGACTGTTGTGGCTGAGCCCCTAGCACGGTTGTCCGAGCACGAGGAGCCGAAGCTACTCTTGGTGTGTCTCTGAGGCTTCTGCTGTGAGCAGGCCTCAAGGTACTGGCCCTAGTTGAACCATCTCTGGTGTGGTAATCTTCGGCATTGATTTGGGTACCTTCCAGCCCCCAATGTCGGGAGAGAGGACCATCGGAATGTTGAGTCCTTTGAAGATGAGCACGATGACGAAAGTCGACCAACCATTCGGCCGAAGACATGACAAGCCTGATGAGCCAGTCCGCAATGAAATCGTAGTGCGGTATAGGTAGCTCTTGAACATTACCGATAATGTAGCAGCATTCTTCTTGTAGCTCGTCATCTGTCATGTGTATGCCGAGTAAATCCTTAGTTTGGATAAACTCTTTGAGTTGCATCTCAAGCGGACATTGTTCAAACAAGTTGTCCTTGCCGTTGATCTTCAAGGCACAAAGCCTGTTTTCAGCCCCATGTCGGATAGGCGCAAATTGAGCTTCCTTGGCAATTTCCTGGTCTCCCATGAGGAGGTCTCGTAGCCAAGAAGACTCGGTCGAGATGCCTCGCCGGGATGATGCTTCTGAGGCGAAGATGACACGACAAGCCTCGAGCCGCATCTCCTCATCGGTAGGCAGATCTCCTATTTCTTCCTTGTAGTTGACTATGAAGTAGGCGAGTTCCAACGTGATGAGTTCGTAGGCACTCCGCGGGGAGTCAGCTGGAGCGCTGGTTGCTGTAAAAGGAAAAGTAGATGTTCGTTCCATCTCAATCAAGTCTAAGTGAGATAAGAGTTAGAAATCGGCTCCATCAAGTCCAAGGAACTAGAGTAGTGCTTACATGGCGGGATGGAGCTCTCTAGCATGTCGAGGATAGATGCTTCAAAGCCCCAGTCGCCTTTCCAATCAGCCATAGTGCTTCCGTTCTTAAAGTGTTCTGCTAGATGATCGACCCTGGCTGGCCAGCTATTCATAATTATCCCGCAGAAACCACATCGGGATCGGATTTCTGATGTCGTGACCTTCCAGCCTTTCATAGACCAATCAATAAACTGAGCGTTGTGAACGAGCTTGAGATGCTGATTTATGTGGTCCTTCCGATAGAAAGACTTGTCTTCGACCGGTCTTACTTTACATGCTGTGTGGTTGTGAGTTTCAAGGTGACCGTCATCTGGGTCAAACATCCCGCAAAAGACACAGTAGACTTGATTTGTCCTCGGGTTAGCCGCTCGTGATCCTTGCGGCGTACACTGTTTCTTCTGGGAGGACTGTCCCAGCTGGAAGCCACGGCCCTAGCAATAGCAGTGACAGATGCGGGCTCATTCTCGGGCGGCGAGTCTACCCAGCGCTGCAGCTGGTTTGTATTGCTATCGACAGCTGGTGTTCCAGGCCGACGGCTGATATCGATAGGGCCAGTTTGTGTGTTATCGGTATGGGAGAATGGGTTCCTTTGGGGTTGTGCTCTGCGTTTGCGACGAGTATTAGTGAACCAGTTGGAAACCTGAGTCTTGGTGAGACCCGTTTGACGCTGGAGGAGTTCCTTTTCTTGTTCGGCTGGGTAAGGGTAGCGGCTATGAAGAGCCAACCATCTTTTGAGAATCTGGAGAGCTTCTTTGGAGAAGCGGTGTCCAGTCTTTGATGGAAGTGTGCTATGTCGATAATTTTGTCCAGTGATGGCCATGGAGTTAGCCATGGGTCCTCTATGAGAATCCTGAGACAGCATGGTGCTCATCGGTCCAACAGGGTCATAGTGGGAAGGCCCGGACTCTTGGTTTATTGTGGATGAGATAGACGGATCGAGAGTAAGTGAAGGGGGGTCTGCATGTGCACCAGCAGCTTGAGAGAAGTTAGGTTCAGAGAAAAAAGTTGAAAATTCCGCGTATGAACCATCTGTGCATGAAGAATCATCCAGAACACGTTGCTCGTCGAAGTTCGCCAAGCCATCGAGGCTGATGTCGTTGAGATCGACATCGGGAGGTAGCAACTCATCGCTGTGGATATTGGCTAAAATAGTATCGATGTCAGGGGTGATAGTGATCTCATTGGGCTCGTGAGGCTGAGAAGAAGACCCGGGTTCCTTCTCTACCTGCCAATGGGGAAGCCCATCCATCGCGTCGTAAAGGGGCTTGTGTATGGGCGAGAATGTAGCGCCAGTAGCCGATATCTTAATGCGTCAAACGAAACCGGCAGGGTAAGAAGACACCACGTCTTCCAGTTTGCACAGAATGAGCAGAGAGAAAGAAATGACTCCAAGATCAGTCGTGATCTTGGTTGAATCGCGTGCCTATGACTTGATTGGCTACGCCCTGTGTGTTGAACAAATGTGGGTCACGTCGGTAGTGGGGATCTGATGGAAGAGAACTTCTTTCTAGGCGCGCATCTCTATTTAACTATTTACTATTAAAGATTGGATGTATAGTAATTGAGACTATGGGATACATAGATTTGAACTATACCCATGTTTGGGTGTCGATAGAGCCCCAAGGTTGGCAACAGCATAGACGCTTGGTCAGTCTTGGCGTGTTGTTCTCGCGGAAGCCTTCCTTGTTGAGAGGAAAATCCACTTTATCATAGGTAGACGAAATCAGGCTGTATTTGTCTCAGAAGTAAGTGTCTCTCCAAAGGCCAGTTAGAACTTCGCCTGTGGTAGCCAACCAACTGTCATGACTCGTGCTATAAAGTAGCAAATCAAAGCGACCAAGTAGGAACAGCCGGAAAATAGGATTAGAGACATCCACCCAGTAGATTCATCTCTAATCCCTAGCAGGGCACCCGCAATAGGAACACTAATAAGAGTTCCGAAACTGGCAATCATGGTAGCCGTCGTAAAGTATCGGCCGTAGTGCCTTGATTCGCAAAATTGTCCGAGGCAAACTGGGATGAGGCTGAGGTTGCTTCCACTTGCCGCTCCAAATGTCACAGAAAAGAAAATGAGAACTGCTCTTGAGCCGTTGCATGGTAGCCATATACCAAGCACCGTCACCACACAAAGTGCGATGGTGACAATGATTACATTGAACCGACCAAACTTGTCAGCCAGAAGGCCTGGCAGGAAGCGACCTACGACGGAGCCCGCGTTGAGAAAGGAAAGGAAGAGGAAGCTGTCTGAAGTCGGTATGCCGTGAGCTGTTCCGTATGAAATGATGTACGTCAGGGGTACGAAGAGGCCGATTTCCATGAAGAAATATCCCACCGTAGCCAAGCCTAGACGGGGGTCACGGAAAATACCGAAATCTGGCCAGATGGACCGGGTTTTGACTTGATCTCTACTGCTCATCCGGACTGACGGGCGACTCTGGATGAAAATGTTGGCCGGGACGGCAAGGCCAAGCATAATGAAGCCCAGGATTCGACAACTCCAGGCAAAGCCGACACCGTTTGGACCCAGAAGATGTCGAAGCAGGAGAGGAAACAAGGTTCCTCCGATGCCACCAGCGGTGGATGCGACGCCTGTTGCAAGCCCTCTTCTAGCGTGGAAGAAATGAGCAATTGCACCGTACGCAGGTGCGTTTAGGAGGGCTCCTCCAAGACCACCAAGTACTGAGTACGTCATAATGATCTGATAGTAAGCTAGAGTATCTTGATTAGAGCTGGGAAAGCCGACCGACAAATATATATAAGACTTACTCCTCGAGAGGCTTAATAGCATCAGACCAAGCACAATGAGGGTACATCCTGCGGCCACCAGAACTCTCGGCCCGAACCGATCAAAGACTGGGCCTACTTGTACGCCAACTAGGAATACCAGAAACAGATACAGACTGAAAATCCAGCCTATCTGTGAGTGGCTGTAGTCCAGAAGCTGATGTGTCTTGAAGTATGACTCAAAGACAGCGCTCGTGTTGATGAGGCCGTAGATGCAGACCATAGAACACCAGGAGCCAAAGACGACAAGCCAGGCGGTCAACCCACCTTCGGGGAAGGTGTCCGACGCATCGTCGGCGACTTGGTCGTGATCTCGATCGTGGGATGGGGGAATGTCGCCGTTGGCAGTGGCATCATTTTCAAGAGCCTTGGGTAAACTGACTTGTCGAGTGGGAGTAGGATGGTACTTTAGGCAGCTGTCCTCTGCATGATGATTTGGTGACAATGGCATGTGCAAGCCTAAGAACCGGCCAAGGTCGTCGAGATAAAAACAAAAGCTAGATTTTCGTCTGGAAGTAAAGTCTCAAGGTGGACAGGTATTAATCTTACGATCTGTGTTGCGCCGCCAATCGGAGAACTCGACCCACGTATACACCCAAGGCGTAGACTACGCGAACACTACACAAAGGCGTACACCGGAGTGTAGAACGCATACAGGGCGTACATTGAGGCTTTCAATGCGCTAAGGCGTACATAACACTAGGGCGTCTATGTATGACACTATTGTAGCCCAATGTCATTGTGGCGACGCTATTTACAGCACCCTTGTGCATGTGCCGAGTTACCAGGATTCGTTGTTGATAATCTTACTTAGATTCTCATAGGTAGTCAAAGAGACAATCCTAGGAGTCCTCTTATCACACAGCTACTTGCATCAATACTCTTCTGCCTCTCTATCACTTCCTCTCCGTCTTCCACAATGGCACCCCCAACTGCAACAGCGTCAATCGTTGCCCCAGAGCGCCCACTGGACATTGAAGATATCAAAAGTCGACGAAAGATCCTCGACAAATCGCAGTGGGGACCTGCTGCCCCAGCCAAGAGCGAAACGTTCAGAATCCGCGAACACGGCCACAAGCCCAAGGCTAAGAGATGGGATCACGTCCTGAGCAAGGAGTCCGCCGAGCGCGTGGTCAACTCTCTCAAGTATGCGGCCGGTTTTCTCGGTGTGCCTGGCATGATATCCCTTGGTGGAGGACTACCATCTAGCGAGTACTTTCCTTGGGATGAGCTTCACTTCAAAGTGCCCCCAGCTGGTCAGTTTTCCGAGAAGGACATGCACGAGCATGGTGTTTTGCTCAAGGCAGGCAAACATGACCAAGCCACGGGGGAATCCGACTTTGATATCGCCACGGCGTTCAATTACGGTCAAGGACATGGCTCTGCGCAGCTCTTGCGCTGGATCACTGAACACACCGAGTTGGTTCACGACCCTCCGTACTCGGATTGGGCGTGCACCATGACTCTTGGCTCCACCTCGAGTCTGGACTTTGCCTTTCGCATGCTCACTCAACCTGGTGACTACATCGTCTCGGAAGAATACACCTTCTCGACGGCTGTTGAGTCTGGCACGCCCATGGGCATCAAGGTTGCGGGTGTCAAGATGGATCAAGAAGGCTTGCTTCCGGAGAGTCTCGACGACATCTTGACAAACTGGAACCCGGAGAAGCATGGCGGAGCTCAGAAGCCGCGTGTTTTATACACGGTACCAACTGGTCAGAACCCCACGGGTGCGACTCAGGGTGTTCAACGAAGGAAAGACATCTACGCCGTGGCTCAGAAGCACAACCTATACATCATCGAAGACGAACCATACTATTTCCTTCAGATGCAACCGTACGCAGGTCAAGGCGCGCCTGCTCTCCCCCCTCCCGCAACCCGCACCGAGTTCCTGGATAGCCTGTTGCCGAGATACCTAAGTATGGATGTGGACGGTCGAGTCATGCGCATGGATTCTTTCTCCAAGGTCCTCGCTCCAGGATCTAGATGCGGTTGGATCACGGCTAGCGAGCAGATGGTTGATCGGTATAGTAGGCACTCGGAAGTGGGCACGCAAGGCCCTAGTGGCGTGTCACAGCTCATGCTGTTCAAGCTGCTGGATGAACACTGGGGCCACGGTGTGTACCTGGACTGGTTGGTGCATCTACGGATGGGCTACACCCAGCGAAGAGACGTCATTTTGGACGCCTGTGAGAAATGGCTGCCCAAGGAGGTGGTCAGCTGGAAGCCGCCAGTAGCAGGCATGTTTGTAAGTGATCATCGAAATCTGTGTATGAACTGAATAGCTGACCGGGCACCAAAAGCATTGGCTCCAGATTGATTGGAAGAAACATCCAAGCGCCTCCTCCAAGAGTATCACAGAGATCGAGCATGAGATCTTCATGACTAGCATCGAACACCGTGCGCTGGTGATTAAGGGCAGCTTCTTCTACGCCAACAAGGCTGAGGAACATGATACACTCTTCTTCCGGACCACGTATGCTGCTGCACCATCGGATAAGATTCATGAGGCTATACGGCGATTTGGAGATGCAGTGCGGGAAAGTTTTGGGCTTGAACAGTGAAAGGTTGCTGAAGAGGCAACTGGCTCTCTCGGCCTCAGAGGATGCTCTATGCTTGATTGCATCATTCTTAGCCGCATAGAGATTCATGGGTATCATTAACTTTAAGACTTTTCTAAACACAAACCTCAGCTATCGACACGGACCCTTTTGCGTTCCAGGTCCCGTTTCTCACTGTCCTGCTTTACCAACATCCTAGCTTCTATTGATCATATCTCCTTATCATCACTGCATCTTTGGCGACTCGATGTACACGAGGATGAGCATCGAAACACACCACACAATCATTCCCACAGCAACCCAACCAAAAGTGATCCACATGGCAAAAGCTATAGCCGCCAAGATGGCTACTAAAGCTAAGGCAAAAATCCCACCAGCGAGGACCTTGCCAGCCATGCGAAGGAAGGCCAATATCTTGTCCATAACCCCTGGCGTGCGTAGGAACGTTGTGAATGTCCGGATGCGCCACGGCTCCCCGATTTCCTTCAACACGTCCTTGGTGTCGGGCTCCTTTTCCCACTCAGACGAGAACCAGTTGCTGTCATAGTACGGGAACCGGTTCTCCAGATCCTGCTCGAACTGGCGGCGCTTGTTCTGGCTCGATCCTACGCGCATGCACGAGAGCAGATCGACATGGCATGAGTTGTGGTTTTGGAGGAATCCGACCTTGACTTGACGTATATCTAAAGGGCTGATCTCGGGTCGAATCAAAGTGACGGACTGCGTAAACATGTCTTCAAAGAATTCCAATCCAGTACCTGCGTGTCGTTTCCAGCCGGACGGTAGTGTAGCGCTGCCATCTTGGTACCTTGGAAGCATTGGTTCTCTCTCGGTTGCTGCCATCGAGGATTCTGAGTTGAAGAGGTCTCTCTTTTGCGCCATGCACCGCGCAAGTGCTTGCATGGCCGGATGGTTGTGGTCTTTGGCCAGGTCTCTTTTGGCTCTTTTGCCAAAATACGCAAAGGTAGATTCAGAAACATACCCTTCCTTGTAGGCTCTGCCGAGCCGGTGGATAATCTCTTTCATTACAGTGGGTATCGTTGCTGGTCGACATGATCTCAAATAACGTGAAAAAACGGTTCCTGAATGCCGGCTGGCTTCGATGTGTATGTCGCGCAGCTGGCCTGCTTGAGTCGATGCCTCTCTTTCGACATGGGCACCGAACTGAAGCAGAAGCAGGAACCGGTCGAGTCTCATAGACTCGTCCAATCTCCCTGGCAAAAGAATGCTCTCCCACGTTGAAAAGTCCCCATCCAGTGCCCTAACTTCGGCACTCCCGATCGGACCTGTGCAGAGCCATGCAAGAGTATCAGTGTCAACTGGAGGGTAAGCTCTCAATGCTGCCCTAACAAAGTTTTTTGCACATGCATCGGTACAAAATTCCCACCATTCGAGCTTGACGCGGCTTCGAAATCGGGCTAAGTAGTACAAGCCTCGGCAAGTGTACCCCTGCCAATTGCTTCTCTGGCCCTCACGAAGTAGCCTAGACATATAAGAGGGCAGATATATTGTATTCTTGTGACGCCTCTCGGTGGAAAACAAAGTGGTGCTGAGGCAGTTGTCATCCGAGCTCAAGGCCACCCGGGAGGCTGGACCGCGCCCGCCGTCGTCGGGAAGGTCGCCTAGAGTAGTGGCTATATGCCTGAATGGGTCTGACCTACAGTGATCTGCACGGTCGTCACACCACAAGGGACACTCCTTGCACCACCAGGGACACTCCTTGCACCACCAGGGACACTCCTTATAGCCTGCTTTCATTTCTAACGTCAGGTGCGGCCACAGTTGCCTGGTATCAACAGCGTGGTAGTCAGGAGGTGTGATATCGATAGCGGGTGTGCAGTCTGAATCATCTGATTCAGCAGATTGTGTATCTTGCCCATAGTCAAGATATAGGTATGTCCATGGCTTTAGGCTACGATCTGCTGGATCGACCATGGTATTTTCAAGCAAGGCAGAGACCTGATCAAGGAGTCGCTGCTTGTATGGAGAGAGAGGAAGCAACATGTGTGTCAGTCTGTCGCTAAGCTCCTTTAGGTCGGATAGAGCGTCGTCTAGCTCTGGGCGGGCCTGTGGGTGTTTGCCTCTTAGGCAAAACGAGCTCCAAACAAGAAGGCCGTAGACATAGAGGTCGCATTTCTGCAAGCTTTCAAATCCCCCGAGGGCTGCAAGCTCATAGCCGGAAGGCAGCCAGTACGGTGTTCCAAGGTATTCCTCCTTCTGCACATTCGGGATAGTGGCGTCGTCTTGTTGGTTGGTTGTCTTGTCCTGGCCAACCGCACATCCAAAATCACACAGCTTCGCAGTCCAAGTGCCACCATTGTTGAAAATGAGGACATTCTCTGGCTTCAAGTCGCCATGTGTGAAATGATTCTCATGGAGGCTTTGCAGACCGTGGCCGATGTCGATGCACAAGAGCCGAACCAACTCATACGGATCAGGCTCCAGGCCTGACCAGCGCTGGAGGGAGGTCCAGCACATCTGTAGCCGCCAAGACCACCATGATGGCTGTGGCTCGGCCTTTCTAGCTAGGAATGGTCCAGCTAGGCCTTCCTCTGCTCGCGCATCGTCGCTCCGTTGGGGCTCTGGGAAGAGACGTTCTAGAAACTCGGCGAGGTCCATCTCTGCTCGCTCAAAGACGAGTAGTGGGAGCTGCAGACCGCCACAGCACGGGCTTGCAGGATCCTCAATGGTGTCGAGACAGAGACCCCAGCCGACCAATTTGACAATATTGGGATGGTCTCTGAACAGGCCCGGGGAGAGAGCGAGGACTTCACACTCGGCAGCCCGGAAGCGTGACGACAGATTGTCGTTGCAGAAGCGAGTGTCAGCGCGCCCGCCCCTCATCCTGATATACTGTTTAATAGCAATTTGTTTGACTGGCCAGATCTTGCGGATACGCTTGTCAGCCCTCTGATATAGTCTCGCGACTCCATCGTCCAGACCACGGACGTTGCCCTGACCACCTTGCCCAAGCTGATGTGAGAACTCGTTCTTCAGACGGAAAAGCTGCGGTCCGGGGATACCGCTCTCTTGTAGTGTGTTGATCAGACGGTTGAGAGTGGCGACATGATTTCCTCCGGTTTCCTGGCGAATTCTCGTGTGTCGTGTACTTGCGTTCTTGACCAATGCTGAAGACTTTGACGATTCCCCCGCATTGGCTGCGAACAATCCTTTCCGCCTGCCGGTTCGTTGATCCGTGGCCGGGCGGCGGCGCTGGCCCTCGAGAGGATGACAGCTCAGATCGAATCCGACAAGCATCACGGGATTGGATTGAGCATAGCTTGGATGTTGGGCCAGGCGGGATGGAGGAGCAAAGAATTGGGCAGCGATTGTCGAGTGATGATCTGACAGCTGGGGCGGGGTTGGCAAAACACCAGCCGCTGCCCTTTTCCGACTCTGGATAGGTAAGCATGAGATAATGCGTGGCATTGCATGCCAAGCAGCTTGGGTGCGCCACTCAGCGCAAGCCGCTTGGTTGGTTGAGGGCTGTGGCCCGCCGAGAGTCGCTGCCTGACAGCGGCCAGTTTTCAAGACCAGGCTCTGGCATTGTTCATCTTCCAACGACGTCGAATTACCTCAAGACCAGGAGGATGGACCCGGCCAGCCTCACATTCGGCGTCATCGCCATCTTCAAAGACACGTATCTCACCGCTAAGTTCATCAAGAACACCATCAAGACCATCAAGATCTACAACGATGAGCAGTCACACATGGTGACGCATTTCACCGTTCAGATTTACCGGCTCAAAAATCTCTCGAGGCTGTTCCGGGCTGCTGACGGTAATAGCGTCGACATGACGCTATTGGAGAATGTTCCCGATGTGCGCTAGATACCTACATCATGTGCTGTGCTGAACTATGCTGAACGATACTAGGAGTACCTAAATCTGGTGCGCAGCGTCCTCGGACAGCTCCAACAGGTTCTGGCTGAGTACGCCAAGCTTGCTGCCACACTAGACGAGGACTACAAGAGATTCTCCCCCCTCAGTCCGCATTTCAAGTTTGACCCAGTCAAGGACTCGTTCAAGATTGACGATGCCAGCAACATTGAGAAGGTTGAGGAGTCAGCGGATGGCGAGGACGGCAAGAACGACACTTCGGTTCCCGTCAAATCGAAGTGGTGGCAATTCCGTGGTTTTGGATTAGGCAACTCCAAAGGAGCAAAGTCTCCCAAGAAGCTGACGTCGCTGAAAAACTTCCAACCAGGATTTCAGTGGGTGTTCACAAAAGGTGAGTTGGAGCAGACGCTGAAGAAGTTTGAGGAATGGAACCAGGACCTTGAATATCTGATTGCGCCGCTGCTCGACGGCTTTGGCTTCTATCGCAACGCGGATCTCCGGGAGCGGCTCCGCCCTGACGGCGATGGGATGGCAGAGGTGAACCTCTTCCAAGGCCACGTCGACCTGAACAAGCTTGCTGCCGACCCAAGCGGCAAGTCGGGAGACGCCGGGGCTTCCAAAGGTAAATAGGCATCACACTATGAACCCTGGTATAAGTCCCGCTATCTAACTTGGAGCCAGAAAACTTCATTTCGTGCCTGGAGGCCGAGGCCAAGGCTGCCCAGCCTAGAATTCTCGTCGAGTTCAAAAAGACGGCTGACAAGAGCGACACCCGCCTTGACAACATGGCCAGACCAGTCAAGGAGCTATACGGCCCACAACTGGCGCGACTCCTTCACACGGCCGGCAATTATTCTTTCAGAACGCTGCCCCTCAACTCATACTCTTGGGACGCCAAAGAGGCCCAGTATATGTTTCTGTTCGACTACCCACTCGACACGTCGGATCTCAAGCCAAAGAGCCTAAACGACTTCATGTTGTCCAGCAACAACGAGCCATACTACAAATTGGAACTCAAACAACGCTTCCATGTGGCACAGACGATCGCTCGCGCCATTGGCGCGTTCCACTCAGATGGGTGGCTACACAAGAGCATCCGCTCCCATGCCATCAAGTTCTTCTTCCTTGAAGACGGTGGAAAATGCGACTTTGCGAACCCTTACCTGACCGACTTTGAGTTCTCACGACCCGTTGCCGGTATGACACGCCTTGCACCGGGTGTCGTCGATATCGACCACGAGGTGTACCGACACCCGGACCGTCATGGGTCACCAAGCACGAACTTCAACATGACGCACGACATTTACTCGCTGGGCGTGGTGCTACTTGAGATCGGGCTGTGGCAGACAGCAAGAGAAATTTATGACGATATAGTCAAGTATGAGTTGGGTGGTGATGCGGGCAAAGTCACGGCGCTGACGATTAAGAACGCCTTCTTACAGGATGCGAAGGAGAGACTGGCGCATCGGATGGGGTCAGCGTATCAGGAGGCAGTGGTTGCGTGTCTGGACGATGATTGGGAGTCGTGGGTGGGGAGTCGTGACTTTGCAAACGAGTTTCAGACAAGGGTCGTACAGAAGGTCGACATCAGGGCCTTCATTGGATGACTGTGGGTGGCATAGAGAGTATATGACAGCGTATATTTATGCATAGATAACCAGAGACAAAGGAACACACAGAGAATGAACTAGTTAGTATCCCCAGTTGCTGTCAGGGATCATAAGACTACCTATCGGTCGTGTACCTTACTACAGGCTACGCTTTGGAATCCACCTTCTGGTTTAGCGGAACGTAACTGATATGATTCGTGCATTCAGCAGAGGCCTAGATCTTATCAAAAATTCAACATAATAATGCTTTGCTCTTAAAGCGTAAGCTTTGAGTATCGTGGCAAAAGCTCCTTAAGAAACCTAGTCAGCAATAAAGCGGCACCTTAGTCCCCGAGCCATTTCACCGACAGGTCCCAAGATGTGAGCCTAATTGTTGTGCAACTACACGTGCATGCTCTACGCCCTTTCGGTTACGAGCATGATTGATCGCCCTGCATGTTCGCGGTGAGAGCGCCCTTGAGTAGAAGGCGCCTTAATGTAGGCATATAAGGTGGCCCGCCCTAGTGTACGCCCTTATGTAGTGTGTCCATAAAGCGCGCCCTTGTGTAATCTCATGGCAAATGTACTTAACACATAGGTGCATAAAGAAAGATACTCATTGCAGTATTGTTATGGCTAACAGAGGCTTTTTAACCCTACTTTGAATCGAGTGACCCATATTAGTCTGTTGAGCTTACAATCAACATGTCTACCTTTTCGGTGAGCCTGTACATCCCACTACCGATGAGCATAGTTGTAACGGAAGCCAGCGATTGATCAGATTCCTTGCTAAGGCCGGGAAAGCTTACTACGGCGATGCCATCCTTCCTTCTGGCGTAACGGATGTCGGCAAGGCTGTCAAAGCCCGCGTTCTCAGTGGTAACCCCTGGAGCAAGCATGAAGTTACCAATCAAGTGGCAGTGAGTGTCCGTATATCACCACAGTATTGTGTGATTATTCATTTGCTACTTTTAGGACGTTCAATCTATTCTCTGCCCTCTTGCTCGCGAAGACGTTCGGACCGTCCGGTGCCTGGGTCTGAACTATGAGCAACATGCTCGCGAAACTGGGACACCAATCCCCAAATACCCGGTCTTATTTTTCAGGCCTCTGACATCTCTCAACGGTCCCTTTGATACTATTCCCCTTCCACCTATTGCACAACAAGCCGAAGGTGTAGACTATGAATGTGAACTGGTTGTCGTCATTGGAAAGGAAGCCAGAGAAGTACCCGAATCTCAGGCACTAGAATACGTTGCTGGGTATGCCGTTGGGAACGATGTTTCTCATCGCGAATGGCAGCTGCGTCGAGGTGGGACTCAATGGGGTTTCGGAAAAGGGTTTGACGGATGGGCTCCCTTTGGGCCTGGAATTGTCAGCTCGAAACTCATCCAAGATCCGCAGAGCTTGAAGATCTCCACCAAGATTAATGGGCAGACGGTGCAAGAGAGCAACACTGGAGATATGATCTTCAGTGTGGCAAAGATCATTGCCTTTTTGAGCCAGGGCACAGCACTACTACCGGGCGATTTGATCTTTACTGGAACGTGAGTATCAACTCCCTGGGTGAACTTTCGACTTGCTGATCAGCAACAGACCCCAAGGTGTGGGTGAGGTCAGACAGCCCCCCCTGTGGCTGAAAGATGGGGACATGGTTGAAGTCAGTTTAGAAGGTGTAGGAACCTGCGGTAACAAAGTTCAGGCTGTCAAGGGCTACTCGATCGAGAAGGCTAGGCAGTAATGACTTGGAGAGAGTCCGAGTTACGTAAACAGCATCCAACTCATAATGAGATCTTCACATGGTTGGCCCCCCACCTCCATTCACTCGAGCATCACTGAGCATGTCATAATCTGACCGGCTAGGTCCAACTGCCATTTTGACCTTTAACCTTCGTGGGTGGCAGGCTATCCGCCCACCCAGTATCCTTCGGTGAGAGGGATCCACCCAAGACGATTAAAACTGTTACCTCAGCCCAAGCAGCTTACGATGGATGTAAGCGAGGGGCTAGGAATGGCTATCTACTGTTCAGAAGGGATATGAAAAGGCTTGATAAGCTTTTAATAGCAATTGCCATCAATTCCCACAGACTTCTAGGAGGGTCTCTATTGGGTCAGGCCCTCCACATCTGTCAGCGCTAAACATGTCTCCGACTACACGGCAGCAAGGGTCATGTACGGACACTTTTCCTTGGCGATCGGAGACATAGACCAAGCGCCATCAACGTTGGGTTCTGACGAATACTTAATTATGAGATCCTGTCAGTTTTCCATATGATGGTATAGAACACTCGAGCTCAACGATTCATTCACTCCCCGCCAACCTGTACTCATCCTACCCAAACCATGTCGACTGAAGCAGACCCTCAATACCTTCTCAAGGAAAGCAACCGGGAGGTTGAGCGTCTCCAGAAGCAGCATGCATGGTTTCAGCGATGCCTCAATAATCAAATCGTCTTTGCCCCGGTAAACCTGAACAAACAGGGACTGAGGGTTCTAGATGTTGGCTGTGCCGATGGTGAGACGAGCTTGTAAAGGGATATCATAAAGCAAGCTAACAATTAACCAGGAATCCTCCTTCGTGATCTCCAGAAGCAAGTTGCTCCTTCTGCTCAGTTGGTGGGAGTAGATATAATGAATAGTTTTATGCCCTCTTCTCCCCAAGGCAACATCAGCTATGAGGTCTACGACGTATGCGAGCCGCCTTCAGGTGAGCTTGAGGGAGCTTTTGACTTTACTCATGTCCGATACGTCTTGCCCGGATGTGCCAAGGTTGGCTATGAACAAGCTGTTTCTAACCTTGCGGGTAAGGACCAAGATCTATTATCAATAAATTCACAAGTCTAATCAGTTATGCAGCTACTCTCGCACCTGGAGGCTGGCTTCAAGTGCAAGAAATGGACTTGGACTACAATCGTTCCGAAGTCGGCCAAGCAACCAACGACGCCAACCAGGTTTTCTCTGGCATCTTCGACAAGATCGGCCTTGGTGCTAGATTCCCGAGTAAACTTGACAAGGCATTCGAAGCTGCTGGTCTGGTAAACGTGTCGATCCAGAACGTCGATTTGCCCATGGGTAAGCGGCTGGGAGATGACAAGGCTGCTCAGGACTCTTGGGAGCCGTTTGCCATTACGATTCCGAGTGTCGTTGAAACTGCCAAGTGTAAGCTCATATCATAAAGGAATTTTCATTCAATTTCTAACAGATTGCAGCGCTAGGTGCCGATATTCCCAATTCTGTCTACGATAACCTCGCAGAGAGATTTGAAAAGGAAGTCAAAGAGCAGGGCTCACTTTGGAGGTCATTCATCATTATTGGAAAAAAGCCTGAATAGCCGACAATTACTCATCTTCATGGGGATTCGATTGACAATTGGAGTTGGCAAGTCGGGCCGATGTCTTTGAGATGCCATTCTTTGTCGGGCTAGGGGCGGCCGCCGTCTGGCTTAGAACAGCTATCGCCGACAAATGCACATATTGATAACATTCAACGTCCGATTTTCAACCGCTGCTAGACACAGAATACCACAAGCATCTAACTGACGGTGAAACCTGCGTTGTCTCTATTATAGCGAAGCAAAATTGCCATTCACCTCGCCAGCAAAAGCCTGGTCAACCGAGGACTCCGCCATGTCAATTATCGTGATTCTCCGATCCCTACCTAATTTGGACGTCTAGAGCTGACCGCCTAGCCAAGAGGTCGTAGCGCTTGCTCACCACTGCACGAAGCAAGGGAACAGGGCCGAGTTGCCGACGGTTAAAGCGACCAACTGCATTTAACCGCTGAGGAGTATGAACAACAGCAAACTGCTCTTTCATGTTCGACACTTTGCATCAACCTTTCTCTGGCATCTTCAAAAACATCATGTCTTCTTCAACTCCGTTAGATGTCGAAATTTTGATCAGCCAGCTCACGCTGGATGAGAAGGTTGAGCTTCTTGCTGGTCAGGGCTCTTTTCGAATGACCGGTCTGCCCAGTCATGGCATCCCTGCGCTCATTGTAAGGCTCAACATGTCAGCACAGCGGAATCTTTGACTGATATTTACAGTAGACATCTGACGGCCCTCATGGAATCCGTGGTAAACGATCGTTTACTCGGGTAAGTGCCAAGTTATGCCCTTTACAGGCCGCGGCCTTGGAATGTGTTACTAATGGCTCAGCTTCCGAGCCCTATGCTCCCTTCCGCCACGGCAATGGGTGCGACATTCAACGCAGCGTTGCTTTACAGAGTCGGAAGACTTCTGGGTGATGAAGCCAAGGCTAGAGGTGTCGACGTTCTTCTGGCCCCTACCATCTGTCTCCAGCGCTCCCCACTAATTGGTCGTGGTTTTGAAGCCTTTGGAGAAGACCCTTTTCTCAGTGGCATCCTGGGTTCGCGATACATCACCGGTGTTCAAGAACGCGGCGTCGCAACCAGTGTCAAACACTATGCTGCTCACGATCAATCTGACAATAGCATTGAAGACAACGTATGTATGACTCAACGCACCTTGCGTGAGGTACACATGTTGCCATTTCAACTGGCTCTCCGAGACTCGGATCCTTGGACGATCATGACTGCGTACAACAAGATCAACGGGATCCATGTCAGCGAGGACCCTCTTCTACTCAAGCAGATCCTAAGAGATGAATGGGGTTTCAAAGGTCTCGTCATGAGCGACTGGTTTGGGACGTACAGCACATCGGAAGCTATCAATGCTGGCTTGGATCTAGAGATGCCAGGCCCCACGGACTGGCGAGGCAAACGCTTGAGCATCGCTGTCAACTGCAGAAAAGTGCCCCAGACGACAGTCGATGAGTCTGTGAGAAACGTGTTGAACTTGATCAACACGGTCAGAGGGGGCGACTCACGCAGTCCCTCTCCTGCTTCCAACACCCCTGAGCAGCGAGCTCTGATTCGACAACTCGTCGCAGAGGGCATTGTTCTGCTTAAGAACAGCCGCCAACAACTGCCCATTAAAAACCCGGACAAGGTGAAATTCGGATTGATTGGAGATCATGTCAAGAACCCTGCACTTTGCGGAGGTGGTAGCGCTGAGGTTGAACCGTATTACTCAGTGACTCCTTACGATGCCATTGTCGAGGTGGTTGGCGTAGATAATGTGTCTTATGCGCCAGGCTGTCACTGTAAGTTTGTGATTATCTGATTTAAACGGCATCCAAAACTGACTGCCCTCATAGCCTTCAGATTCAGTCCTCTTTTGAAGGGCCTCACCACCTCGTCCGGAGCAGGAGGTTGGGATGTAGAGATCTTTGGGGAGAATCCAGATGCTCATCCTGAAACCCCAGCTGTTGTGTCGGTTGTTGCGGAGAAGCAGCTTATCGATGTTCCTGAGAGTCTGCACAAGTCAATTCCAACAAAATACTTTGTCAGGGCCCGTGCTCGTTACACTGCCGAAACATCGGGTCTTTTCCGCCTCGGCTTCAGCACATCTGGAAAAGGCAAGCTTAAGGTCGATGGACAAGAAGTCATTGACCTGTGGACGAGCCAACCCCCCAAAACCGACTCTACTGCCTGCTTCAATCGCCTCTCCATGGAGAGGTTTCACGATATTGAAGTGACCAAAGGACAAATTCTTGACCTTGAGGTTCTCCAGGTTAACGAGAACCTCGCTGGTGGCGTTGGCACAGCTTTGACCTTGACTGGACGAGTGGGAGGCTACGAACTTCTCGACGAGGAGCAGAGTATCAAGGATGCAGCAGAGCTCGCCAGCAAGGTCGACATCCCGATAGTGGTCACAGGTCTGTCCTCGGATTATGAGTATGAAGGGAGCGATCGCAAGAACTTGAGACTTCCTGGACGCGTGGATGAGTTGATCGAAGCGGTGCTGAGTGCCAATAGGAACGCAGTAAGTAGACTCCATTTTTACTCCAATACGCAAACTAATACAGTCCCAGATTATCGTCACCCAGTCCGGTTGTCCCATCGAGATGCCATGGGAGTCACAAGCATCAACACTGCTTCACGCCTGGTTCGGCGGCCAAGAGACCGGCCACGGCCTTGCCGATGTGCTTTTCGGAAAAGTTAACCCCTCAGGCAGGCTTTCCTTGACCTTTCCCAAGTCCATAAAACACACACCGGCCTATCTCACCTTCTCCAAAGCTGACTACGACATCATGTACGGCGAAGGAGTCTTTATCGGTCATCGATACTATGAGATGATTGACAGAGAGCCTCTCTTCTACTTTGGTCACGGCCTCTCATACACCAAGTTCGAATACTCCAACCTTCAGGTCCCTCGTCATTTCGCCTCAGCTGTCGATCACAAGATGCAAATCTCGGTTGACGTCACCAACAAGGGTCCTTTCCCTGGTTCCGAGATTGTCCAGGTTTACATCCATGATCCCGAAAGTTCCGTTCAGCGGCCTATCAGGGAGCTAAAGGCATTCGACAAAGTGTACCTGGATGTGGATGAGACAAAGACTGTTGCGCTTACACTTGACAAGTACTCCTTGTCGTTCTGGTCTCAGGAAGCGTCCAAGTGGAAGGCTGAAGCGGGAGAATACATTGTCATTGTTGCTGCTAGTTCAAATCCGCAGGACGAGATCATGCGAACGAGCTTTGCGTTGTCAGAAACCTTTTACTGGAGTGGCCTGTGAGCAGGCGGTACGAATGGAGGAAGGTGTCAGACCAACCGCTAGCAGACCAGGAAAGGTATGCGCTTGTTCATGACAGTGCACTGCCGACATTATTTGCGAGTGATAATTGATCGTTGACTCTATTAAACGTGATATCTACTCTATGAAATGCTCTACTGTCTTGAGCTGTACTGAATCTCTGTAGTGGAAACGATGTTGATACCCTTGGCTGCGTCCTCCTGAGATTATGAGTGAGTCCGAACCTTGGGATTATAAGAAGAAGAAGAAGAAGAAGGGAATGGCTGCCTCGGCGCGGAAACCTGGACAGTATGACCACCATCTTCTGCAGTAGGCCGAGGCCATAGCTTGGCTTCGTCATCATCTCCAATCTTTCTCCCCGACTCGGAGTCATCTCCAGACTCGAGTTCGATGGCATTGGATTGCCTACGGCTGAGCTGTCGTCTGCTCCTAATGACATGCGATCCCTTTGTTGTGTTGTGCGAAGGACCACCGTAGCTGGCGCCGAGGGAGCTGAATATTCCAGGGAGGCACTTCTTGAAGAATGGCTTCAATGAGCTGGCGGAAGCGCAGATGATACAGCCAGTGAGCTCTGCGTACATCCAGCACAGTTCATACGCCAGACCCCATGTATAGTTGGGGCTGCTAAAGAGCTTGATGGTGAGAACGCAGTTGTAGATGGCAACAATAATGACACTTAAACAGTTAGCATGGTTCAAAGATGAAGTTCAAGTCTCGACTCACAATCCACCTGTCGTGAACAGAAGCAGCAAAGAGAGCTTCTGACGTCGAGGGATCTGAAGCGGGATGACAATTCTAAGCGGAAGCAGTAAGATGACGAGATCCATGACGACATTGGCAACCGACGCAGCCAAGAAGAAGCCAAACTTGTCAACACACTTGCCCGTAGCCATGGCGACAAGGTCCCATGAGGCCTTGATAGGTTGGCAGCCAAAGAGACTGATCATAGCGTAAACGACAGCGTATGTGACGAAGAGGCCAGCAAGGACTTGAACTATCCTGCGGAAGGTTCGTTCAGGGCAGAGACGGAGGTAAAAGAAGAGCAATGAGATCTTTGCCAGATCTGAAGAGAGCATGTAGAAGATGTTGACGGGGATAGTCCACTAAGGTTTGTTAACAACTGGCGATGATAGTGTATGTGAGGACGTACCTTGAGCAAGATCTGGTACTTGGCCTGTGACACCTGCCAGAAGTTGACAGCACACCCACCTTGGGCAACCACTACACATGGTTAGTACTCCATCACTAAGTCGATGTGTTCCAATACTTACTCCCCATGGTGCAGGCATAGAACATCCAACACGAGAACAAGGCTGCGCCAGTGAGGTCTATCTCGAAGTCAGTAATGATAACCACATTTAACAATGAGATGTAACCCACAATCATCCAGGCGCAACGCATTATTCATGATACCAACTCGTGTATAGATTCGCAGCCCATAAATGACCGACCCGAAAGCGAACAGGACGGCGCCGATGACCACCTGGGCCGGCGCCATGGATCCAGCAGCCCACCTGTCCTCACCCTCAGGCGGAGGCATCATGTAGACGGTGTCGGACATTGTGTAGAACGCTCAAATCGGGTTTTTCGGACTCGTATTGTCGTGGATGAGGTTCGTTGGGCTTCCAGGCCTCGTTTTTCAACGTTTCGCTTCACCGGACAAACATTTTCAAAGATTGCCTGCTTCCTTCTAATAAGGATTCAGCTGGGCAGGATCTGCACGTAGATGTCTCTTTTCACACTCTGTGAAAAGACAGGTCAGGAGCTTTCTTTACTTTTGGTTCCTCACTCCACCTTGACCCAGTGTCAAGGATGTTCTTACATCTACAAGACATTTCCCGACGCAGGCACAAGGTCTTGGGAGTAAACCAGGTTCCGCAGCAGCTTCGCCACCTTGACATAATCACCCAATTTTTTCTTCAACTGCCGGGAGATGAGTAGCTTTGTTGCTCTCTAGGCAACATTGAAGGGGGATGTAACCTCGGGTTCTCCAGGCCCAACGGCAGTTATTTCATCTCGAGTGTTGCAGTTGTTTTTTCTTTTTGTGTAGTGTGAAATGTTGGTGCTGACCAACGGCCACGTAGGATGGGGAAATCCACGGTGGCTAGGCTGTGGAAACCAAATGGAGAGCTGAGACTCGTTACCCTCTTGGCTGCAACGGTTTTCAGGGGCTATTGCTTGGCACGTCAAAGCAGATCTCTTCCTTTGGCCATCTTGAAGAATCATGTTTTCTTTTGCCATGACAAATGGCTTACCAGTTGCATGACTGCGGTCCACATTAACAGGGGTACAAGCATGAGGAAGGATTCCTATTGTGTTCAGAGACATCACCAGCAGCATGGTTTGCCCCTTGCAGCCATTCCAACGAGATGGGATTCCTTTCGTCTGGAGATACTCTTTTCAGAGCTGGGCTGTCTCAATGTGAACTGATTTCGGGGAATTCCCCTAGTGACGGTTTGCCGATCTCGCCCGAATCGTGTGTCGAGCAGGGTATGCGAGTCTTGTCCACAATAAGCAGGGGCTAGCACGGGAATATGTGGACGTATTCATTGGTCTACTACCGAGCGAGCTTCGCCAACAAGTTTCAGTCATAAATCTGATAGCTCCTCGCAAACAGGCTCCAGCAGGTCTTCCAAAAGGATAGCTTTGCGAGACGATCATCACTTCATAACTGACCGATTCGCAACATTACTGTCTAATACGAGGTTGGGGCATGACCATTCCGCCTATGCTTGTTCTCGACCACTGTCATTCACGATATGTCACTTTTTCCTTTTGGTGAATTTCTTTGTGCCTTGTTGTTTAGCGCTCTTGTCGCAACACATTTATTCGCTGGACTTGCGACCCATTTCTTATGAGGGTCTTTTGCCCTTCAACCGAGAATTTTTCTTAAAAAGAAAGCGGGAAATGGGTATCTGACGTTGTGTGAAAAGCAAACACTCTTATCCATGCCAAGATGTCCCCACAACGGAGTCATTTACAGGCTTCAACTGGCTGGAAGCGTTCCGTTATCAGCGCAAATCCCGAGACAATCACGGTTCGGACCGACCGGAGGGGGAAAACCGTTGCCTCCCGCAAGCGCTAATGTCAGTATCAAGCCATGAGCTCGTGGGTTTTTACTTTAAAACAAAGAAACGTTGCGAGCATGCAACTTGGAACCAACATAATATGTACTGCAATAAGCCCAGCGTTGGTCGACAATCTTTTTTCTCTTCCGAGCAGTCACATGGATCATTAAACATCGCTGCACCTTTCCCTGCTACGTCCTTTTTGCACTCCGCAGAAATGCGACTTGACAATTTTTACCGGTGGATATTTCATAAACCCGAGATCATGACCCGAGACCAAGGCAGAATCTCCTGGCCAAGATTTGGTGAAACGATCTTCTCTGCAGGTCCATTAAGCGATGGAACGCGACACGATGATCTTGACCAGCGTCGTGGATTCGCTCCGAGGGAAGAGTAAACCCGCGATTCGTGGTGGGCCCTCGCCCAGAGAGGGCATTAGTCAAGATGGCAAGGATCCGACTCCTCATACTGGGTCCCCAAGCATGGAGTTTGCGTTACTTGGTAGCTGGACCATGTGAAATGTGAGGGTATCATCCGGTGTTTAGATTCCCCTGAATCCCCATGGCACCACAATGTTGATCAAGGGAGCAACCATTCGTCCGTGCCGCAAAACGTGGATATAAATCTATCACAAAGTCCCTAGCACTCTATGCATCATCTCAGACACACATTCCCAACTCTAAACTCACCCACTTCTCAAAATGGCAGAACAGTATCCTTTCAAGGACAAGGTCATCGCCGTGACTGGCGCTAGCCGGGGAACTGGCCTGGCCCTCACCCGCTATCTTCTTATTCGGGGTGCCAAGGTTTCCATGGCCGCGACGTCGGAGGCGAACTTGAACAAGGCTGTTGCTGAGATTAAGAGGGATATCCCTGATGTTGAGGACAGGGTCATCAGTTTCCCTGTGAACGTCACCAACCCCACGGACGTGGAGAACTGGATCAACGCGACGGTTGAGAAATGGGGAGAGTTGGATGGTGCTGCCAATGTGGCGGGTGAGTTGCTTGCTGTGTATGGCCGATCTACTTCTGACGGTTGAAAAGCGAGGATGAACAAGAGTATTCATCCTATTGAGGACCTCGATCTTGAGGAGCTCAAGGAGATGCTAGACGTCAACGTTATTGGTACCTTCAACAGTATCAAGTACGAGATGAAGAACATGAAGCCAGGCGGCAGCATCGTCAACTGTGGCAGCCAGCAGGTCAAGTACGCCTCTGGAAACATGGGAGCGTACGCAGCCTCCAAGAACGCCATCCGCGGCCTGAGCCAGGTTGCCGCGTACGAGGGTGGAGCCAAGTACCCCAAGAACCCGATCCGAGTTAACCTCCTTTGCCCGTACGTACCTTGCATCCCTCGTTCGTTTAGGTTGCTGACCGTTGTATCAGGGGATGTATCGATACGGACATGATCCGCCAACCTCTCCACCTTCCTAACGGTGGTGGAACATGGACCATGACCGAGGGTGATCATCTTACGTCGATCATTAAGCGTTACTCCAAGCCAGAAGAGATTGCAGCCACGATCGCCTTCCTACTTGGTGATGAGAGCAAGTTTGTGACGAAACAGGAATGGTATGTGGATGGTGGGTGGATGGAGGCAAACTACGTGGCATGATCAAGGCATCCGCGGTAATAGATATTTAATCATACTCTTTAAACGACGTATCGCTTGCAGGATTTCATTTTGGCAAGACTGAGGGGGTTGAGATAAACTCTAGTGCATGAATGTCCACCCGGGAGAGCAACGCGGCCCGAATCAAGTCGTTAGGGCTGACTCCTTACAAGGGAAGATGGAACTGGGGAGCCCCTTGTTGTGAATGCAAAAAGAGTAATCAGAAAGGGGCACGGGATACTACTTTGGGTCTGAGGAGTCCACATGAATACCACTTGGGAAGGGTGTCGCCTACCCGAGAGATGGGGATAACTAGCCTCGTTACACAGCGTGATGCTGCTTGTAAGCTTCAATTTGATAGTGTCGGACTTTTGAATAAAGGATTCTTAAACTTTGCCACTCCGGAAAACGTGTGATTAACTTGTGGTTAGCTGGTAGTCTTTTCGATGTGTTTCGTGGAGTTTATCTCAAACCCACACATGATTTTCTTTTCAGCAACTCCTTAGCAGAAGCTTGCACACTGATTCAAGAACATCAATTCCAGAGTAAGGCTGGAGGCCTCAATACCACCACTTAGACTTTGCTGCCTTAATGGCATTCAAAATACCCTGGTAGGCCGGCTTCTTCTGGAACTCCTCATCCCACACCAAAGCAGCGCCCTCACCCTGGAAGGTGCTAGGAATCCACGAATACTTGTCCGAAACTCCCTGTTCAAAGTCAGTATCTCAACATGTTAAGCTTTGGAGAGCCTCGTACCCAAAGTGTGATGCCGATGCACTTCTGGATGGCCATGCACGACTCCACGACCCGCTGATAAGCCTTGGACTGCTCCTCGAGCTTCTCCTTGGTCGCAGGTGTCTTCATGCGGATGTCAACCTCGGTGTACTCAACAAAGACTCCAAGATCGGTGAATTTCCTCAAGGCCCCTTCGAGTGTCTCACGGGAGGGAGTGATGGTTGGTTGAGTTGGCGTGGGCTCTACAACGAGATGTCCCTGCAGGCCAACGCCGTCAATCTTGACACCGTAGGATTGGACGAGCTTGACGATGCGCGCTGCTCCGGCTGTCTTGGCGTTGTTATACTCAAGGTTGTAGTCATTGTACCACAACTTGGCATTCGGATCCGCCTTGGCAGCGAGGCGGAAGGCCATGGGAATGTAAGCTTCTCCGATGGTCTTGTACCAGACGGTCTGGCGGTAGCTACCGTCCTCATTGAGAGCTGGCCAAAGTTAGCACAAAGCAAGTAGACTGGATGCCATGACTTACCCTCGTTGACAACGTCCCAGTGAGTGCACTTCCCCTTGTACCTGCCAGCAACAGTGTTGATGTGATCTTCCATGATCTTGACCAAAGTCTGGTTGTCAAAGTTACCCGCCTCAACCCAAGGAGCCAGCTGACTATGCCAGACAAGGGTATGGCAGCGAAGCTCCTTGTTATTGTTGACGGCGAAATTGGCGTGCTGATCAGCAGAGCTAAAAGTGAACTCGCCACGCCTTGGCTGGGTAGACTGCCACTTCATGGCATTCTCTGGGGTGATGGCACCAAACTCGGATGGGCCCTTGATGATGTCCTCCGTGCGGGAGTCGCTGCCGAGAGTGAGGGCTGTGCCGACATGTTGCTTCCCTTTCGCCTTGATGGCGCTATCGAGGCCTTGGGCTCTGTAGAGAACTGCTTGTTAGGATTATAGTTGACCCTGCGTACGTATCTTGTACTTACGCCTTTGGCCTGCCGAGAACCTCGCTGGCGATGGCCAGGGTCAGGAGGGCTGTCTTGAAAAGTGAAGGCATGGTAGAAGTATAAGCTGATGGTGAGACAGTGATGCATCCAACATGAGATGTGGAGGCCGGATACCTCTATATATAGTAAAATAGGCTGGTGACGACGCCATCGTTGAACAGGGCATCTTTGCAGTGACTCAAGGTTTGATTAATCTGCCGAGATCAGAAAGAGTGCGCGGAAGTTACATTCAGTTACCAAACTAGGACTGATGGAGGAGGTTCCGTTCTCCAAGACGCACGAATTCAGGAACGCTTCATTTACCCAGCTAATGGCGATGGACCGGCTAAATGGGTGCTTGGCCGAGGTTCCTACCCCGCGTAGCCCAGCTGTTCGTAGTTCACATGGCTCATCTTGGCTAAATAGAATTCTTGGACCAAGTCACTGGATGAGTGTTTCAACTAAAGGCCATGCTGCTTTACTCCAATGTGAGAACGACGGCTGAAAGTGAAGTCTTGGCTCAAAAGCCGGGTGACAATATTTGGGCACTAAGGTAGTCATAATAAGGTTATCTTAAGGAGAACAACAATATCCAAATTTTTGATTGCCGATCAGGCACTTCAAAGAAGCCATTGCCACCTTCCCCGCAGCGGATTGGCGGCCCGCTCTGGGACATACGATCACGTTGTGGCTTCGTGGCTCTTTTACCCGCTTAGTATAGAGCACGGTACCTTTACAGTAAAGAATATAATATTTGGTAGCCAAAGAATGGGCACTCTAAATGGGACCATGCATACTGAAATGGCCTGCAAAAATGACAAGGTCAAGTGATGTCAAATTATTATCCACTAGCTAAGCCAAAAACCAAGCAAAAGTCCATAGCCTAATCTCCACACAAAAGCCCAAACTCGGGAGACTGCCGAAGATCCATATGACCGAGTCTACTTGGCAATCACAAGCTTGCCATCGGGGTTGTGGTTAATGACAACAGCGGGGCCACGGACAGTAAAGTCGACAGCCAGAGGCTTCTTGGGAAGCTTGGCAACATCCAAGAGCTCTCCAACCTGGAAGACACTGCCGTAGGTGATGTAGTAGGTGTTGACGGGCTGAATTTGGTACTGGTTGCTGGGCTCAGGCTTGAAGGTGGCGGTGGGGACGCTGGAGGCGCCATCGGGGGAGCTGGCGAGGCCGATGAAGAAATTCCCTGTTTTCATGTGGTTAGTATGAAGAAAACATGTCAAGGGTTTAAGGTTACTCACTCTCAGTGGCAACCTCAAGAGTAAAGTCGTTGCCAGTGTCAACCTCGTAGGCATTGTTCCAAGCAGACGACTCAGCCGGCGCCTTTTCAAAAGAAGGAGTCGCTCCATTGACAACAGCGATATTGAGAGTAGTTCCCGGGACATCACTGCCATCACTAGCCTTGGTACCAAGAGTAACACCCTTAGTTTGGGTGATAGAAACCTTGGCACCGGCCTTCTCGCCGCCCCTCCAGGTACCGACGATGACATAGTAACGCTTCCACATCTCAAACTGAGCGATGGCTCCGTCGGGAGTGGCTTCGGCGACTTGGTATATGTTACTCCAGATGGAAGACTTGACTACGCCCACGATCTCGGGCTTCTCACTGAAGAGATTGTAGTTGTGGGGGAACCGGTTCGGTTGTTGATGATGATGGTGTACTTGTTGGACATGTTGGCGGTGGTTTTTGGGGTTTGTGCTAAAAATGGAGTAGTATAGAGTTGAGTGGACAAGACTGTTTGAGTGATGAGTGCTTGAGTTGCTGTTCGTTTTGGGTGATCAGATTAACCTTTATATACTTTTTCCAAAAGACCTAAGCCAATATATTCGCAATTTGTACTTGGGAGAGCGCAGTTTCTGTCGCGATGCTGACTCTCATCTTCTGGGTTCGTTGCCCAAAACTGATGGCATGGCCGAGCTCTCATCCGCTTGAACGCAGCACTAGCCAAAGAAATCGCATCCAACTCAGATAGTCGGATATGTGATGCCAGCGGGCAAAGCCACTAAGTGGTTCGCTTAGCGCCGTCGCGCAGTCCGGTCCGACGCGAGGCGGGCTGAACGGATCTGATCTAACCGCGTCTGGTGAACTATGATGGATGTGCCGAGTGTGAGCTGCAGGAGTAAGAGCTAATTAGTACAGTACGTTTTCCGAGGCTCGTAAGGGGCGTTATTTCTAGATGCGTTATGCTACACTTGGTCGGTGAAAGAGCTTAGTGTTAGTGAGAAATCACCAACACGATGTCTCTTGACGCGACGCGATTTACCATGTGGCTGCAAACCCTCGTTCAGATCATGGCGCCACATGTGGCCCTGCCAAGAGAAGTCATTCGATGCTCACGTGATCGAAAGGAGACTCGCTTGATTGAACGATGCAACCCATCGCCACGTAAGTCAATTATGTCGGTGATAATTGCTCCTCCCGCGCTACTATCAGCATCCAGTCCTTGCTCAATGCCTTGCTCAATGCCTTGCTCAATGCCATGCTCAGAGCACAGGCCCATCTGCGACTGATTGCAAAATATCAACTCCGGTCTCCCAACGCGCGAGAACCTCGCATTATACTGCCGCTTTTCTTATTCCACCAGAAGTAAGCGCCCCTACGCCATACCTTAATCCGATAGACTTATCTAACAAATAGACCGGCAGCTCCTAACCGCGGTACCTAGTATCTCTTCTCCTCTCGTTCATTTGCCATCCGAGCTACTCCTATACCTCTTCTCGCACACGATCGATCCCTTGGATCGGGTCTACCTAGCCCTTACCTACAGATGCCTTCTCCAGGGTTCTTCATTCCTCGTTATAAAAATACCCTCCGTGGCGAAACACAGATACATAAACTCGCGGTCAGTCGTGGAAAGGGAGAACGCACCGGGTGATTTGTGTAGGAGGGGCCATCTTATGCTATGCTGTTGCTGGTAATGGTAACTTGCCATTGCCAGAACGGAGAGCAGGTTAGCCGCTTTTATCATTGCCGACTAACGACGTGTTCTCGATGAGATAAGGTTTATTAAGGCAGAGTATTAAGCATGAGAGCATCTATAGAGCTTATTTAATATTAACTCTTATATTGAAAGGTATTAGGCATAATGGTTTAATTATATAAAATTATATCTATTTGACTGGGTTGCCTTGATCTACCCTCTGGGTATGCTATGAGGTTAAATTACTTTTCAATAAACTCGCGGTCCTGTTGTAGAATGCTCCCATTGCTGAGAAGGTTGGCTCCCATATATGCGCGTGAGAGGCCAAGGCGAACATTGGCTCTCTGTCTACTAGGAAGAGTTACTGGACAAAAGACGGCAAGCAATACGTCCTTATTGAGCCGGGTAGGTATGCGCAAGAGGTTTAGGACAACAGAGTATCGATATAGACGTCCAGGTTCTCGTTTCAATGCCCGGCATATTGGCTCAAAGAGAGAATAGGGATACTAAAGCGGGCTAGCAAATTTCAGCAGCCTATATTGTGAAGTATTTCATTTCTAATCACTAACTACTAGCAACTTGGAGGGTCAGTCCAACAACACAAGATAACACCATTTGAGTCCAAGACCTTGAAACAAGTGGTTATCCTGCCTCGTCAAAGAAGCCAGAGACTTGTCCGTTACTGTAGGCAGCAAGCGATGACACTGTAACTCTGTGGGTTTCATATCTCGGCTCGGGCTCGGCCGTACTTTTCTGCGGCAACCCCTCTTCCACAATCCGACGTTGCGCGACTTGCTCACCACTCCCATCAAACCATTCTACTTCCCTTTTATTCTTCCTATTTCTACAGATTCAGGCAAGAGTCAAAGCTCAGCATACTACTTATTATTAGCAATGACAGACGCCCAGGCGACTCCCGAGGTACAGGTGGACGATGACGTCCAGTCAGATTCTGCCTTTGGTGATGACACCTCCGCTGCAAGCAACTCCATCACCAGTAGTGTGTTGAAGTATCAGTGGAAGTACGGACGGCGATATCATAGTGACCGATCGGGTCAGTACAGTTTCCCTAATGACGACACCGAGCAGGACCGCCTCGACATGATCCATCACGTCTTCTATCGCTTGCTTGGGGACCGCCTTTTTTTGGCCCCCATTGAACCCGACGGCCTCAACATCCTCGATATCGGCACTGGAACTGGTATTTGGGCGATCCAGTTTGGGGATGAGCATCCTTCCGCTACAGTAGTGGGAAACGATCTAAGCCCGATTCAGCCGGATTGGGTTCCCCCAAATGTCAAGTTTGTTGTTGACGATGTCGAGATGGACTGGGTCGAGCCAATCCAGTACGATTACATTCATTGCCGCTATATGGCTGGCTCTATCAAAGACTGGCCCAAGTTATTTAAGCAGGCATATGCCAACCTCAAACCTGGAGGATGGATAGAGTTCCAGGAATCTGCCAACACTCTCTACTCAGAAGATGGCTCCCTTGCGCCTGAAAACCCGATGGTGCAGATGATGGACAACTTGATATTAGCCTGCGACAAGATCGGCCGTACTATGGATCCGGCACCATCTTTTCAGCGGTGGGCTGAAGAAACAGGGTTCACGGAGCTTAAAGAGAAGAGGTTTAAGCTGCCAATCGGCCCATGGCCGAAAGATCAACGGTTGAAGGAAATAGGCACTCTTATGGGAAAGAATTTCTACGAAGGGGTTGCTGCTTTCACTGCAGTATTATTCACCGAGGCCTTAGGTTGGTCAAGAGAGGAGGTTGAGTTATTCAACGCTAGCGTCAGGGAGGCATCGCGCCAACGCACAGTTCATCCCATATTCGACTTTGTTGTTCTGATCGGGCGAAAGCCGGAATAAGGAGGCGGAGGGCAAAGCGACACAAGGTGGTTAAATGCCTCGTATTTCTGCGACTTATTTACTCTGACCTATTCAAGTCAAGGGGACGAGCACAAGATCACCAGGTCAAGTCGAGGAGGCGCTTGTCAATCCTTACTGTGACTAGCCTGTTGTTATGAGAATAATGCCACGCTTATTGCTGCGTAAACCCCATGGCGCATCCTCCGCTGCATAATTTTAGAGATTTTAACAAAGACATCAACGGACCAGGGTAGCCCAGGAACCGCGACGCTAAATTCAACCCCTTATTTGTCCCCAACCAACTTGTGCCGATCCCACTAGTGTCCCAACAGACCATTACCACGGTTGCTACCGCCTTCTACACTCAACATCAAGTTGCTTTGGACATCAAGTTGAGCAAGGTAGCACAACTGTGCAAAGGCATTTCAACACATGGCCTTGTTGGGGCAACCGATGTTGCTCGGGAGCAAAAGTGGATCAACAAGTTCCGTAAGGATATTACGGATGACTATGGTAGATGTGCCGAGACTCTCTGTGCTTACGGCGTTTCGTAAGTCCATATCTCCTATGACGAGATGAGAGAACTTTGAGTTGACCACGCACAGGAACGTCTTCTATCCACAAACGTTTGTGACCACCACCGCTGGTCCCAACGTGAGGGGATTCGCCCTTGAGACGAGAAAGGTGGACAAAGGCGCGGCAGAGCTGAATGCATTTACTACCAACTTTGACACGAATGCAATGGATGCCATTTCTCAAACTCGAGGCTCTGTCTATCGTCTGCCTTGTGCTCAATTCTGTGCGACCATGCTGGAACACGTACAGATGCGTGACACATCCCAAAAGCGGGATGCTTATGATATCGATCTGCGAGCGGCACCAAGAACAGTAGTATTGCCTCCTGCTTAGCTTTAGAATACACAAACTGAGTCCTTTATGTCTAATATTTGGCGGCGACATAGATCTAAGGTGTAAAGAGCTTTGCTAGTCCCTCGGCGCTCACATTTCCGCCACTCAGGATTATGCCCACATCCCATCCATTCTCTCCCGCCTCTCGTTCCACCATGGCCCTAAACTCCTCATTGAACAAGACAACAGCTAGTGGAACTGCAGAGCTGGGCTCCACGAAAAGTTTCATCCGTTCCAGAATAAGCCTCGTCGCTTCCAGAATCTGGTCCTCTGTCACAGCATACATGGCCTTGACGAGCTTTCTCTCGTATATGACACTCCAAGGGAGAGGTCCAACGACGCCGATTAAACCATCGGCGATTGTACTTGTCTTGACTTCTGTGATTCGCTCACCCTTGATGAACCCGCGTCGTGCATCATCAGCGCCTTCGAATTCTGGCTCACAGCCAAACACACGGATCGTAGTGCCCTCGCAACTAAGCGCGGTCCCGGATAGTAGGCCACCACCGCTGCAAGGCGCGATAATAGCGTCTAGGGTGGAACCGAGCTTTTCGACTTGATGCTGGAGCTCGAGACCTGCTGTGCCTGCACCGAGCATGACGTCGGGATGGTTGAATGGGGGCACGAGTCGCGCGCCAGTCTCGGCTGTGATCTTGGCCGCGGCTGCTTCTCGTTCAAAGCGTTCACAAAGAGTAACCTTTGCTCCATAGCCTTTTGTAGCGGCGATCTTGTTGGGGCGGGTGACGTCCGGCATGACAATGTAAGCAGGTATACCGCTCTCTTGGGCAGCTAGAGCGAGCGCCTGAGCATGATTACCTAGTCAACGCATCAATAAATGCAACCAAATGTGAAGAGTTTTTTTTTCCGTACCTGCACTAAACCCAACTACTCCTTTCTTCATGCCCCCTTCAGCAATCCAGTCAGGGTCCTGCTTAAGTCTTTCAATGGCGTGAAAAGCGCCGCGGGCCTTGAAGGCGCCCATTCGCTGCATGTTCTCACACTTGAACCAGAGTCGAATGACTGGCTGGGCAGGCCGAGCATTTTCTGACAACTCCCTGGGCGTCGAGGCCATCCGAGTGAGGGTTTTGTTGGTGAAAACGGGAGTTTCGTGGATCAGAGGCTTGATGAGTTCGTGGGCCTTGAAAACCGATTCCCGAGTTAAAGGGAGGCATCTTGATAGGTCCGCCATAATTGATAAAAACTCGAATGAATGATTGGGAAATAACGATTTTTTTTAAAGAGTTATTGGTGAGGATACTCCAGAACTATAAATCTTTTTTCTCATCAGGTACGATCAATAGTGTGAAACGGCTACTATCTACTTAGTCGGCTACTAAAACCCATAACCTTGGTCCACGGCTTGCTTTGCCGAACTGGTCTATCTATGTAGCTACGTGATTGGCCTTCAATCGGTATACCGGCAAAGTAGCGCGATACGAGATTTATGGATCGTCAACGAAGGCGTCGGCGAAACAGCTGATATGCCGAATCTTGAGGAAAACTACGCCGAAACTTTTCTCATATCAAGTCCTCGGAGCAGCCGAACCAAAACGGATACCTAGTAATAATTGTCACTTTCAGTATCAGAGCTTAAACACTCAATTAAAGCCCACTTCATCATGTCCTCGAACGGAGACGCTGTCATTCTCCCCGCTGGGAGCGCCAAAGGCCTCGCCAACTATCCCCATGGGCGTCTCATCCCCTCAGTCGACTCCCGGACATTGTACATCTCGGGCACATCATCCAGACTTCCAGATGGATCATTCGAGGGCTTCGAAACCAACAGCGACGGCACTCCATCTTTCGACGTTGGAAAGCAAACAGCCGCCATTCTGCGCAACGTCGATGCCGTCGTCAAGCAGGCCACCAACGGCAAAGGCGGCTTACACAACATCATCGACGTGACGGTTTTTCTCACGGATATGGATTATTATGCTGGGATGAATGAGGTGTGGAATGAGTTTTGGCCGAACTATGAGGAGGCGCCTGCGAGGACGACGATTGCGGTCAAGGCTCTGCCCAGCCCGAAGATGGTTGTGGAAATGAAGTGTACAGCCGTGGTCTAGTTACAGAATCTATCAACATATTAAGGATGATAAGGCATGAATCAATTGTGCAACCTCTACAGCTTTGAGTGGATGTAGTCCTATGATGCTTCAGTTCGCCTTGGCCGTTCTTCGGCCTCTTCACGACTGTTGTCGAATATCGGCTAATTGAGATGACTTGCCGGATGATGCTGTTAATGTGTAGCGTATCATCTAGCGAGGTGAATTCAATGGAACCGGCGAGCATATTGGGGGAGGAAAGAGCATGCTACGGTTGAGCCAGCCCAGGTAAGGATACAGGGATTGGGAGGCAAGCCATGCTTGACCCTTTGTTAAAGGGAGGTTGCTGTGCGCGATTGACCTGCCAAGGTCAAGCCGAACTTCCAAGACGGTATAGTCAAATACAATACCATGCCGGTTGCAGGCGAATTTATGAGTCCAGCCGTCTAAAAGTGAAACATTGAAAGGGCGAGACAAGGTGAGTCACTCGGAGAAACAAAAGTAATACAATGTCAAATATTTAATAAAAGAATGATATCTAAAACGAATGTTTCATACACGCTCCCGGGTCATGTCGCATCAATAGTACAATAAACGAAAGCGTAAAAGGGAGGCGCCGGTCCAACCCAAAGGGCGCTACCCCCTTTTGTGGAATGCAGTCCACATTCCTATCCAACAATAGCCTACCAGTAGCCCTTGTTACCTCTAGTAAGGCTTTTGGCCGACAATGTTTCCTGGTGGGGAATATCGGGCGACAGTGTACCAGCCGCCCTTGCCGTCGCTGGCGGTCGCGATGCCGATTTTGACGCTGTTCTTCCACACGCACTGGGCTGGGGGAGGGGTTAGCGGGTGGGATAGCAGTAGAGGATGTGGTTGGAAACTTACTGTAGTGGCCGTACTCGGAAAACTTGCCCTTGGGAATAACCTCGTTCTTGTAGTTCTTTACCTCAGCGAGCCTACCCACACCTTGTCAGTCATACTCTATGAAAGCAAAAGATTCACTTACCAGCCCTGAGTTCCAGCAGTGATGGGGTTCTTGTATGTTCCACTCGACCTATCAAGTGTCAGCATGCCTGTACAGCATCAACTTGCGATCAATCTCACCATCCGTATGCCAGATTCTCGCCCTGGTTAGGTCTGTCCTTGCTAGCAGAGTGCGCAAGCTTTCCACTCTTGGCAATCTTCTGAGCCCAAGCCTTGGCAGCAGCCTCAAGCTTGGTATCCCAGACCAGTGCCTTGACATTCTTCTTCTGCCGAGCCACAGTGTGCAGACGCAAGCCCTCCTTCTGATCAGCCGTCAAGGCTCTGGGGAACAGGCTTCGCTTGTCGGGGGAGTCTTCATCTTCAGGTGGGGGACGATCGGGGTAGTCGTGGACACTCTTATCGATGGGATCGATAAAGATCTTGAGCTTCGGTTCATCAGATTCTGCGTTCACAGTGGCATCCGCGTCCACGGTGGCCTCTGCCCCGACGTACAGGAGGGGTACGCCGATGTTGATGGTAGCAGTCGCCTCGACGTCAACATCCAGGACTGTGCGGTCCTCGGCGGGGGCCGAGTTTGCGCCAGAGATGAGGTGGATCCCCATGATGATGAACGATGGAGCGGATATTGTTGAGAGGAGCATGTTGATAGTGTTGATTGAGTGTCTCGCAGATAAACTGATTGGTTAGTGCTTGATTACAGTCGATAATGTGTATTGCGTTGTTGATGATGAGAGAAGATGGAATCCAGTGGTGATCAAGCGTTCTTTATATTCCCATCCGGCGTCAATATTTCACCCTCCATCAACACCTTCCCGACAGACTATGACACCTCATTTTCGATAGTTCTTGACGTCTCCGGGATGGATTCCCCAAACTGTATTACGGATCCAGAAGCCTCCGTGGGATCAACGTTCCTGGAAGACCCCTTGTCTCACCCGCCGCCAGCAACGTTGGAATGAGGGAGAAGGGAGATCCACTCCCTTGTCAACGTTTGTCTGCCCTGCGTCATTCCGCACCCTTTATTTGCAGATCAATCAAGTTCTCCAGAGAGTTGGGAACTATGATCTTCATTGTCAAGATGGTTTAATCTGTGGATAACCTCTAACATGATGTAACAGATATCGCCGCCTGGTGTCATAACATCCGCCTCAGTCCTACCATTATCGCCACTTGTTGCACAAAAGGTTATCCAGAATTTTGTGAAGTAAATGGCTTTTAAATTCCATGCATCAGCGTGATCAAGATGCGCGCGGATCATTTCAGCCCTATGGCATCCTGACCGTTCTTCTCATGATGTCTTACTTGCATTCGCATTGTTGCTGAAAACATCCCCATTCTAGACCTCTTACCACGTACTGCCCCAGCTTTCCCCATCCATATCCGACCTAAAGCATCCTCTTCCGAAGCCACCCGCTCTTGATGCAAGGGCCAGGTGTCATCAGGACCCTGCCAAACTCTCTCGTGGTTTTGCATTCCAAAGCGTTTCAGCCAGCCAATAAATTGGACAGCGCAAGCGTGACATCCGCATTTGACCCCATTTCTGAGACTTACCGTTTCCAGATTCAATAAATTCCAAGACAAATGCGCTAGGGACCAATCGGATGCAAAACGGGGGCGTTGGAGGAATTGTGGCCTGGGGTTGGTTCAATGCAGATGCCCAGGCACAAGCGGCGCGAGGGCCATCGCTAACTTTAATCTGATCACCTCGCTAATGACTTGATGGGAGAGGCTTCAGCTTGGCTGTCCATTCGTCATCAACATATTGGGCCGGCTTCAGCTGTCCACTCTTGACGCTACTTCCTTGAGATGGGTCCTTGACACCTTCAGATCATGAGGAATGATGGAAAACCCAGAATCATGTTCGTGTGGACTAACCGAAAGAGTAGGTAAAAGCCGTTGACCGTAGAGTGCCTGACGTACAAAACGTCTCTAGTACATGAACTAACACTAGTTACTTTAACGAGATCCGGGTATTAAGACGACCGAAGTCCTCTAAATGACACTCAACGAGGATGACCTCATACTCGACACTGCCGTTGATCTGTCATATCGCCACCAGATATGACTATCCGGGGCTGTTACCACTTACGTGGACTCGGTTGCGATCATGCAGATGATCGTTCCGTTTCTGACTGTTGGTCCCGATAGTGCTTCCATCACATTTCTGCAACGCCAACCCAGGTTATGCTTACCTTTCACCCAGAATCCGATAAGCTCAGCACTATGGCTTGCTATCATCATCACTAAAGATAGCACTTTGGGCGCAATCGTCATCATTGACGTATGTCGTGATGGTTACTTCCACGCACCTTTTCACATCATCGACGTCCAAGTACGCGTCTAAACGACGTAGGCTGATGAGGCCACAAGTCACAATTCGAGAAAGTGAATCGAAAACAAATGATTGAAAAGAGTTGGTAAACAGTCTAACTTCTCTTCAACTCCCCACTCCGATGCCCAAGTGATATCATACTTCTCAACAATGCCCCTCGTGACCAATGCCCATAAACTCAACAACTTATCAAACCCCACTCAAAATCGTAGTAGGATGATGTTGGAAGTAAACCAAAAACAGTCTGCATATTCATCCTCAAGTGCTGGCAGCTCAAGCACCTCCTCCTTGGTCATGTTCCACACACCATGCCACAACCCAACCATTCGCACAACTGATCTGCGAAGTCTGGCTGCCCTGTGGCGCTTCGAGAGATCCCAGCCCGAGTCTTTGTCAAACACGTGCTCTTCCTGAATTGCGAACCAAGGTGGGAGTTCCACCAGGTCCTCAGCTTTTTCTTTTTTGCGTACCTCGCATGGGCTGGTGAAGTTTGGTCGTAGTCCATAAATAGGAAGATCGATGTTGGGCCAGTCGGCCTGGCGCTTGGCGTTTAGAATCCCCTTTTTAATTGCCTGGGGATCTAGAGGCGAGTTCCATTTGGAAAAGGTGATGGTGTGGTCGTTTTCGTTTGTTATCTCGACTCTCACAGTAGGAGGATCCCATTCTGTTTGGGAGATGTAGGCATCCAGGTGCGGGAGCGAGTCATGGATGGTGACCCTGTTGGCGGAGAGGACGGTCGGGTCGATGGCTTGAAGGGTCCATTCGTTAGCCATTGTTTCAGGGAAGAGAGTGGTAACGGTGCCCATGAGAGCCAGGGCCCGAAGGCTGGAACCAATCTTGGAGAACATGATTGAGTTGAGTAACTAGTTGTTGTGATGATTGGCGACCGTGTTGGTGGTGGTTGTAGTTGTAGTGATGATTTTGAAGTAGGAAGTGGAAGTGATGGTATCGAAAGTGATTGGGAAAGGGGAGAAAAGAAACACTGGTTGCAATGGGATGTGGTGCTATTTATGTGTGTCTGTTCAACTATCTAACACCCAGCCAGAAGGATTAAGTAAACAAACAATTGAGAGTCACGGGTGTAGTCATGGCTGGCATGCATAACCTTCCATGCGAAAAGAAACTATATTTGCGAGAAGAACCGGTAAGTAGCCTTAACCAAGAATATACAAAACCTTGTTCACCTTAGTGTCTCCCCTGTCCCATACCGATTTCCTGCCACACGAGCTTGAATCTCTCCAACAGTCCCATATCGGGCATGAATGTCCTATCAAGAAGTTGAACCACCTCAGTCCACTTTGTAACTTGCATCGCGTCAAAAACCGCCTGTAATCTGTTAATGTACCAGTTTCGAGTCTCCATCGACTTTTCCGCCGCAACAGCCCCGACAAAAAACTGCCAAATGGTCGGCTCGACCGAGGAACACAGTCTAATTTGAGGTTTCGCGAGAGAATGCCTCAGATCCTCAGCAAGAAGCCCAAAATCCGTTTCAGGCCGAGATAGCCAAGAAAGAAGCAAAAATAGCTGCAGGGCAAAGCGAAGTGTGCGGATGTACTGGTCATCGCTTCCCAACACGACTTCCACTTCAAGCTTTAGGCAATCGACCTGATGTTCGATGTTGAGGATTTCGCTTTTTGACGGAATTTTGGTTACACTAAACTCGTCGAGCGCTTTTCGGAGCTGCGATATGCCGCTGGTTATTCTGGAAACATCCATAGACGTTGGGTTATCCTCGTTGCGCAGGGCTTGCATAAGCTTTTCATGAGAGCCGTTGGTGGACGTGACTGCTTGACCGATCGAGTCACTATCATCAGTCAGTCAGTGAATTGTTCAATCTCGTTGGGAAGAACCCATACTATATGAGAAAGTCTGAGAACCATGATGGAACTCGAGTAATTCCCGCTGCTCGCCTCAATCTGATCATCTGGGCCAAACCTTGGATATGCACCTCCAACGCTTTTTCATCGCTTGCAAGCCGCTAACCAACAAAGTGTGAGTAACCGCAGCAACTTGAAAACTCAATCTTGACTTCTCACCTCTGCAAAGGCCAACGTGAACACAGCCCCAAGCATGCCATCCGATAAGCCAGCGGCTGTGTCGAGTCGCTTGTTGATCATGCTGATGGCCATACACTTTCGGATATCCGCTTCTCGAGACGTCCATGGTGTTCTGTGCCTGGGAGTGTACTTTAAACCAATGGCCATGGATGCTTCGATGAGTGCGGGCTCGGCAAGCAGCTGATCGACCCAGACCGTCTCCCTCTCGGAACCGGGGTAGCCGTAGCCAGCGGGGAAGACGATGGGTCGGAACTCATAGAGCACTAGGTTTGTTAGTTGCATCTCCAAATTGTGGTGCAGGCTTACTCACGGTAGCTAATCGAATTATTGGGGTCTCTAGAGCGTGTTGACAACAGCATCTCGGAGCCGGGGTCTAAGGGGGGTGCTGTCGGTGCTTGGGGGGTGGCTTCATTGCCAGACATGGGTTTCTCCGGCCGGGCTATCAAGTCTCTTTCATGGATCTCTTGTACCTTCTTTTGTTGTCTTTCCTTGGCAAGCCTCTGTCTTCGCCGTGCAAAATTCGTCTTGGTGATGTGAGCCCTCATCTGCTTCGTCTCCACCGCCCCCAAACCAGGGGCATCACTAGTGTTGAGAAACGTTAACTGCAGCGGCATGATTAAAGTCCCGATTCAATCAAGGATGCATGAAGCCCAGTTTGAGTGTGTATTCGGAAGAAAAGAAGGAGAGAATCGATCTCGAGGTCAACATCTGGCTGACCAATGCCACATACCGTGATCCCGAGATGACGGAGATGAAGTGTGGCCTTACCCTTTTAGGAAAATCAGATTGCTTGGCAAAGGTGGAGACTCAGATGTCAGAGTGGATCAGCCCTGGGCTATCGCCGACTCCCGATTAGGAAAACAAGATGCTTCAATCTTGGCCTATCATTCTGGAGGGTATCTTTCTATAGCTTACAAAGGCTTATGCTTGTCTGATACTTGTCTCCATGATATTCTGTCCTTATTGTATCTGATTGGATACCCTTCGTCCACCCCATGAGCCAACATATTCACCCCATCGCTCATGTTAGTTCCTGGGTCTGAGCTGATTAATGAGCGAGCTCGCGTATCAACTTCGATGAGCCTAATCGACGAAATAGGAAAACAAGATTGCGGATAATTCGGGCTCACTCCAAATCTATGTTCAAGTCTGACATTGCCAGGCTAAAATGGGTGTCTCTCTTCAAGTATAAAGCCTCGACTTTGCTGCTTCATCTTTCCCTCTGGAACCATTACAGCCCATTCTCACCATTCCAAACTCATTCAAGAGCACCATTCACTCATAAATACACTTCATCATGTCTCGTTTTACTCCTGAGCTGGCTGGCGCCCACGTCCTCGTGACAGGTCAGTATCTCCCACTCCCCTGACACAATCTCATAGCTCCTTCTGACGATCGTATATACAGGTGGCCGCAAAGGCATTGGAAGAGTCATCACCGAGGCCTTTCTCGCCGAGGGAGCCAATGTCTCGTATTGCTCACGAGTTGTCACCGGTAAAGAGTTTGAGCCTTTCAAGGGTGCAACTGGGGGAGCACGTGCCGTTGGCACAAGCGTTGATATTGCCGACCCTGATTCTGTCAAGAATTGGGTCGAAAGCGCCGCCGAAACCTTTGGCAGGATCGACATTGTTGTTGCAAATGGTGAGCCTGGCCGTGAACTTTCATTATACACTGGCTAACTTGTTCATAGCTTGCCCAGCGATCACTGGCCCAGCTATCGAGGACTGGCAAAAGAGTTTCCAAGCCGACGTGATTGGTCTCATTACCCTCATCCATGCCGCAACCCCTCATCTGGAGCAGCGAGACGGCGCCGGCTCCATAGTCGTCATCAGCTCCCTCGCCGGTTTTGAAGCGAAGCACCCAGCGCACACCGGCCCATACGCGGTATTGAAGAGAGCTCAGGCAACATTAGCCAAGGACTTTTCGAAAGTTCTTGGCCCAAAGGGCATCAGAATCAATTCCATTGCCCCAGGGACCATCAATCCTCCGTCGACGACTCGACCTGACGGGACTGAGGAGCTTAGCACCTTTCAGCAGATCATGACAGCCAACCCGGCCTTCCTCGAGAGCTTGCTACCAAACATCGCTCTGGGAAGGGTTGGTAGCGGTCAGGATGTTGCCAATGCCGCGGTATTCCTTGGTAGCCGACTTTCGAGCTACATCACGGGTACCAACTTGATCATTGACGGCGGCATGTCTACTGCTCTTTGAGGGAAACCCATGTATATAGGCTTCGGACTTATAGACTAGATATGGCTAGGTTTGCTGTTGGGAACTCAATTCATCTCCTATAACCAGCAGTGGGGCCCCATAGGTCGAATGTGGTTTATTCTTCCCATCAAATATGGTACAGCGCGGTCGCCAAAAATCCGATAGGTTTCTCGGTCCCCTTTCACATGTTTGCATTCCTTCTTCACTCATGTGAGTACGCATGTCAGCAGTAACACAGCGAACAGCCTTCCATTCCTATCATCGCCGTGCAACCTACTGCAAACAAGAATGTATGGCTGTGTCTAAAACTGATCCAGCTCCAAGTCATTTTAGTGCAGCTCTGTTTGAACGAGCAACACCGCCGCTGAGTCTATGCAACTCGTCAAAACACGCAACGTCAGGCATGTATGGTGTTGATGTCCAACGTAAACTTAGTGTCTGGCAACACGAGGTCCGTGGCTCGGAATTTCTGGGTCAGCCAATGCCGGGATATCCGAAGCAACGCTTGGCATGGACAGGTAACAAAGACGCAACATCCGACAAACAAGATATAAACATAAACCCAGACGCATACGATGGCGTCAAATAGAAAACAACACTGACGACACAGGAAAAGCATCACTCGCAGCATCAAGCCCTGGTGAAACACAAACACGACAGCAGTCTCGCATCTTGGCAAAGTCATTGGCCTGTGCTAGACATCCCTGACGCACTGCCCCATGGCGCCAAGCGTGGCAGTTGAGACGCCAAGACGTTGGCAACCAGACCTGAAAGGCACAAGCAGCGTCTCGTCCTACGCGGTCAAACGCGAGCGATACGTGGCATCACTCGAGATGACTGAGGCTGTGCTGGGTGGGTGGCGTGGACGGCATTGCCACGGCGGCCTCCGCCCCTCTGATTGGGCATCATGGGTATGATGGAGACGGTCCACAGGGATGGCGGTGCATGGACTGCTTAGTCGACCGCTTGTTTGTACGTACATAGTATCTTTGTTGATATATTTAACCTAGGACCCCGTCTTTCTGAGAGGGTTTCTCAACTTACTTCCTAGACACAATCTACAACACCAAGAATCATCATGAGCTACAACGACGACCGTCAGGGCTACCAGCAAGGTGGTAACTACCAGGGTGGTAACTACCAAGGCGGTTACCAGCAGGGCGGATATGGCGGTGACGACCGTCAACAAGGTGGTTACCAACAAGGAGGATACGGTGGTGATGACCGCCATCAGGGAGGATATCAGCAAGGAGGAGGTTATGGTGATGACCGTCAACAAGGCGGCTACCAGCAAGGTGGTCAAGGCGGTTATCAACAGGGCGGCCGTCCTGGTGGTCTTGCAGACACCTACTTCTCTGAGAACCAGCAGCACCAGGGACCTCCCGGATACGGCAACCAAGGTCCTCCCCCCTACAACCAAGGCCAGGGTCAATTCGGCGGCCCCGGCGGTCCTGATGGCCAAGACGGCGAGCGCGGCGTGATGGGTGCTCTCGCTGGTGGTGCTGCCGGCGGCTTCGGCGGCTATAAGCTCGGCGGCAAGACCGGACACACCAAGACATCTGCCGTCGTCGGTGCCCTTGCCGGCGCCTTTGGTGGACACAAGCTTCAGGATGCTGCTGAGGACTGGAAGGATGACAAAGATGAGAAGAAGGAAGAGGAGAAGCGCCGAGAGGAAGAAGAGAAGCGACGAAGGGAGGAAGAGAAGCGCAGGAGAGATGATGACAGATACAGGAGGGACGATGAGGGAAAGCATAGACGTCGTCGTGGATCTCACTCCAGCTCGAGCTCCGACTCGGACTCTGACTCTGGCAAGGGCAGACGTCGCCGTGGAAATTATGCCGGCAACTTCACTGCCTCTTCCAGAGACATCCACCTCGACACTCACGGCGACTACATCCTCAGTGCCTCATGCGGCCGTGGCGATGGCTCTCGCAGCCACAGCTCCATCTCCCTCAACAGAGTCCTCGAGAACCACCGCGGCAGCTTCCGCTGGGTCGACGGCGGAAAGCGAGGTGGCGGAAGCAACACCGTCACTGTCCAACACGGCGATACCCTCCGCACCATCGCCGCCCGCTTCAACGTCTCATTTGACGAGATTGCCCGCCACAACAACATCAACAACCCTGACCTCATCTACCCCGGCCAGACGCTTCAAGTTCCAGGCGGTGGCAGCTCTGGTGGATACGGAAACTTTGGTGATTCGGCACGCCACGTGCGTCTTGTTGATGGAGGCCAGAAGCTGGAGGCTGAACTGCAGCACGATGGGGAGTGGTGCTTCAGCTCGATTGTGCTGGATGAACGGATAGAGAACAACCACGGTGAGCTGAGGCTCATCTAAAATGGCTAGGATGATTTGAGCGAGTTGGGCAGATTGAAATTTCCTTGATTTTTGCAGCTCTTATGTTTTCATCCATTCACAGGTCCTATCTAAGGATCGAAGAAAAGCAATTTCCCTAGCATACAAAAATATCAGAATGCCATGCCTAGAGCTACATGTTGCTCAGCTATTGTTCAGCCTTTTTACTATTCCTCCTTCTCGTAGATTGATAAGCTGGTCCGCCATCGCACTGGTCTCCTTGGTACATGGCGACAATCCGGGTACGCGTCGTTCTGCTAGAGCTCTATCTGAGACACTGGAAAGGTTCGTGCAGTCGCGTTAGTGGCCTAACGCGTCGCAGGGATCGCAGTTAGAGGCTTCCTAATTATAGCTCAGCCAGCCTATGGCCACGTTTCGCTTCGTCAATGCCAAGTTGAGGCCCTGGCCCTGGTCCAAAGCTTAGCGATTGCTCAGCCCTGACTGGTGAAAGCTTAAACACCTTTCCACCAGGTTCCGTGGCATCCTGATGATGCAAACTCTCTGCGCCCTTGGCAGGGGTCTTTTTCGATGTCACACACAAACGTCCAGTGAGGCCGAGCAATGAACTTGCTAACCATGTCTGGTAAAGGGCTGTTTCAAATGCACAGCTGCGGGGTAGAGCTGCCGGATCTCCGGACGAAATTGTTTAGATGTTTCTCCTTGTCCTCTCCACGGAAAGTCCGTCGGGGAATTTTATCCATTGTCCGCACCACCATTCGTCCCTTGAACATTTCTTCACCTCAATTGACGCATAGATAAGGATTAATTGTTAGAAAGATGTCAATTGCGTAATTTCAGACCTCTACCAGTCCTTCTCGATGCAAATCACCAACTGAAAATCCGTCCCCTGATGCTGTAGGGTAACTTATCCTCTACACGATCAGCCCCGTGATCTGCGAATCAGACCACCCGATAAGAACACGAGGGCCCCTTTAATTAGTAGTACGACTTTATGATTGGGGGTACCTCGGCCAAAAGGTCCACTGATAAACACGCCCGTCAGCAGAGCATCATGGCCAACAAGCAGAGTCTGCGTCCTCTCCTTTTGCTTCATTTCATGATTTTTCAAGATGAATTCGTGTCTTCGTTGCTCAGGCCAGTCTTCTGTCTTTAAATTCTTTTGTGTTTTTGTCCTCGTCACTTTGATACTGGTTCTGACTGGGCAATATGAGTCCGTTCTTGAACCGCCAAGGGTCCCACAGCCCACGATTAGCGTAGTATCAGACCAAGAAAACGCCTACGTCTTTTACGCGACAGACAACACCTACGCGTGCTCAGTTCTGGTCAATGTGCATATCCTGAGAAAGACACACGAAACGAAAAGACGAATTATTGTTTTGGTGTCTAAAGATGTCTCATCCAAGTACCATTCTTCGTTCAAGTCCCTCAGCGCAGAGGTCATCCAGCGGAAGCCCATGGGACTCCATCCCGAAGCGAACAAAGATTATAAAAGTTCACTGCTTAAACTTGAAGCTTTTGGTCTCCCCGAGATTGACCCTTGCTTGAAGCGGCTTCTGGTGGTTGAGGGTGATCAACTCGTCTTGAAAGATCTCGACCACCTTTTCGACCTACCCCCAGCAGACATTTACGCCCCCAAAGCCTACTGGGCCCGAGACGAGCTCTTCAGCAGTACCCTCATGCTTATCCAGCCAAAACCGGAAATATGGAATGACATCAAGGAGATGGTTCCGAATCTGCAACCGAACCAGCTGGAGATGGATGTCATCAACGATATCTTCTCAGGAAAAGCTGCTCCAATCCCCGAGTCATACGTAGTACTGAACAGTCACTGGTCGGAATGGACTCTTCCATCATGGTTCACACCCAGTGCCTCTGTCACTACATCAGAAGTTGCTGGGGCAACACCAACACCCTCGGCGAAACCATCCAACGAGGAGTTGGATGAGCTGTCTCTCCAGGCTCACATCATCCACTTCAGTGCTGAGATTGGAAAGCCGTGGGATTACGATGTATGGCAGGTTGGCGAGCTGGAATTTAATGCGCATCAAGTGTTGCTTCTTCAGTGGCAGGAATGGAGGGTAAGGGCTCTGGAGTTGTGTCCGGCGGGGGTAATTGATCATGTCTGACCGGAAGGCATAATGATATGGGTGTAAAGGGAACGGACTATGAACATTGTAATTGTAATGAAAAGTGTATGAATAGCTTCTTCAAAAGCTGGGTTTTGTGAGACCCTGTGTTAAGGAACCCGGGCGTGTCTTGATCGATCTACTTCGTGTGACTAGATTGCGATGAAAACCGTGAAACTGAACAACTCCTGCGTAGACAAATAACTACCCAATATCGTGAATGCCAAGCCGCGTCGCCCTTGACTGAATCCACCACCCCTGGTTGCATGCTGAGGTCCTCACCTGTGTCAGCAGGGATACGCTCCCTTCAAAGCACCGTTGCTGACTCTGTACCCATCTCAAGCGGGGTAATGCGAGTGACTGCCGAATGCTACCCCCATATTCTACGACCTTCTTATTGACAACTCGTAGTGCCAAGTGTCTCGCTTATTAGACCGACAATTACTTGCCTCATTCAAAAGAGGAGTATCAAATGCTGAGTAATCGGACCATCTCCATCCAGCTTCCACGATTGGCATCTTCCCTTGCCCCGATGACGTGAGGAGGTGGAGTTTGAACCCTCACCCCCGCTATATAAACCATTAAAAGCCTCACGTAACGTTGCCCTCGATTCCTTCATCCTCAGAATTATCCAATCACTATCTTACTCGAGAATTATCAAGTCGGACCAAACACTAGTCGCAAGACCTATCTAAAATGGCTCAAGTCCTGGTTGTCTATCCTTCTGGTCCGTCGTTTGACCATGACTACTACATCAAGTCCCACATGCCCCTCGTCGCTGCGTGAGTGATCCCTGGTCTTCGGAGCAATCGAGAACTGACGGATCTGGATAGTTCTTGGGGCTCGGCTGGTCTTTTGAGCTGGGAGATTCTCAACTTCACCGCCGATGCTCCTTATCAGGTTCAGGCTACGCTGAAGTGGAAGAGCATTGCTGACTTTGAGGCTGCCGCCGCTTCTCCCGCAGCTGAAAAGGTGTTTGGCGACATCAAGAACTTTACTTCTGCTGAGCCTATTCTGCTTAAGGGCGATGTCGTGGCCTCTCAGACTCTGGCTTAAAGCTTCTTGGATAGACATGAATAATGACAACGTTATGTTACGTGTTGAGAGCTGTGTACTATTGTGCCTAACACCCTTTGACCGTAACCCTGCAGGTAGAACCGTGAAATCAACAAGAAAGCGATATGACACGTTGGAATTCATTGACTCCGTCTCATTTCCGACATTTGAATGACAAACAACCCGAAAGTGAGAGCAGCCGTGCTGATGGTGGCCGGCACGAAGGCATTTTGCAGGTCCGTGTGAGTGATGTAAACTAGCCAAAGGGCCACGAAGACAAAGTTCAGGACAAAGCAAAGAATGAGCCAATAAATGAATCTCCATGCTGAGAAACTCATCTTGACGTGTAATCCCCAGCCGACCTGGCCCATCTCTCTGGCGAATGGAGGAGGGTTGAGCTTCTTGGGTAGCATGGCAGTGATGGTCGTGTCGCCTCTCCCTTTCATTGGAGACCTGAGTCCTCCCACAATCTGCTTCCCTGCGGCTCTCATATGGACATCGTGTGGGTTGGGAACGGAGTGTGTATAGTCTTGAGCAGAACTGGGAGGAAGAAGCCCGACTTTCATGGGATCGACCTGGCTACCATGCTTCCACACAACACAAAACTATATTTCTTTGTTAGCATATAATCTCATGACAATCATCTAGACCTGTCTACCTCGATGAAATCGACCGCCGTACATCGCTTCCATGAGAAAAGCAACCCAATCCAGCCACATGCTGAGCGAATAGCTTTGTTGACTTGTCGGTACAACTCCTCGTCGTCATGTAAGGTCTCTGAGTTGAGAATGGGGAACAGGTGGTTTTCAGTTGGCTCTGTAAAAGTCTTTTCGACACACCAATACATGTCTTTCGTGGGAACTGGAGTTGGTAGTGCCGCTGAAGATCGGACAGCGGCGCCCCCGAGAGCGACATTACCAAGCGTAGGCGGGCTATTGGTGCCCCCGGATCGGAAAGCAGCATTCGAAGGTACAGTTGCAGGTACATGTCGTGAGGAACTGGTCGACGGATTCGCCACTGGGAGGAGTGGAATTCGGTTGGTGGTTATTGGCGAACACATTGACTTGTAGCGGTTGAGTTCATCCTGAGAGAGCGACATGCAAAGTTCAATTCCTTGCCACTTGGTAGAGAATGTTTAGTTAGTAGGGATTTCTCATATATATCCGTATCCATACTGGAGACTTACCTCCCACGTCATTAAAAATTGGTCAGGTCTCAGCTTTGGCCGTGGGCGAGGAAATGGCCACCAATCTACCCGCCGTCCGATCCGCTCCTCGATAATGAGTTTAAGCTTTTCGGTTCGAGAGAGAGGATTTGTGTGATTTGCAGGGATGAATGTCGCTATTCGCAAGCCGTCATCGTAGCGGATGTTGGGAAAATTGACCTGTGCCAGCATGTTAGCCATTGGAGTTCGGAAGTGGACTTTATCACATAGAGATACTTTCCTTGACCAGTTCTTCGCAAACCTCTTTTATGGTAGGCCTTTTGGCAGATTTGGCTAGCATTTGACCAAGGATAGGCTGAAGCTGTTTTGCTCGGGAATCCCTGCGAGCCATGCGATCTATCCACTCAAGAACCTGATCCTTCACCTTTTCATCATCATCAAAGCGAGTGTCATTGAACACGTCGGATGATATCTTGTTTCCAGTAGTAGTGATGTGATCCCTAAAGCCGGCCACGCCCGCCGAGCCTCCGCACACAAGAAAGGCCACGATCTCAGTAAAGACACACCCCAGCTTCCAGATGTCGTTGGCCAATAAGTCTGTAGCTGATGGAATTTCGAATCTTTCGCCAATCGGATTCTTTGACCCGACGTTGGGTGATCTTGTTCGACTCTCGGGTGAGTCGTATTCCCATGCAGATTGCAGGGCACGACTGCCAACTTCCCAGGTCGGAGCTTTGGAGAGATCGATCGCCAGGCCAAAGTCCGTCAGTTTCAGAATCAAGCTCCCCTTAGGTGATGGTGTCTCATAGATCAAGATGTTGGAGGGCTTGATGTCGCGGTGGGCCATCTGAATCGAATCATGGAGGTAGGCTACCGCACTTGAGAGCCCAGCAAATTGATCCCAAAGCGAGTCTCGGGTACGTCTCTGAAGTTCGATATCATCATCATAACTCCCACGAAAGAGCCTTTTGAGATTCCCAAAGGCTAGTGGAAACATGAAGTTAAAGTACTGCTCTCCGTTCTCCTCGTATCTAAAGGCGACGAGTGTCTCCACTATGTGGGGATGATCTAGACTTTTGAGCAGCTTCAGCGAGTCATACTCAGCCCAAAATGTCTCTTCAGGGGTGTGCTTGTGAAGTCTTTTAACCGCAACCTATGTGCATAGATGTTAGCGTACCTATATCATTCTTGATGATGACTGCTGGCTTAAAAGGAGGATGTAGGATAGATGCCTTTTGAACGACTCTGTCCGCCTGTAACCGCCCAGGCTGATCTACAGACAACAGAATGTGACTTTTTATATCAAACACGCTGGATGTCTCGCCGACTTCTAGACGGGATGAGTAGAAACCGCTCTGTATCTTGTTTCCTTTTTTGTACGTGTCAGATTGCTCCAATTCGAAGACAACTTGTTCAAAACCCTGGACAGTTTTCTGGGACGCTGGTCGGAACAACGGAATCGTGTTAATATCTGGAGTGACCAAGTCTTCATTTGGCTCGAATCCCCCCTCGCTGTTGGTTTTGTGCGCGTCGCTCTCTTTCGCCGAACGGCCTGTATGGGTGATGGCCGGGTTGCGAGATGGTAGGCTTTCTAGTCTTATCGCTCTATTTTGGCGATCATACTGTGAATGATAATTTGCCGCCCTGAGTGCGTCCCTCTCACTATCGGCAAGATGCCGAGGTATGCTGAGCGTAATCTTCCCATTCCGGAGCTAGAGCAATTGATAGGCACAGTTAGTTGCTATCTTACTGGTGATTAGATTATGACATGGATGGGACGGCCTACATACCCAAATGTGATAGTTGTTGCCGAACCACTTGGTCAGGTAAGACCCGAGTATTTCCACGCGCGGGTACTGAATATCGAGGCGTTCCTTGACGTATCTTGACGACATTTTCTTGTACTGAGATTCTCTGTACCGGAGATGATAAGGAGGAACTGGTGAGAGGGATTCGATGTGCTGAACGGTGTTTCTGTCAAGGCAAGAAGAGTAAGCAGGAGTCTTGTCTACCATGCGGAGAAGACGAGCGAATTTATTGCTGAGGCCAGGGCCGAATGCAAGGATGAATGCCATAAGCCTTCGTAATTGGTTGGTTGGGAATGTGCATATCGTCTAACTTGGCTTCTGCTCTTCAGAGTCTTGAAAAGTCTGCATGAGAGGCTCTGGTCTTCTCAAGGATAGAGCTTACCTGGGTATCCCGTGTTAGCATAGAGTCTAGCTTCAGTTTCCCCTTTCACCGCGGAGATGGGCTTTTCTGAGAGCATTTCGCCTTCTTAATCTGCCGGTCAGCATCGGCAGGTGCATCAGGCTCTGCGCCAGGCTCTCCACTGGGCGTTTTGCCAACTCATCTGCAACCAGTACGTACCGAATCAGGCTGGCTGATGAGACAATTCTACTGGTTCGCCGACCAAATATTGTCAGTACCCTGTTGGCACTGCCCAGATCCTCATGACCTGATCCTTCTCTTCAGGTGACACAGGTCTAGGCTGGCTTGTCAACTTTCTCCCTCACTCGCGCAGTCTGACCCAAACTTGTAGACTCATCACCGACTCGGAATGGACGACAACTTGCCCGACCTAGTCCGTGACTGGGAGCTCGACACTAAATTCGTCAGCGACAAACAAACCATACACACCACGTATGTTTCTGACCCCGCTAGAGGGAGGTGGCGGAGAGCCGAGGAGGAGGTGTGGGACCAAACATCCATGCTAGGTAGAGGCTCGTTCGGCGTCGTCTCGCTGCAGAAATGCGTTTCAGGTCCCAACTCTGGTAAAGTACGAGCCGTCAAGGAGATTCAAGTGACGCTGGATCGATCGGTAGACAAGTTCCTATCTCGGGAGATATCGGCAATTATCAAGTTTTCCCACAAGCGGGTGAGATCAACCATCAGGTGCTCTCTATCATAATCCCACTAATGAGCTTGACTCAACAGTTCCGAGACTGCTTTGTCCCATCCTTAGGTTGGTATAGGGGCAAAGACTCAATCTTCATCACCATGGAGTATCTCCCCTTGGGCGACCTAGAGTCCTTCCTCGACAATCCTCTACCAGACAGTGAAGCCCGGACTATCACGGAGCAGGTACTCCAAGGCATTGACTTCATGCATGGAAGCAAAGTTGCCCATCGTGACCTGAAGCCCAAGGTATGCTAAGACAGACCTGGCTGTCTTTCGAATACAGCTGTTTAACATTTTTGTCTATCACCAGAACATCCTCGTGCAAAACAATGGACCCAATTGGTGGGTCAAAATCTCGGACTTTGGTTGCAGCAAGCAGAGCGAGTCAACATCTCTCCGCACTATTATTGGCACAGAACCATATCTTGCACCTGAGCTTCAGAATGTCTTTGCTCCATCAGATCAAGATGACATAGAGGACGAAGAGGATTCGAATTCCTTGGAGACCCTTGCGTACACCCTTGCGGTCGATATCTGGGCACTTGGTGCCATCGCCTTTCGCATCGCCACTGGACACCTTCCGTTTCCATCTCCGATAGGAAAAAGGCTATTCCGATATGTCGCTCAAGGGGGCCCATTCCCCTCTAACGAGTTATTGAGCACCGAATGCCATGATTTTATCGTCTCCGTCATGAGCCGGTCTCCACGAGATCGACCAGCTGCAGCCACAGCTTTGAAACATGCTTGGATAGCTTCAAGACGCGGCATAGAGAGGGCTAGGTTCATTTCAGAGGCTGACATCACCTCCAATTCCCACACGGATCGGATTACACGGCCAAACAGCCCGCAAACAACGTCCGATGAGGCCTCCGGATCATGGACTACAGTTCAACAAAGTCTCACAATACGGCAAAAGCCTCCGCCGGGCGGATTTGATCCCAAGGAGCGAAGTTCAGCTGAGTTCCTAGGTGCTCATGAGGCCTCGGATTCGTGGCCAACAGTTCAGCGGGATCCGACTGAGGGTAGCCCAACGGTTCCAACAACGATCAAGCGTACACAATCACAGGGCACCCCAGTTCTACAATTATTACCCCTCAAGCTTACAGATGCTTGGAATACCGGGAATCATGAGGTACCAACGGCTTGCGCCTTTTCAGTCGACGGTCAGTGGCTCTTTTCAACGACCTACAACAGGTTTCATCTTTGGAAACAAACCGACCAGGGTGGATTTAAAGAGACAATTGACCAAATGATAAATTGTTACTCAATTCAGGCAGTAGCTGTCTCGTCTAACGATAGACACCTCATCTCACACCATGGCTATGTGGAAGGAGGATCTTATGTTAGGAGTTGGGAAGTTACCTTCGTTGATGGCCTTTTTCAATGCTTGTTAAAGAGTAGGTGGGGAGCTGATTGGGGAGCATACCCATTTCGGAGAGTTTCAGCAAATGCTCGCCGAGTGCTTGAAGTAAAGCACACTAAGGATGGCTTGGCGAAGATAACCATCCTGGGAGTCAGTCCCGGAGGCAGTTTCACGGTTCTTCGATCACAAAAGTCCAATTTTACGGCTGAAGACATTTGTTTATCTGCAGATGGGGAACACTATATTGTTTTTCACGACGAGAAATGCACCATCTTCTCCTGCGAACATACAAACGGTTCCGAGTTTCAACTTTGGAGCTCGAAGAAGCGTGCAAAACTCGGCTGGGTTAAGACGTCAAAGACTGCCACATTCTCACTGGACGGTCGATGGTGTATCATCTGGTACAATCAAGTCTTCAGAATCTTCAGAAGAGTGAGCGGAAAGTGGGAGGCAGGGCTGCAAGTAGGATTTGACGCTGAAGCCGCTGCATTTTCGGTAGATTCCAAACGTCTTGCCATCGGATCCGCCGGCGGCGCGATATCTATCTGGATGCTTGAGAGCGTGTCTTCTTTAACTCTGGATAAGAGAATGCAGCTTCAGACTCAGGGCGAGCTCCGATACATCACCTTCTCACCAGACGGCCAGTTCTTGGCAACAGATGCAGTGGGAAAGTTTCAAGTGTGGAAGATCTTCTGAGCGCTGACAATTGGAGGATTCTGTTCTTCTGTGATTGATTTTGAGCATACGGGTTTTACCAAGAATGTCCGTTTCGTTACATTTTCATTCTTCACTTTTGTCACCTTGATCATTGATGGTCCTGATCTGATGGTGATCCGGCCTCGCAGCACGCATCGGGCATCGGAGAAGTCGTCGGATGTGGGTCCCCGGCGCCGGAACCTCCAGCTCTGGAGCACGAGGGCCGTCGCGGACCTGCAATAATTGAGCATTTAAACATTGTTAAATATCTTGAGTTTAGCCTTGATCGTCAATCTTTTGCTCATATTAATAACCCTTTGTGGCTCACCGCATTACCATGACAGAAACATTCTTGAACTCGAACGCTTACTTTGAGGCCATCTTGAAGATCGCCGCTGCGAATCACAACGCGAAGGACTACAAGAGACATTGTTTGGTATATGGAGAATATTTTCTCACTGAGTTTGGGGATACATTACTAAAGATGGGACTGGCTTGATAGATGTGATGCCACAGTTGGATGTCCAAGCCGTTGTTCCCGCTACCCCAACGTCCAATTGTCCACCTGAAACGGGCCGCCTTGATCATTTGCAGTCTGTGCCGAAAAGAGCATGTCATCAAAGCTGATTACTCGGTCCAGCTGCATAAATCCCTGATCCATCAAGACGGTCGAAATGGCAGACAGCTCGTCAGGTGAATGCTGCTCGTTATTCTGATTGGTGGGAGATGCTTGTATTAAGGAGTTGAGTTGCCCCATTGGCATTGTTGTTGGAACGTTGTTGATGGTGGAGTCAAGATGCTGCGGTTGGTGAACCGGCTGTGCCTCCTGGGGCTTTGGAAGAGTGCCATCTTGGCCTTGAGATGCCTCATGACCAGGGTCTACTTCAGTTTCCGCTGAGAGAAATCCGTCGGTGGAGTATCCAAGAACGTCGAGGGAGAAGTCCGGGTGCTCCTCGCATTTCTTGTGCAGAGCGCGCAGTTGGGCACTATACTTCCCGGCCAACGAATGCCTGTGTTTCTCTTTGAAGATTGGGCCGACCCAGCGTTTTGCCATCTCTTCAAGACTCTCAACGAGTTGCCAGAATTCGGGTGCCAGATCCGTTTTGTAGTACCGCCAGTGCACTGTTTATGTCAGAGTCGAAAGGTACAAAGCTTTGCGTTGTTGGAAACTTACCGAGGAGCGAACGAGCACTTACAAAGACACAGAAAGAAAATTGGCTATTGACTGGACTGTTGTTTGGGGTATACTTGAGATACTTCTGAGTGATTGTTGCTGTCTCGGATGCTGCGATTTGGCAAGTTTCCGCGCTGTGGGCACTGGGCATTCGGACAATCGTTGTCCACTGGGGCGCTGGGTATGCGATTTGTTGGTGGAGGAGAATCATCGAAGTGTTGTGTGTGATATGAGCGAGAGTCAGGTTAGGATCCATGTTGATGATTGTTGGTCGTCGAGAGATATTTGAGTCCTTCCACTTTTGGGGGAGAAACATCTTCCAACTGAGAGATGTTAGAGAGTCGAGAGATACGGTTCCATGGTACTTACTGGACAAGCCGCAAGTCGAGCTCTTTGAACCTTGTGAGCCAGTTGCTAACCTCTTGGCGGTCTTTAAAGTTTATCCTCTGTTGCAGAAAATAAGTCGTGACTTGGCTGAGGGACTCGGTTGCCTCAATGCAGTAGGCGAATGCCCCCACGGTTGACATATCCACTGTCGTAGTTCCTTTCGGCACAGTTGGGGTAGTCAACGGTGTCTCGGGGCCTGCCGGCGCGTCTGTGGTTTGTTCGGGACTTGGATAGTGTGCGGGTAGAAAGACGATCGAGTTGCCGATTCTGGCTGCAGAGCGGTCCCATATGCCAAAGTACGGAGTCAACACGGTTTCTTCCTTATGCCACAGACCTCCATCGGCTGGTAGTCTCCTGCGGACGTCATCGGATGTCAGACTAGTGTTCCATCTACTGTTGTTAGCACAGGCCGTGCACGGAAGGAGGATTGTTAGGAGGAAAATACCCAGTCATGACGGAACAGAGTCTGCATCGCGCGTTAGTAACAGAAGCAAGGTTGCGGAGTTCAAAGTTACCTGTCCAGGTTGAAGATATTCCAGAAGACCCTCCGTCGCTCTTCATCCTGTGTCCAATTCTTCGAAGGTGGTATTGAAGGGAGAGGCTTCAGAAGTGGTCTCTCTTGTCGATCGTCGGCCTCGACGCTGAGTTGCAAATATTCGACGGTTCTTGTGAGCGAGCCAACGCTGGGCCAAGCTCTCGAGACATCACCACTACCCATCTTCAAAAGGTTATTTGTGTACTTCCGACCAGACAAGAGTACTTACATCACTGAAGGCTATGATGCTCAATGCCTGCAAATTCTCGACGGAAAGCCCATCCATTGCAGAGAGTATGACAATGCTTCTAGACCTCGCCATCCAAGCCTCCACTTCTTGAGTCGACAGTTGATGGCTATCGCAGTCGACAAACCGGATAGCGGCGACGACGATGGCATGCAAGAGAACGGCTAGAGGAGGCAACTGCTCATGGTTGTAGAATCGGCTTCGGAATCGAGTTTCGTGCAGTACGGGGATCCATGGTTGAATAAGGTTGAAGTAGGCTGTAACGATTTCTTCGAGGAGCTCTGGAGGTGGTAATTGACTTGAGCTGCCGCCAAGTTCGCCAAGCTGACTTGCCAATTCGATGTTTGGGTTGCCACAACTGTCAACTCTCCGCCTCTTGCGAGAAGGTTGGTGCCCAGAATGAGATTCTTTATGGCTGGGTGAGACAACTGCTACCTCGGTGACCGAAGAGAACTGCGCTGGTGTTGGAGCTGTTTGATGCAACGCCTCTGGTGACGAGTGAATGGCTTGTACTGGTGCTACAGTTCTGGGAGCCGAAACTAGACCTCGCAGTTCCTGGATCAGACTGGAGAACGCTCCTACGAGCTGCGAGGTATCCGATAACGGGGCACTTGGCAGGTCATCGTTATCTCGCCGTGAGCTGTCATAAACCGTGCTTTCAAGAGCATCTTTGTGGGGTTAGCGATGAAGAGATAAGCAAACTGTCGGTTAACCCACCAACTCTCCGGCTTAGGGACTCGATGACGCCGGGTTTCATCCCGGGCTTGTTCTTTTTCGCATCATAAACGCAAGGCGAGTCTATTTCAGTTCAGTTGAAGCCAGACACACAGGGCCTGAGGAAACTCACCTAGCCTTTGGCAATGATTGCACGTCGGCTTGTCACGCGAACATCTCAACTTTCGACGACGACACCCCTGACAAGATGGGATCTCGCTCTCCCCACCGGGACCGACGATTGCTGACGCGCTCATGTTTGCTGCGCCGTCTGCATTGGCATTGATAGACGAAGTTTCAGTTGAATGCTGCATCGGAATCCGATGGATCGCCCGCTGCCCGAGAAGATGGGGAAATGCTGAGTTAAACAAAACCTGACGTGCCTGAGTCAGAAAATGGAATTGAGCTGCATAATCACCCCAGATTTTCGGCACGCGTCCCCCGCACGCGAGAACCGGCTCCAAGCAAGGAAACGATTAGCTTCATACGGGGTTCGTGACAAGCGGTCCAATCGCTTCCGTCTTGCTCGGCTGATGACCTCGGCTGTGACTTGGCCCGATGCCCGATGGTTCAGGCCAACCGGAAATGGTCTGGGAGCAAAAACGTCCGAGTTTGAGGTAATAACTGCTACGTTTATCCAGCCAAGTTTATCCACCATTAGAGTTGTTCTGTAGTTTCGTTCTTGACGCTTTCTTTCAGTCAAGTGATATTCCAATATGCCACCCCTTGCAGGCTTTTCAGACAACCCTTTCAAGACTCGATCGGATTTGATTCGAGCGAGTATTGCTCTTCTCAAACCTTTGACTGGGTACTTTTCTCCAGAGAAAGCTCGTATCCGAATCCCGATTAGTACTGGTACGCATTTCGATGAATCCGCAGCTCAACTTGAAGGTTTTGCCAGACCTCTATGGGCAATTGGTGCCTTGCTCTTTGGGTACGACTCAATCGCGGATGAGAAACTAGCATCTCAAGTCAGCGAACTTGCCCAGCCATGGGTGGAGGGATTCATTTCAGGGACCGACCCTGAGCATCCTGAGTACTGGGGAGCTGTGCATGACATGGACCAGAGAATGGTTGAGGCGGAGATTCTCGCTTTTGCCATTCTTTCTGCACCAAAGAAGATTTATGAGCCATTGAGCGACACACAAAAGAAGAATATTACAGAATGGTTCAAATCAATGAACGGCAAACAGATGCCCCCAACAAATTGGCGATGGTTTCGCGTCTTTTCCAATCTCGCTTTGACCAAGGTCTGCGGTATTCCGTACGACAATGTCAAGGAAGAGATGAACGCCGACCTTGAGATTCTGGACACCTTTTACCTCCACGACGGATGGTCAGCAGACGGTCCTTGGCAGACACCCGAACAAGCAGAACGAGAGCACCTGGAAACCCTCAAAACAGGACGTCGAGATGCTATCGGAGTAGGAAGACAAGTTGATTACTACTCTGGTAGTTTCGCGATCCAGTTCAGCCAGCTTCTATACTCCAAGTTTGCCAACGACATTGATCCATCAAGGTGCGACATGTATCGACAACGTGCGCGAGAATTTGGTGCAAACATCTGGAGATATTTTGATGAACAAGGTATGTTCAACGCTCCTGTTTGATTCACAGTGCTCACCATATCTTAGGATCCGCTATCCCTTTCGGTCGCTCTTTGACATACCGCTTTGCTTGCGGAGGCTATTTTGCTGCCCTTGCATTTGCAAATGTTCCAAACATGCCCAAGCCACTCGACTCTCCTGGAGCCATCAGAGGATTTCTCTTGAGGCACCTGAGATGGTGGGCGCAGAACTCTGAGGACATTTTCAACGCGGATGGAACCTTGAGTATTGGATGGCTGTATCCGTAAGTCGATAGATTGTCCTCTCGTTCAAGACTAATTGTGGTACAGAAACATGTACATGGCTGAAGACTACAACTCTCCCCAGTCGGTCTACTGGGCTCTCAAAACACTGATCGCAGTGGGCCTACCCGATGATGACGAATTTTGGGCATCGGAAGAACTATCATACCCCACTGTTGATTCCGGAGCCAAGATCGTATCGGCTCCTCAACAAATCCTTTGCAATCACCCAAAGGGTAGTCATCACTTCATGCTCACCCCCGGCCAATTCGTGGCATGGCCAATGAAGGCGAATCAAGCCAAGTATTGCAAATTTGCATACTCGTCTGCCTTTGGCTTCTCTGTTCCTACCGGACCTCTCATACAGCAGATAGCCCCGGACAACCAACTGGCTATCAGCAGAGACGGTGCTGAGTCGTGGACAGTCAAGTGGAAGAGTGAGGCGGTGCAATTCGCCAAGGCAGTGACCAATTCAACGACCAATGAAGACCCAAGTGTTCCCATCGCCAGTGTTGGTTGGTATCCCTGGGGCGATCGATCTGTCCATGTCGACACAGTCTTGATCCCGCCAACTGATCGCTGGCCGGACTGGCATGTTCGCATCCATCGCATCCAAGCTTTGAAGGGTACAGCATCGATCCATACTGTCGAGGGAGGATTCGCCATTTATGGCAGAAAAACAGCCGACGGAACGAATCTTTCGGCAGCAGATCTTACTGATGACGCTGTGCCCGGTCAATTCGAGGGTATAGTATCAACCGATAACTCTACCCTTATCGCCTCTCAAGATGGAGTCAGCGGTATTGTCGTCGAGACGACCATCGGCAGTGAGCAGGCTGTCGTGTCTAGCTCTGCACTGAAGCCAGATGCAAACACCAACCTGGTGCGGCAAAGAACTCTCATCCCAACTGCATCTATCAGCGTGCCCCAGCGGCTCCTAGAAGGCACAGAGATAATCATCATGACATCTGTGTTAGCAATTTCAACCCACTCAGATGCAAAGTGGGAGAGTGGCGGTGTCTCTTTGAAACAGAGGTGGCTCGACCGTCCAAAGCTTAACCTCAAGGTGTTGAAGCAGCGTTTCGATCCAGCCACGATCGTCTTGGGCGAGTGAGAGAGGAGGATAACCACATATTTGAATAGGCCATATCTTGTATTTTGACGAACAAGTCATCTTAATGGCGCTGGCTTTATCCTCGTGACTTTGAAAGGATTTGGCTCTCGAGTAGATGATTGTCAGTAGCATGCTCCGAGACATACCCGTCGTAACCAATAATGGCAGATCATCCGAGGACCCAGCTTGGCGTTGAGAAAGCATGCAGGCAGCCCGATCAAGTAAATGTTGCAGCGGGGTTTTCAGGATAAAGATCTAGCCGTGTCAATAGGAGGGAGAGCCAAGATCAATTGAATCCACATAGAGTAATCGAGTTACATAGACCTTGCTAAGACTAAGAACCACATGGGGTAGTGCTCGTGTCTCGTAGGTGCGGTTGGGGTAGTTAAAGGTATGATCGGGACCTCGGCCCAAAGAGGAGATATCCCGACGTCCGATGTGCGCTTAATACGAGCTGTTGCAACTGCCGAAATTCTTTCAAAAGTATTTAGCCCTATTTCTTTGGGTGTAATAATCCTGATTATCTGAAATGCTTGGCTTTGTTATATGCGCCTCTTGTGCTACCCATCATAGTGCTCTTCGTTCGACGTTACTGAAGCGCTACTCTAGAATGACTATGTTGATTCATTTCTTTTTAATCCTAGGAATATGTCTTTCTTAGTCCAGTCTCCTTCTTGTCTAGTTATCAGATGCGGAAGGACGGTACAGTAATTCGAGATGCAAGAAACCCAGGCAGGTCTCATACTAGCTTTAAGAGCAGTGAACCATGTGGAGGACCGTTGAAAACCACTGTGCGGGTACTGAACGGTAATTATTATTGGTGCTTAGTTCGCTACTCGTGATAAAGCTTATCAACGTTTTATCGATTGCGTCAATTTTTCGCAACTGGGCTGACCCATAACTTCAACCTCACACTTACAACTCACCGTAACAATGAGTCCATCTCGAACGGGAGAGAACTCGGAGCTGGAGCTCAACGAGTTTCTCTCATCTTTTGTTCCTCAAGAAACACATTCTTCTATTCGTGAATCTGTTATTCCTGGGCTTCTTACGGCCATCTCCGCTATCGGCAGGCAACTCAGATCATCACACCACGTCACAATTGTCGGCACCGAAAATGCGTTTGGAGATGAGCAACTGAATGTCGATGTTTTGGCTGAAAAGGTCCTGCGAGACGAAATCGCGAAATGTCCGACCATCTACACTGCGAGCAGTGAGGAAGATCCCGTGGAACGATCAACAAACGATGGTAAAGAAGACACCAGCAGCAACGAGCGATATACTGTTGCTTTCGATCCTCTTGATGGAAGTTCCATCATTGGGCCTAATTGGTCTGTTGGTACCATCATTGGTGTTTGGGAGGGAGTCACTTCGATCGACCAGCCTCCTGAGAAGCAAATCGCCTCCATTATTGGAGTATTTGGGCCGCGCACCCTCGCTATCGTGGCCCTTCGGATCCCAGGAACCCCCGACGTATGCTTCGAAGTGAGCCTGGACGACACCGACAGAATCGCCATTGTTCGTCCAGAGATTCGCTTTGCTGAGCCTCCGTTCAAGGCGCGATACTTTGCGCCGGCCAATCTCCGTGCAGCCGCCGAGAACGAAAAGTACATGAACCTCATCACTAAGTTCATCAGCGAAAAGTACACCCTTCGATACTCTGGAGGCCTCATTCCTGATCTCTTCCACGCCCTCGTCAAAGGTCATGGCATCTACATCTCCCCCGTCACGGAAAACAGCAAGGCCAAGCTGCGAAGACTCTACGAGCTACTTCCTGTCGCTCTTTTGATCGAGTGCGCTGGAGGCCAGGCTATCGATCCCGAGACTGGCCTGAGAATTATGGATACCCCCTTGAAGGGTTGTGATGACAGAGCCGGTCTGGTTTGTGGAACATCTGAGGAAGTTGAGGCTGTTAAGGAGGCGCTGTTGAATTGAGCTGTGGACTATCATGACCGGAACGATATAGACTGCATTTAATAGACTACTGCTGCGTACGCATACGCTCTTGAACATTTCGCATCACAGTTCTTGACTGCATCTTCACAGCTCCACAAGAAGCCCCTCCTGAGATAGCGCTGGGAGGGCAGGAAAGTTGGGACTTTCGACCTTGACACCCTTGGCGTGATGTGCCAGCGGCAGCCAGACAGCCAGCAACGCACTAGTACGATCCAGCTGTAGTTCAGCTTCGAGGCGGTCTGGAAAGATCTCACCCAGATCGGGCAGCTCAGACGCAGACACCACATCCTCGAGAGCAGAATCATGATCATCCTGCTTAGTCTTGGCGAACGTCATCTGGATTCCAATCATCTTTTCCTCAGGACGGTGAAGAAGCCAGAAGGAAGTTGCCTCGCGGTTCTCGGCTCCATCCTTGAGAACAGGATACAGCTGCTTCAGGATCGACTCGGCGTTTTTGATGTCGTATGTCCAGCGCTGAAAGCGACCGATGGCATGCTCATCGACAGGCTTGAAGTTGTAGGCACCGATGACGTTCCAGGTCCAGTGAGTGACCGACTTGAAGAGTGGCTGCTTCCAATACTTTGTCTTTGGCTCTCCAACCTCAAACTCGTTGCTGGTCCAGTTGCTGTAGTCTTCTGCCTCTTCCTTGGTGGTGAACAGGTATGCGCCGCCCGTGAGCATATCACCACTGACTTCGTGGTAGCGGCAAGGCAGATACTTCAAGTACATTCCCGGTCGCTTGGCCATGATCTGGCTGCCTGCGTACTGATCGTTCCAGACATCCTGGAGTGAAACGCGGACTGCGATGTGAATCTCTGCCGTGAAGGCGCCCTTGGCCTTGATCTCGCCCTTTTCATAGGTCAGGTCCTTCTTCTCGGGGTCTTGAGATGCTAATCAAGCGTATCAGCCATGAATATCATCTTCTAGCGGAGTATGAGCGCACCCATGGTGAAACTTGGAGTTTGCGTTCAACAGACTGTCAGAATGTGTGCAGTGGTGTAGTCAGGTTACCCGGCTGAAGATAGTGCGGAGAAAAGACACTTTATTCACTCGTCAGCTCAACGCATAAAGTCCACGGAATTTGCCGGTCTCTGTTTGGTCACGATGACGTGGCTGACGTGATCCAAAGAATTGCTGAGTGTGAGATCGAATGACAACTCTTGGTTGCAAAGAGGCTGATGTTCGGCCAATCAAGAGGATATGGCGTTGTGCATTTGACCACGGCAAGGCTTGGGTAGCGCAGCCAAGTGTTAGGTAGCAGTTTTGCAACCTATAAAAGACAGGGCCACGTAAGACAAAAATGCTGCTGCCTATTAATGCACTAAACATAGCATTCTAGACTAAGTATGCAACCCCTTTGTAGAGGCAATTAATTGATGTGTCTTTGCACCTATCATGCCCCTCATTTTGCTTAGGTGGAGTGGTAAGGGAAGAATAAACTCACAATTGGATAGGCGCACTGGCAGATGCTTATTGAGATGCGTAGCAATGGTATCAGTGCAATAGGAATCGAATACAAACAATGTGATTGAATCTAATATCTAGTTCTATCAATGCTCATGCCGTCATAATTGTCATTAGAACCAACTCAAATGCCCTCATCTACCAATATGCTCAAGTTGAATGCATAAAAGGAATGGCCAAACCCAAACTAAACACTGTCAATGCTGCTCATAGTATCCATCTATACACTTTCGCCTTGTCTAGTAGCGTCTATTCCGACTTCGTCTCGTTCAGAGCCGCCTGTCTCTCCCATAACATCTGGAAGACCGGGGTCTTGACCGGGCATGAGACGCCAGGCTTTGGCAGCCGGCCGTTCTTGAAGTAATCGATGATGGCGGTGTATGTGCACACCGACGGGTTTCCGTGAATACCGTGCTGTTTGAAAACTGTTAGCTGGTGTAAAAGATCAAAGGTGCACCGGCAAAATAACTTACACCCTCGCCCTCGTGGACTACAACTCTGCTTCCGTTGAACCGGGTGGAAGCCTCATATGCCGAGACCAAGGGGGTAATCGGATCGTATCTGCTGTTGACAAACAGAATGGGCATCTTTGTGTTGACATGCTTGAACTTGTTCATGTCGAGCGTCTCGGCTGCCTTGAATGGCCACCGGGCACAGGTGAGCTCTCCCTCGGCACCGGTGTCGCTGAAAGAGCTTTGTTCAGAGTGAAGGGCCCAGGCTGAGTAGAGGTCGTCGACTGTCTCGGCGCGGTAAGCCTGATCGCCGCAGTAGATTCCGTCCAGTGCATCGTCGCCCCAGTTCCACACCTCAGTCGTCTCTTCCTCTTCTGTACTAGGATTCATGATATCATAGACTTGCTGCCATTCAGCGTCAATCATCTTTTCAATGAAATCAGCGAGATCTCCGAAATTGCTTGGGCTGTAGAGGGCTTGTTGGATGTGGTGCTTAATGGTGCTGAGGAACCCAGTACCGCCCTGGAAATAACCCGAGTCCTTGGGCAGACCCCATGCCTCAGGGATCTTGGGTGTCTTTAGCAACTCGGTCCAGACTTCCTCAATGGCTGTGGTTATGATCTCGACGGTCGTGTTGGAACCTGCCCAGTTGGCCAGATTGCAAAGCTCTGGGCCAGACTTGATGCACTCATCAACAAGGTGTAGCATGGATCTCTCGGTATCCTTGACAAGGGAAGGGTTCAGACCCATGACGTACTCGTCGATCATGACGGTGCCATCAAGGACCATCCGGTCGATACGGTCGGGAAACATGCCGGCGAGGGTTTGTCCAATGACAGTGCCGTACGAGATGCCCCAGTACCTCAGCATGCCATCCTCGCCCAAGGCATCAACAGCAGTCATGATATCTCGAGCACTGAACGCTGTGCCGATGTAGGCGCCAGTCTCCTTCCGGGCCTTGTAGCACTGCTCTGCCCTCTCACCCAAGTAGTCCCATGTCTCACCCTTGAAGGTAGGCCAGAGATTGGCCTGTGGGAGAACGTCAAAACGACGTGATAGTTTTGACTTTTCAGCCTTCTCGTCGACATCTTCCTCGACCTCGATTGAGCAGTTAAAGGGCAGGGTTCGTCCGGTTCCGCTAGAGGCAGTCTGTTAGTCTTGGACACAGTTGGCAAGGTCAAGATAGCTTACCGTGGATCAACAGCAACCAAGTTGTATTGACCACCGAGAACTCTATGATAAGACTATTAGTAAAGCTTTGTAGCATTTATTGCGGATTCACTTACTGGTAATAGCTTTCTGTACTGGTCACCAGGTACTCAACAGCCGAACTTCCAGGGCCACCCGGGTTCCAAAAGACACTACCCTTGGCCGGTTGTACCGACGCCTTGACCCGGGCAAGCTGTAGATCGATGGTCTTTCCGTTGTTGGGCTTGGTGTAGTCGAGAGGAGCCTTGAGGGTTGCGCACTCAACCTCGCCATAGACGGCATCATCGGTGTCCTTCCCCCAGGGCAGATTGCATTTCCCCCACTTGATCTGGGCCTTGCTCGGTGCGGCCAAGGTCTGGGGGAGCCCTAGGACCAAGCCTGCTGCGACGACGCTGAGAGACTTCATGGTGAATCCAGCCGGTTGTTTGAAGTTGAAGGATGATGTCTTGGGACTGTTATTGAAGAGAGGATTCGTCTGACCTTATATGAGTTTCTGCAGCTCACTTTCAGCCTCGGATTTAAAACAATGCCTACTGTCAGGCGCAGCTTATGCTTACCGAAAATAGGTACATATGGGCCGCCAGCCAGGGCCAGGTTGGTGGACCAAGGCTGTGTTGTCGGTTGACGATGCCTGGCCAATGAGGGCAGGGGATTCAGGCTTGGCAGGGCCATTTCCGTGAATCTGACTCGTTTCTTTGAGGCATCATCTTATGACCCTGCGCTACTGACCTTGCAGAGAGCCCCAGGCTTGGAGATGGGCAGCACCCCCGAGTCGGTGTAGGCTGTGTATAGCTAGTTAGAGATTAACGATCCTTTTCCAGCTTCAACTAGCGCTCCCGAGTCTATTTTGACATGATGAGCGAAATAGGTTGTTATTTTCAATGCCCAGATTTGGTTATTATGGATTGGAATCTGCATCATGTGTTCGTGAGTTGGGTAGGCTGCCACGAGCAGATAAATTAAGCGAGTGACACTGTAGCTCTCTACTGATGTGTTCTACCTGAGGCTACAGAGAGAATCGGAGGTTGCAAACCGGAGGCTGAACCGAGACTATGTACAGCTCTCTCGAACCATCATCCGTTCAACGTGCAGATCGGCAAACACCGGTTCACTCCGAATGTCAGTCCAGTCAAAATCAGCATGATGATGCAAATGTTTGCCAATAATCATTTGTTATTTACATCTGATCCCGAGATCCGCAGTATCTAGCACTGCCACCTGGGACTTTCGGATCCCTGCATGCCCCAGCGTGAAACAACAGAGGCTGAGTCAGATCCAGGACCGTTGTCCAGCGTGCAGGGCTGAGAAAGCTTGGCCAGGCCCTTTTCGCGTCTCTCCATTTTGCCCAAGTTTGTGGAGGTCTCCAAAATCTTCCGAGGTCATGCATTGGCTCGGCTATGGCTCTCCCAGGGTCCTAGACTAAGTACTTAACCCGCAATTCTTATTCCTATTTGAGACTCATTCCGCGGCCAGATTATCACTCATGGTTCCATCACCCCTCATTGCCATGGCCATATTGCCAAAAGTGATCGTCATAGCTTTATTCAAGCAGGGAGTTATAAAGCTCAATTGACGGCCTGTCAATTTACACGCCATCATGCGTCAAACGCTGTCAAGAGGGTCTCTCACTTCATCTACTGGATCCTTTACACGCGATCATGTCGGGACTTTTGCTCACTAGCCTCTTCGCTTTGTCTGGCGCTTACGCCAAGACAGTGAGGTCTCCAACTCCGCCAATGGGCTGGAACACGTACAACAGGTACAATTGCAACCCAACGGAGGAGATTGTCAAGGCCAACGCCAAGGGGTTGGTCGACTTGGGTTTTGCGGAACTCGGATACACGATTGTCGCCGTGGACTGCGGATGGATGACAAACGAAAGAGACGAGAATAATCGACTGCAATGGAACCCCAAGATTTTCCCATCTGGTCCGAAAGCCCTTGGCGAGTATATCCATGACTTGGGCCTTGAGTTTGGCCTCTACTCTGGGGCTGGGTACTACCAATGTGGCTCTACTGACCTTCCTGGGTCACTGGGTATGTCTACCCCCGCCACCACACAACATGGAAGCTGATGAAAACTCTCAGGTTTTGAGGAGATTGATGCCCAGTCCTTTGTCGAATGGGGAGGTGATGCCCTCAAGTGAGTCTATGTCCAAGCAAGAACGTGTGTTGCGTAACTAACGTTGCTTCTCAGATATGACAACTGCTACTCCACCTCCAAGACCGTGATGGTCGATTCCACCTCGCCCGAGGCCCAAAGTCCAGACCGATTCATCAAGATGGGCGCAGCCCTCAATGATACGGACCGAGATATCAAATTGTTTCTCTGCCAGTGGGGTATTGGCGAGAATGTCCCAGACTGGTATGTCTCTGCTGTCCACACTCAAGCCATTCTTTTTGCTCACAATTGATCAGGGCTGCCCCCTTGGGTAACACTTGGAGAATGAGCAACGACATCTTTGGTGCCTGGCGGGCCATTTGGCGCATCACCAACCAAGTCGTCGGCCACGCCAAGCACACTCGTCCAGGCGCATTTGCGGACATGGACATGCTTGAGTAAGTTTCCAATCATCCATGACTGAGACTGCTGCTAACCAATCCAGAATCGGACTCGGCTTTCTTTCTTTTGAGGAAGAGAGGTTTCACTTCGGCTTCTGGTCTATGATGAAGTCGCCTCTCCTTATCGGAGGAGTCTTGGACAAGAAGGAAATGCCAAGTGAATCCATCGAGATCATGTCCAACAAGGAGGTTATTGCCATCAACCAAGACCCCCTTGGCAAGGCAGCTGAGCTGGTTATCCGATATACCGAGGAACAGTGGGATGTGTGGGCCGGCGACCTTTCTTCCAACCGAAAGGTGTTGGCTGTTGCCAACTGGAAGAACGAGTCTCAGACTGTGGACGTTGACTTGAGTTTGATCGGCGTGGGCAAGGCCAAGGCCCGTGATGTCTGGGCTCATGCCGACACTTCTATCTCTGATATTGAGACTTTTGAACTGAAGGCTCACGAGCTTAGACTCCTTGTCTTGAGCGACATTGAGGAGACTACACGCCCCAAGGCACTTGACTACTATGCCGCGGACGATGCATCCCTTGAGGGGTCAACCAAGATTGTCGATTGCAGCAACACCGAATGCCTGCCCGTGAACAAGAAGATCGGAGACATTGGTGGCAATGGCGCTAAAGTCACCTTCAAGTCAGTCAGCGCCCCTCGCGATGGACAAGTGCTCGTGGGCATCGACTATATCAACTACGACTATCGTCACACCATGTGGGACTGGGAGTCCAACACTCGCAACATGACCATCACTGTCAACAAAGGAGGTTCTAAGCGTTGGTCTTTCCCAATTGCTGGTGGAGACTGGTTCGAGAGTGGCAGGCTGAATGTTGTGCTTAATAGTTTCGTTAAAGGAGGCGACAACACTGTCACTTTCACGCCGTCATCGACCTCTGGCTGGGCTCCTGACTTTGTTGGGTTTAAGGTCTTCGAGTAATATCGACTACTTGCAACTAGAAGGGCTTTAACTACTAGTGTGGTTCAACATCCTGAGCAGGGTCACGGCTGTCCTATTTCCTTCTTACACTTACAGTCATTACCATCTTGTTAACAAGGCAGCTCCTTCGACATTAAAGCCAGTCGCAAGCTTATTTTAAGTAAACTTGGCTAAATAGCAATCGTTAGTTTTAAATACTAGCACAACTGGCTAAAGATTGAACCTGCATGGATGAAGTTAGCCACTAGAATGTTTCGTTGTTTTGCTGAAACCGCATAGCTGCTGTGTGGCAATCTGGATGATGGAATACGACACGGCTTGGATAAGAGCCCCGATTTTAAAAAAGACAGAGGCAAACGTGATATTTGATTTACGGCCATTTTACTACTGTCGATCTTCCCATGGGGGAGGTCGCGGGCCGGGGCCGGGGCAAGACCCTGCACCCCGGATGGTGCTAAAGTCGGTCTCTCCATGCTCCAGGATGGGATGCCTAATGCAATTGAGGGGTTTTTTGCATGTGGCAGGATTTTCCGGTGTTGCTGTTAGCACCGGAAGTTTCCCCCTGGATTGAGCTCGGAGCAGGGGAGTCTCCATATTCGACGGTTTCGCGGCAAGGGTGATGCTCGCAGGGGACGACGGATGAGAACCCGCTGACCGAATGGCTTGGGCGTTCATGCTGGCCCTTGAAGGGCTGGAATTTAGTAACAGTAGAATTTTCCGGGATAGATCAAAGAAAACGATGCTTCTAATGAATTTGCCGTTTGGGAGTCGAGTTGTCGGCGCGTGCTAGACTGAGGGCCCAGCCTCCGTGACGGGGGAGTCTAGGGTATTTACCACACTCAAATCGCGAGATTCTCAAAGAAGCGGGACACCTGGTAATACTCATGTTGGTGAGTCATAAAGGTCATATAAGAACTATGAGCTGATATCGTGGCATTCTCATATGAGAAAAAACACATTGTGAACAATTTCCTTCGTTGATCTTAGGTGGGTGAGTTTCACCACCCACGATGCGCATTTCAAGCAATGGCTTTGAAAGAGGGTGAGGCAAAAGTCTTCTTAGAGAAGACCTCCGATCAGCGAGAAAATTACGTCTCTGTAAACATGCCAAAAAGAAAGAAGGATAAAAACAATAGCTAAAATAAAAAACAATCATCACCGCACGAAAAGGTAACGCTTTAGTCGTCCAATCTACTCTCCGTACGGGGGTTTAGCCACTGACCCCGCTGCTAGATCACTATCTTAGCCAGCGAAAAAGTACATGGGAACGCGTTAAGACCTTACCGCGTTGCTGCTATTATTATTCTACTACTCGGTGCTTATCGATACGCTCTCAATCCATCACCTACCATACTGGATGCAACAGCAAATGCTCCCCTGCTGTCCTGTCTCATGCCTCCCCGGTAACAGACCTCTTACACAACCTTATGGGCATATCCTTTAGCAGATGATTCATCGTCCCCTCTCTCTGCAGCTCAAACCCGTAAGGAAGTTCAAACTCATCGCGATCAAAACTGTCTGCTCGGGGTACGAAATGTTGCGACCGATGCAGGCGCGTGACCCGGTAGAAAACGTGATGAACCAAGGTTGCAACTCTTTGCTTTTCTTACCGAGGAGGCACTCATGGACTGTCTTGTTTCCGGGGACGTATGACGTTCAGGCCATCTGGGGATGTCTTTCGGGGCAAACCATGCGTCGTCGGCGGGAATAGGCGGGGACATTCATGCAAGCAAGCTCGAAGGTACGGGGGATGCTTGGCCTTGTCGTCTAGGGCGATGACTTTGTCGGGTTCGAGGGCTGCATCAGGCTCCTTGCGTAGAAGGGCCCTGGCTCGAGGCGTCCGGATTACTCGGTAAAAGACGTTGGTGAGAGCAACCGCCGTCGCCACGCTGCCAGCGTTCGTCATGATATTGACCTCGACAACGACTTGGCCCCATTCAAGGTTATGAGGCGTGCCAGTTTGATGTCGCGTCAAAGCCTGAAAGGTGTCGTCCAGTTTTTCCATTCTCCGGTTACGCTCAAGGCGCGAATTAGAGCCACGCATCACGTTCTCGACGCGTGTGAGTATCAATATTCGAGCATTCCACTAGACCTTGAGTTGAGTCGTCCAGGCGGTATTTACTTTAGTGACGCTTTAGAAAGGTGAGAGGTGCTCGTTTTCCTAGACGCAATGTCAACCTCCACTGGGTGGCCAACAAATAGACTACGAGTCAAACTGAACAAGGTGTGGTTTATAAGCTCTGTTCTTTATTATAGTTGCAGCCTGGCCCTTGATGGGTTAACTGAGCCCGAAGATCGTGGTTTATAAGCGAAGGACATTCCAAACCACTATCTTCTTCTACCTGCCAAATCACTGAAACACGTAGTGTATTAGCATGTACACATTCTCTACCGTTTCATCATTCTCATCCAGCACAGAATTAGATGCCTCCACTGCCCACTTGTCCAAGCTCTTGATACGTAGGTCCTTCCAAGTCGCAGTTGTGCATTTCCCCAGAGTCTCCGTCTTGATGCTTCCATCATCAGGTCTGTCCACCCCCTGAACCGATAGCCCGTTTACAAGTTTGCTGCTCTGGGAGACCCAGACGATGTCGCGGACCTCAAGCTTGGCCTGCTGTCGTGACCAGAAAGGCAATCGGTCCTTGAGATTACCCAGCTCCATCCTTGACGTTGTTTCTTCGCTGCCATTCTTCTTTGCAGCGATAAGCCTGGTGCTAAACCCGTACCACTCGTTCACAAAGTCATTCTTCAGATCAAACATGGCCCAGAAGCCATCTTGTGTGCCTTCAGTCTTGATAGCCTTGGCAGTGTCGCGCACAGTTTCGTTGGCAGTAGCCCGCAGCAAAGCACCGCCTTCTTGAGCCGTGTACTGGATATGAATGAGAACATCGCTGATGCTCTCGTAGTCAAACTTGCGAATCTCGGTAGGAAGGTCGAGACGCCAGGACGAAATGACACCAGCGCCCTCAAACGGCATGTACTTGGGTCCAGAGAATGTCAGGTCAAAAACGCCAGTATCACCCCCGCCGCCACTGATGGCAACCGCTGAGATGGGGATGTGATCGGTCCGGAAGGAGCCCTTGTCCTGTGCCATATACTCTGCAGCCTTTGAAGCAAATGTCGAGATACGGTAGCGATGGCTGGTCAACTGTAGCGTTGCGTTGATGTTGGTGTGAGGACCGACGACAGCTGGGATAGACACCGCAACTGAACGGATGCGACGCATGTAGTGACCAGGGAAGTCCATGTCAAAAAGAGACTCGTTAAGGGAGAAGCTGGCACTGCCGTTTAGACGGAGCGACAGTAGAGCGAGGGGGTCAATCTGTCTCAAGGAAATCGTCTTGGAAACCTCAAAGTCGTGATCTTGAGCATCATAATGCGCCGTCTCGAGTCTCTTGAGGTCAAGATGAAGATGGTCTGCAGCAAGCAATCCGTCATGAGAAGAGTCCCAGTAACCACCAGGACGGAGTAGAGAAATCTTGCGGCCCTGCTCGAAAGACAAGGAGCTCTCTGCTTTGCGTGCAGTGTTGAGAGCCAGAACGTAGGCTTGATAGTAAAGACTCCTTAGGTTCTTCTCCATCCACGAGTATAGTTGCTTGTTGGTGTACTTGGTGCGGTACCACTTTTCAGCTTGAATGGCGTCCTCGATCTCGGCATGTTGCATCTTGATCTCGTGTTGTGCAGACTGGACCCTGATTTTCTGCATCTCGATCTGCTTGTCGATCGACTTAATCTCTCTTCCATGAATATTGGCCTGCATTCTGCGATCCTGAAGTTGTCGGACGAGTTGAGCCTTGCGAGAAGCCTGACCAGCTTCATCCCCGGACATCATGGCCATCATCTTGAGATAAGTTGAGCCTGCAGAAGTCATCATGGCAATGTTTTGGCCACCGACGGTAACACTTGCTCCAACACCCATGGGCGCCCCTATGGTCTCAATCTCAGGGATGGCACACAGAGGACCGACCAAGCCGTCAATACCAGCTGCAACCGTGTTGAGAAGACTGGCCGCAGTAGTCATATCCATTTCCATCTTTTCATAAGACGACATTCGCAGATCATCCTTGGTTGGAGTATCGATGTTCTGTGCGATGTCTTCCCAGTTGCTTGCGGGAGTGGGGATGATCGACTCAGGCTCGCCGATGAGGGTAAGGTAGAACTTGAGCTGCGAAACTTGTGACTCCCGGTTGATGAGGAGAGAGTCGATTGTCTGCTGTGCCTCCTTCAGCTGCAGGTTCTTAATATCGAGCATCATCTTCTGAATGGCGACGGCGTGTCTCTGACGAAGGACAGTAAAAGACTCGTTCTCCTTCCTTTCGGTGGCGGCGAGAAGACGTTCTCCCAGGGAACGCAACTCGCTACACAAGTCTAGAGCTCGATGAAGGAGAAACTCAAATCGTTGGCGTGGGAGAAGACTGCTTTGATCACCCAAGGCAACGGAGATAGCCTCAGACATCCCCATGCCCGGTGCCATTAGTGCGCCGGGGTCAATGAGAGGCTCAATGAGAGCGTACGTCACTGGCCGTCCTTGAATATCGAGCGAGTTGCGAATGTTGTAAAGACGCTCATTTAGAAGGGTGCGAAGCTGCTTGAACTTGGGATTCAGGGGTATACAGAAGTACGTGGTTCGAAGGTAGCAGACCCTTTGCTCTCCCTTGGGATCCGCATCTAGCTGTTGTTGCGTTCCCTTCTTCAGTTGCGAAGAGAAAGGAAGTCCAAGCTCGAGTTGAGCGTCTTCTTGGCTTAAGTTGGCGAATGTCCGGGGCTTCTTTTTGCCGAGCTTAGGGACCTTGGGAGGTTCGGGTCCAAGGATGTGTCCAGCCTCGACGTAACGCTGGATGGCAAGGGGGAGACTCTCCAGAGTACCCTGACGGAAATGCGCGTCTCCAGCAGCAATCAGAATCTCGGCATACTTCATGACGATCCACTTCATGTAAGCCTCGGGCCTCCCTCTTGCAGTGGCATGCACGAGGGCTCCATGTGATCTCCTCTCCATTATCGCCAGGTTGAAGTTGCCGTCCTTGGCCAAATCACTCAACTTGATGTCCACTTTTTGCCTCTCCTGAATGGAGATAGCAATGCCCTGGAATGGAGGGAATTTCCAACACGACGTTGCGAACGTCGAGTAAAGTGGGCTGCTGGGGTTGTCATGTCTATAGAAGGAGGTCTCTGAGCTGGGATCAAACACCAAACGGGCCACTTGAAGGGCTTCATCAAACTGCTGAGTGGCAAAGAAGCGATCAACAGCCAAGAGAACAGAGTGTAGGCCAATCTCCCAGTTATACAGAGCCGTGGGTTGAGAAAGCTCGTGATACGTGGCAGAACCTGGAGTTCTGGGCGTGTCGGGTTGGCCACCCGGATCTGCTCCAAATGTGATTGCCATTGACTTTGTGTCTCTCCTTTGTTTATCATTGATAGAGCGATCGCCGAGGACTTTGTAGATACGCTTCACAGGATCAGCGCGGCTGGAAGCAGCCTCCATCAGCTTGTGGGAGAAGCTGTGATCCAATTCGACAAGCTTCATTGAAGTATCGAGATCGCCAGTTCCCCGCCAATTGGAGGTTGGAAACAGGGGCTTCGTGGGAAGGTTGAAGTGAGTGGTATTTGTTCCATCCTTTCGTTTTGTGCTGACGACGAGTGCAAATGGGTCACTTTGACTGCGGTATGAGAGCGTCCAGGTGGTTAGACTTCTTTGCTTTGGGTAAGGCGCACTGGCATTCAACTTTTCAAGTTCTTTCGGAAGCCACAGAAGTGGTTTGGCGAAGTTGCTAGTGTTTGACATATAGTTGAGAGTATCGTCCACGAATTGGGCTGTTGCATTATTGGAAGAAATTTGTTGGAAAGTGCCATCGAAGAGTCTGAACTGGCCAAGGTAATTCTCAACATCTTTTTCGGATAGGGCAATCATTTGATCTTCGCAGAATTGAAACCCTCCCAGCTTGTTGAGTCCCGAGATTGGATTCTGAAACCATTGGCTACGGGGCGGCGTACTGCCGATGAGCAGCGTCACCTTTCCAGGGGAGATTCCCGGCTCGAACCGGGGCTCGAATCGAAGCTCGTTGGGAGGAGGGTAATGCGCACCCATCCTGACACTTCCCGTGGCCACTCGTTTGGGGGTCCAGGCACCATGTATGAACTCTGACCATCCCATGGTGATCTCCCAGATCTTTTGTGGCTTGACTGACCCAGCGTTTGTCTTGGCAAGCTCCCCAAACTCCTTGGATTCGTAGTCTGCCGGCTTCTCTGTCCCTTGAGGGGATGTCTTAGCCACTATCTGAGGAATGAACAGGTACAACCTGCCGCCAATGATGACTGGAATCAGGTGTGTGCCAGTAGTATCGAGACGATTGCCCTGCCACTCGGTTTCCACTGTTGGGATGTCGATATCGATCTTGGCCCATGGTCTCCAGATCCCTCCAGTGGTATCAGGCCGGACGACGGTCAAAGTGCGATAGTAGAAGGTGTGAGGTGCGGAACGGGTACGACCAAAGAAGTGGTATACCTCGGTACCTTTCTCCGGCTCCTCGACGACATACGTCAGCACCTCAAGACTTGAGATCTCACTGAGTCCGTGTACGTAAGTCTTGAGAGACCGCTCAAAGGTCTCTAAGGTGAGATGCTTCTTCATGAGGCTGGCCTCAAACTTGTCAAACAGTTGGCTCTTGTCGTCTCGGAGGGAGGGCTCAACCCAGTTCTCGGGGTAGATAAACAGCTTGACATGAGCTTCCCAGAGATTGTACTGCTGACGCCATTCCCACTGCTCTCTCACGATACTGGTCTTGGAGACTTTCTGCTCCAATCCGAGAAGACATCGTTGAACAAACAGTTGGACCACGGATATGGCCTGCTTGATGCGAGAAGTCTTGAGCTGGGGTCCCATTTGGACATCAATGAGGAATTCCTCAAATAGACCATCAGCATCCTTGATTTCCATCGACTTGATGTACTTTTATTGCAGTAGGAACGCAACCAAGGCACGCCTCTGACCGTCCATGAGGCTTTGGTCAGCTGCTGCCCGCTGGGATGGTGTCAACTTTGCGCGGAGTCTCCGAGTAGCCTCAGCTTCCTCGTTAGGCTGGCACATGTACCTCGAACGAGCCACATGGAACAATGTGGAGATGCGAGGTTGAGCTTCTTTACCAACGGTGCGACCAATCCGCTCATCGAGAGACATTATCTGGTGTAGGCTCATAAGGGAATCATACTTTTTCAGTCTATAGAGCATTCCTGGGCCGTCAAAGATTGCGTATTTGGTTTGAAGAGCCTCTAGCACCCTCAATCGATCCCATCCAGTGCAGTCAGAGATTTTCGATGCTATTCCTTCCACCGTTGAGTTTTGGGTGTTAAAGAGCCAAGTAAGCAATTCCAACACACCGCCGCTGCCTGGTTTAGGCTGAACACCCTCTTTGAGCGTCTGGTAATCCTTTAGGTCTAGGGAGGTATAGATTGTCGGTCCGTGTATTTCAAAGAAAATCGGACACAGATTGTCGTCCCTGGCAGGTGTTCGGGAAAACACTCTGATCTCCTCGACCGTGAGCTGGTGTAACTGGCAGGTGGTGGCTGCACGCTTGATATAATCGATAGCCAGACTCATCACCCGGGCTGTTCTTGCCGGTATCAAGACATTTTCTGCAAAGTTGGATTTCACAGACTTGGGAGTTGACCAAAACAGCTCGGAGGGAGTGAAGCTGCTATCAAGATGATACGTCTTGCCAGCAATGAGGGGAACGTTAGCTGGCTCTGAGTCGAGGCGGTAAGACTTATCATCGATACTAAAGCTGGCCCAGTTGACTTCGGCGCCTTCTCTTTTCTCCCAGGTAAACGTGAAAGTGCCGGATTCGGTAGGCGTGAAGTAGGCATCCAGGGGCTCATCAGGCGGATCCAGGCTAGTATTGGTGTGGCATAGCTTCCGCAGCGTAGTAATGATCAGCTCGAAGCTTCCTTGATCTTCCTCAAATTCGATGCCATCTGTAAGAAGGACATGAAGAACAGAGTCGTTGAGATCTGGCACGACTTCCTTGATAGCGTTGGTGATGACCTTGTCGAGGAGAGTTTCAACAATGGACGGCGCGGCGAGTCGAACGAAGGCGTTCCTACGGCCTTGCTTCAACCGCTCACTCTCCAGAATCTCTTCATCCGAGCTCAAAGCGGCTGATGCGGTTGTGGAAGAGTCGCTCTTTGGGGCCAAAAAGTTGATTGCGTCGACGTCTAAATGGCCATTCGACTCGAAACGGGAACAGAGGATGTCCAGGGGAGCCAAAGATGCCTTTACAAGGCTCTCGATTGCCTTCTTCAAAGACACAGACTCAGCAGAAATGGCCTGAATGGACTCCATCTCCTGTGAGTTCAGTACTCCAGTAAGGGTCAACTGTGCTTGTGTGTCGCCACTAGCGGGGTCTGACACAAGCACGAGCTTCTTGGGCCATCCTCTGGATGCCTGAATTGCATCATTCTTGACGCTGGCATCACCGAACGAGACTGAAACTGAATTGACTTGGGTACCTGATTTTCGTCAGCCCGTCCTTGACAACAAGAAGTAGGCCTCTTACCTTCAATGTAGCTGACGATCAACTTGGCATTAGATGGGTCGAATAGATGAGCTGCACACTCAACGACTTGTGCTGGAGATGGCGGAGTTTCGGTGAACAGGTACGGAAACGTATGGCGAAGTGTCTTTGTCGCCTGGATGAGGGCGGCCAAGGTAGGCAACGCGTCATCAGAGACTGGAGTCGAGTTGTCTGGAGCTCCTGGCCTATCAGTGAGTATGTTCAGGGTTTCAAATGTCCACCCAATCTCAAAGAGGCTCCTCCATCTTTTCACAGTAGCGAGTGTAGAGTTGGGAGTATCCAAGGAAGAAGCCAACGGCTCGCTTGACCCGGAAAGCGATTCGTGGAGTCGAGAATAATTCTCTGGCTCTACAGATAGCATCTGGCACAACAGAACGTGACGGTATACTGCTGAAAATGTGTCAAGGTTGAGCTCCGTGCTGGCTTCCTGTAGTTTTGCCACCTTGAGAAGACTTGGGAAATGCTCAACTGGCCATCGAAGGGCGATACAAATGGTAACCTCTTGGTCTTTCAGGAGAACCTTTGATCCGTTGATTGTCAAGTATTGCCCATTACTTGGAGGGTTGAAAATGGGTGACACTCGTCTCATCGTCGGAGAGAGGAACTTGCGGTGCATTAGAGACTCGGGTCCAAAGGTGTCGATATTCCGCCAAAGAGGCAACAGTTCGGATGGCTCAATGTCCACAAGCTTGCTCAACTCAACAACAGTGGCGATTCCCTTGAGGACGTAAGGCGAAATGGTGAAGGAGCCCGACACCTTGGGCTTGCCAGCCTGGGCCTCGATGTCGATTTCAAGGCTCCGCAGGCAGCAGATGGCAGCATCAAGATTCTGAATGCTCCACTTTAGCTTAGCTTGGAGTCGAAGAAATGCCTGAAGGTTGAAGCAAATCTCTTTGGTGAGGGGCTTGAGCGGCGGATTGGAAGCCGCAGATAGAAGCTGCAGTTCCTCAAGCGAAGTGCCAAAGACTTTGGATCCATTCTTGTTGGCGATGGCCAGGTCATGGCAGAAACTTCGAGTCTTGCTCAAGCAAATAAGATCTTGGAACTCCAGACCACTTCGTTTCAGAAACTGGTCCTTGATGAAGGAGAGGCCATCCCCGCTCTGAATCTCCAACATCACCTCTTCGAGGTCGTAACCCCAGAGCGTGGTAACAGACCAGCGGCACCCAGACTCGACGACGAAGCCATGGCTCTCACCTGCCATTACATTGAGAAGATCTGCAAACCAGGTCGGGTGAAAGGTTTGCCCCATGATGGCTGCGAAGTCTGACTGAAGCAACCCAAGTGTCTCGGCCGCGGCTTGGCGCGAAAGGACCTCCTTGACACCTGACCTAATCTTCATAAACAGATCATAGTCATTGCCCTCGGGGATGCGCTGAAAGATACTCTCCTCATGCGTAAAAGCTTCGACTACTTTAGAAGCGTCCACTCCAAAGCCGTTAAAGATCTGACCAATGTCGTTCCGCGCTCTGCTGTAAGGAAAAGTGGGAAACGGGAACATCTGGTTGGGGATGAGCTCCGTGTTGACAACTGGATCCGTGTTTGCACCCTGTTCGATAGGTGTGTTGTCGTGCTCGTCCGAGGTACTCTCAGTGGGCTCATCTGGTGTGTTGTATGGCTGGATCATGGTCCAATCGTTTCCCTTGCTCTTCTCGTATTGAAAGCGGATGTATGATTCGAGAACTTCGTTGGTGAGAGCGGCGTATGGAATGAGAGATTGAGAGTTTGCACAAGTAAGCTGCAGGTGCTGAAGATCAGGACGCCTGATAGAGAGCACGTCAAGCATTGTTGTTGGTTCGGAAGACTTGGCTCTTGTGTTTTTGAGAAGCGCCAAAAGATCGGCATAATAGGCCGACAAACTGGTAATGGAGCAACATGTCTCACATGCCCAGTCTTCGAGCTCAAAGATGTCTGTGAGGTTGTTGATGAACTTCGAAGCTTCGACGTCTGTCTTGGTCTTGGCAGATGCCCCGGTCTGAGGTTCCACAGGCACGAACTCGGCTCTTCGTGCCTCCATCACGGACAACCAAAGATGCTCGTTCCAGCAGTCAACTCTCTTCGCGGCATTGTATGCAGCCAGAGCATTCTCTCTCTTCAAGCCTGCACTAGTTGTTGAGTCCACAAACGCCTTCTCCTGCTTGGTCGCGATGTCTCGAGCCGAGTAGTATTTCTCTTGGTAGAGTATCTGCACATCCTCAGGATCCTTGGCAAGGCGGCATAGGACGTTGAGAGTCTTGACAACCTTCAAGGCTTCAGGAAAGTTCTTCTGGAGGTTGCCAGTGTCGCTACGCTCTTCTTTGCCATACCTCTCGTACATTCCCATGAGGGTTTCTTCCTGTCTCAGTTCGTAGCCACCAGAGACAGCTTGCTCGAGGAGGTATATGACCAGCTCCTTGATGTCATTCTCAATAGACAGCTTGGAATTTTGTTTCAACAAAGCTCTCATCACAGCCAAAGGATACGTCTCGAAGATGCCATTGCGAATTGCGTCGAGTGTGCCAGGGTTAATTCCACCCTGATCGAACTTGGTCGCAAAGACGTCGCGTGGGAACAGAAGCTCGGCAAGGGTCTGAACCGAGTTGACATTGTTGAGTTGCTTGAATAGAGCCGAACATGTATTGATATCATCTTGGCCGAACTTGAGGATGGTTCTAAGAAGCGTGAGGGTGCAAACATCGGCATCAGGTACCTTTCCTGCGCGAAGTAGCGGCTCCAAAGCTTCGATGGGCTTGGAAGATTGGCCAAGGTATTTTTCAAAAACAGTTTTGATAGAATTAGAGGCCATCGTGAGATCTGGTATCAGCCTTGGCACGACTATAGTAGTATTGAAAGGCGAGGGTAGGTTGGCCAAACACTGGAAAAGATGACGGGATCAGCAGTCTCCCCGGAAGTCGAAGCGGTGGACTGAAAAGAACGCGACTCTTTGCTTTTCTTGGAGGCAGGTGATGCCAGCTGCGAATGGCTCAACTACAGTATTGAACTAACAAATGGCACCGTACGGCAGATCAGTTCATAACCCAGTCATTCCAAGCCACTCGGCGACAGTTTGCCGGTCCGTAGACGCCATCATTTCTCAACCTGACAGATCGACTATGGCTTGAGGGGATATAATCGCACTAGGATGTAAATGTATAGCTGTGGCGGTTCTGGGCTTTGTTAGAACGAGCTGATCAATAGTTTTTTGATAGACTGGCTAGACTAGTGTTAGCCCCTGTATATCCTTGTCTCCGGGCTTGTCTAACAATGCAAGTTTGAGACAATTGGATTGTTTCTGGTAGAGTACAACGTATCTATCCTGCATTCTAAGGAGTAGTAACGCCGACATATAATTGCTAAATAAGAGGAGCAATTGCGATCGTGCTACTAACTAAGTGGCGGGCGCTGTTTTTGACAAAGTTGAATTATCAACATCAATGACCATGGGGTCCTTCGCTCAAAGCTCAACTGATATGTCGTTTACATGTGGCGATGTTTCCAATGAGTCTGAAAAGGTCAGGGGCAACGGCTGTGGAAGGCAGTGAAAGTAAGACATTGAAGAACAACTTGATGCAGGGTGTTGTATTTATCAGAGGTTTGCGAATATCGGGTTATTTGCTTGGGGTCACTGTGGTGACGTCGTCCCAACAAATCTTTTCCTCCTCACCACTGAATAATAGTGAATATTTATCACAATCTGAATGAGAATTGGTCCTTTGACGAAATACCAATTGTACGGTATTCCTTAACCTATCGTTCGACATGCCCTGCCCTAGCCGTGATGAGATCGGCTTTGGACCAAGCTCAGATCCGGAACGCTGGGATCGATTCTTTGCCTTGTCGGAAGATGCAATCAATGACGCTCTGGGAAAGCTTTTCGAGCAGCGGAAAGAGCACAAAGAGCTAATTTACAGCGGCTCACCGGAGTCTGGTGCGCTCAAGGCGACAGTCCTTCAGCCTATGGTTCGGTTTGAGCCGGAGCACGAGGGTTGTGTCACCCTTGTCGTACCGTATGTCGATCCATTCATCTATGCCGTACCGCTGGATTGACACCATGACAGTATTCATACTGGTACAATCCAACACCAAGACGTTACCGTGGACTTGGAAGGGTGGCAGCTTGCTGTTAATGTCCAGCTTTCCTCGCTACTCTCCCCTTCTGATGATGCCATCAAGATGGAAAATGGCACCGACAGACAACCGACCAAGCTCCTTGCTGGGGAGTACTCGATTTATCGTCTGTTTGCTGCCTTGTCAGGTAAATGAACTAGTACTATGTGGAAGAATGTGTTACTCATGTCCTGTTTACTCCTCTCCAGAAGCTCCGTGGACGCTGAACGAAACATCAACACTGGTCCAGCACGAGAACAAGGGTGTTCCTCTCCTGGAACATCTGGAGAACAACGTAGAGCCGAGCAAGTCAGCTTTGATCTTGGAGGCTCTCAAGGAATGGGCAACCAACCATGAGACGTCGGACTTTTACACTCTGGGCCTTGACCTTCAGTTGCCCACCATACAAGGTCTGCCATGGCCCTAATGAGCGATATTTCTTGCGCTAACTACTTCTGCATAGATGACTCCTTGACCCCTACCCACGGTGAGCTTATTTCTTCACCCATTGTGCTTCCTAATCTAATCCTGAACGCAGAGGCCACATCTTTACATGTTCAACTGTCTTACTATGTGTCGGACGACGAATACGACAACGCAATTGATCAAGGTAAAGAACCACAGGGATCGAAGCAAAACAGACGCGGCTGCCTGGTATTCTGCGAGAAGATCAACTCGAGGCAACCACCGGAGTCTCGTGAGCTCGAATTCACTGCGAACCTGGCGAATGAGCAAAACAAGCTCGTCAAACAGCCAGGAGGAGCGCTCGGAACGGCTGCCATTCGCAGAGCCGCCTTCTTTGGCATGTACCTCTTGCCTGAACTCCAGCAGATTTGTGCAGGGATTCACCTTGTCCCAATCGAGCCCTTGTACAAGATCAATCACGCGAAATCTGGTATTATGAGGTACCGCATTGAACCCACCATCTTTGATTCAAAGCTCTCAGATGCCGTCTCCGAAAAAGACAGAAGACTCATCGCAGAGGCAAGACCATCCGACCCGAGAGATGCATTCTATGCCTTTGAACGTCAACAAGACACAGCGTGGCTTTGGAAGAAAACCTCAAAGGCTCCCGGAAACAGATCATCTGTCCACAAGTTTGAGGACAAATGGGACGCAGTCTACGATATGACAACCAAAACTTCCGTCAATGTCGAGACGTTTCCTGGTACATCCCGGGTAGTACTGAAGGCACAGTCCAAATTTGTCTCTATATATAACCAAGAGGACCCCCGTTCCATGTCAAATGGATGGGTTGGTACCAGGTACGTTTCAGTTTGACCAAGATTTAATACTTGTACCTGTCTAATCCACAATAGCGACGAAATCAACATCAAGTTCAAGCTCGTCATTCAACTAGCCAACGACGAAGGAAGTGGTGAAAACGGAATCATCACCCCCGTGATTTCGAATCTCAACACAGCTACTGGTCTGCCATCCAAATATAAACTGGATATCGGCTACCCGTACTGTAACTCCATGACCCTGAACGGCCGCGTCTACCAGCAAGAAGAATTGTTGGTCAAGCTTATGCATATGCACAGGAACTTGTTCTCCGAAATGACGAACAGGTTCCAGCGAGCGGGTCGCTTTGTTGCTCCGGGAACGTCCAGCCTCGATTTCAAAGATCCGAAAATCACCCACCAAGGGGATCTCTGTTGGCATCTGAACTATCGACCGTAAGTCTTGAGTGGGATATGGTGGCAATGCTTATGATTCTAATTTGGAGATAGGTTGAGTGAAGGTCGAGTCAGTGTTCGCCCATGATCGTGGCCCCTTTAACCGGCTATTCCTGAATAAGTTGAGCCTGGTGCTCCTACTCTCATTGGTGAACCAGCTGTGCCCCAAACCTTCTGTGTGCCACCCAAGGTATAGTGTCAGAAAACCATGTCACTCAGCCGGACCAGACTCTATAAGAGTTAAATTGGGTTAGTCGTGTACTACCTAGGGTATGGGCGGCAGGACATGTTAGGGCAAGGACATCCCGGCGATGAAGGCTGGATATCACAGAATAGGCAGGTAGAAGAAGTTTGGAATGCGTGTTTAGTAAGAATCTTAATAAAACTATGTCTGCAGAGCTGATGCCTTAATATCTTCCTAGAGACCGCTTGATTCTCTCTTATATAGATTGGTTTATAACTAGTTGCTTAATTTATTCCTATATCTTATTCTCCCCCTATGTTTGGTTTTATTATATATTAAAGTTAGGTCTCTTCCTATAATTATATTTAACTTTTCTAACCTATTAATAACCCTATTAATAGTATATAAATTAAGCTTTTTTTAATAACCTTATATCTACTACTAATACTATAAATAATTAAGCCTTTATTACTTATCCCGGTTTAAATTATTATTCTTTTAAGCCTATAGCTCCTTTACTAAGTCTAATAATTCTTTTAGCTAGCCCTTTAAACTTTTAAGCATATTTAAGAAATTAATTTTTTTTTTTAAGGGTATTACTTATAATAAGTTAGGGGAAAAATATATTAAGCTATTTTAAGCTATAAAGTAATTTCTTATATATAGAAAAAGAGGTAAAAGCTATAAAGCCTTACCTTTATTATTATTTTTATAAGCCTTAATTAAAGGACTTTTAAGCTATTTTATAAGTTATATCTTTATTATTATAAATTAATTAATTACTTTTATTATTTTATATAAAATTTACTTTATAAGAAAATATATAAGATCTCTTTTTTAAAAAGACCTTAAAAAAATATATAAAAAATCCCTTTTTTTTAACTATATAATTTAATATATTTAATTTTTTTAATAAATCTAATACCTTTATATAAGATTTTTAATATTTTTATTTTTTTAAATTATTAATATATATTAAAGAAAGATATATTAATTAATTAAATAAAAAAATATATTTTTATATTATTAATTAATAAATTATGAATATAATTATTATAGGATTAAAGTAATAAGCTATAATAATACCTAGTTATATAATAATAGGTATATAAATTAAACTAAGGTAATTTAACTTAATATAATATTATATATTAAATAAGCTTTATTTAACTTAACTTAAGCTTATTTAAGTTAAGTATTACTTAAGTATATAAAATATATTTATTATACTTTCTTATATATTAATTATCTTAGCTATTAATATAACTTAGTTATATTTAATACTTTTTAAATATATTACTAAATATAATTTATATTACTTTTTAAGGTTATATAATATTTTCTTTTATTAATATAAACTTAAGATAATTAATTTATCTCTTAAGAATCTTATAATTATTATATATTAATAGCTTTTATTTAAAGAATTATTTATATTACCTTAAATAATATTAAATATAATAGCTATTTAAGCTATTTTTAATAATAATTATTAATAAATCTTATTTATTAATTATTTTCTTATACTTAGTATACTTATCTTAGCTAATATTAAAAATAAAAATATAAATAATATAAAAAGCTTTAATAATAAAGAAATTAAATAACTCTAAGCCTAAATTATTATTATAAGTATTAAAATAAATAGATTTTATAATTTTATTAAAAAAATAAATAAAGCTTAATATACTTAAAATATATAATACTTTAATAAAATTTAAAACCTTATTAACTTAGTTATTATAATTATATAAAATAAAAATATAAAAGAAATCTTAAAGCTAGATCCCTTAGAAAAGTTTAATAAGATTATTTATAAATTATTAATATTTCTTATATAATTATATATATTTATAATTTATTACTTAATATAATTTATTATATTATTTAATAAGATTTAATATATTATTAGCTAATTTATTAAATAAGTTATAATTTAATTTAAATTTATTATAAAAAAATCTTTTATTAAATCTTTTATTAAATTTTCCCTTTAAATTATAAGCTATTATTTAAGCTTTAAGACCTTTAAAGCTATATTTTAATAAGCTTTTAAAATAATAAATAAAAAAATATAAATAAAAAAAGAAATTAAAATATTTTAATAAATTTATTTTATATTTAAATATAAAATTAAATATTTTTAATTTATTTTATAATTTAATTAAAATTAAAACCTTTTTATTACATGCCCTGATCAGATGGGTTCCCCACGTAACAGATCTAGCGCTATAATAGTCAAATCTAGCAGCTATTAGTTAGGAAGAATAGACTTAGATTAAATTACTTACCTTATGCTACCTTTGCTTTATAAACTATATAACTTTAACCGAATAGCTACTAGAGCTAGCTATCTTATTGCCGCTTTTAGCGGTACCTTAGTCCCTTACTAGAGCTAAGGGATCTATAATATATAATAGTAATTAATACTTCTTTTAATTCGACCTATGCTTTATTTAATATACTCTATATTAAAACTAAGTAAAGCACTAAAAGGAAGCCTTAACCCTTTTATTTATAAACCTAATATATCGATACCTTTATCCCTATTAATAGGCTAGATAAAACTAATAAACTCTATATCGACTCTAAGCTTATTAAAGTAAGACTTATTTAAATAAGTCTCTTATTAAATAGTAATAAAAGCCTTAATAAAAGTAAAATTTATTAAGAATAATTTTAATTACTTATAATAATTTTAAGTCTTTCTACTATAAAATCTAATATTTAAATATAAGAAATAACTTCTTATAGAACTAAGCGTATTTAAAGATCTAACTAAGCTTTCCTACTAAGAGATAAATAAATATAATATATTTTATAGAGATATAATACTAAGTACTAAATAATTATTATATTACTAGAATACTATAGATCCCTATACTATTAGATAAGCCTAAGAGACTACTAAAAAGATTATTAAGAGAGCTAAACGCAAAGGAGCGCTCTTATTAGATAATAAACTCTTAGTCTATGCTTTATCTATAGATATAATACTTAAACTATTAGAACTAATAATAAGGGCATTAAATATAGATCTTTTATAGGAAAAAAGAAAAGAATTAGAATTAATAGCGCTAATAGCACTAAGGAAGCAAAAGACCCTAAATCGACTAGTACTATTAGACCTAATATAAACCCTTAGCCCTAATATTCTTAATGCCGATTATCTTATTACCTTACCTTTCTAGCTCTCACTGAATCTAATACTAAGATAATAAAATTACCCTCGCGCCTATGAATTAGGCATATAAATAGAAATACTAGAGATTATAAAGCTAATATCTAATATGCTAGCTCTAAGTATAAATTAGTTAGATTTAACTATAGGAAATTATATATCTTAATTCTAGATAGGGGTTTTAAACCTAGTTAGAATAAGATTATAAGGATCCTATAGTATAATAAGGCGAATATTAATTCTAAAGGAAATAAGGTTAGAAATAAAAGACTTATATTAGTGATCTCTAACGGCGAGATAAATACTTAATCTTATTAAATAAAGCTATAGATTAAAACTAGAGGATATTAGACTCGCGGGTATATAAATAGGCCCTAACGGAGGGTAACCACTAGCTTATCCTCCGCAACTAGCCTAGCATTTAGTCTAATATCTAGCCTAGCATCTAGCCCCCTTATACTAAGCGCTAAAACCTATAAATAAAATCTAATATTTAGCCCTAATATTATTAATATTATTATAATAGAACTTAATAAGGTAATTCTAAGGATAAAATAAAATATACTTTTAGGCATAGTATCTAATATTTTATATAATATATTTAACTAAACCTCTATATATATTATATCTAGCTATAGCCTTAATTTTATTATACTATAAGCCTCCCTAAGGAAATTAACTTCTATTATAGCTAAATAAAATAAAATAGCTATAAATAATAAAACTACTAATAAGATAATTTATATTATCTACCGCAAGGATAAACTTAGTAGGTTTAGGATACTAAGAATAAGGAAATATAAGAAGAAAAAAAAGTACTAATATTAGATTTAAACTTATTAATATTAGTCTCTTCTAGCTAAATATACTATTAAGAGGTAAATCTAGAGATCCCCTAATAGAAATCTTCTATAATAAAACTATAATAATCTTTATAGATACCTACCTATAGGTAGACTTAGTTAAATCCTACCTCGAGGGAAATAGCCCCTAATAAGTTACTTTTATTAAGGAGAATATATAGAGACTTATTAGGGGTAGCATATTAATCTAATAGCAAAGACTACTTAATAATTAAGAAAGGTAGACTTATATTATATTAATTAGTGCTTTTCTTAATATAATAAAAACTAAATTTAATATAGAACTCTAAGAAGCCCTAGAATAGCTAAATTAAGCCTATTTTACCCTTAAGGATATAAAAAGCGACTAATTATTATAAGATTTCTGTATAAGGATTTTTAATATATCTAAAATAATAAGAAAAGCTATTAACCTTAAGCTATTTACTTATTTTTATATTAAATTATACCTAGAGCTATAATAACTCTATAGGCTACTAGAGGAATCTAATAAATAATCTAAATATATTAATATAATAAATAATAAAAAGAAGACTTTATATGAAAAATTAAAAATAATATATAATAAAAAGTATAGAAATAAAGTAAAGAAGCCTTAATATAAGGAGAAGTATATATATATTATTAATAAAAAGGATAATAAGGGATCTAAACCTAAGGATTTAGCACTATAGGGTAATAATTACCTATAAAATAAGG